CCTCAGGGCCGACCGCATGAAAGAACCTTGCCCCCGCCTGCGCTATCTCACGTTGTCGTTCTGCGACTTGACAACCCGCCAAACGGTTCTACACTCCGATAACCTTGTCCGTATCGATCTCAGAAGCGTCCATGTCTTCAATGACATCGACGAACTCGTGGATACCGTTTCACGATGGAGGCATCTTCAATGCCTGAATTTGGAAAGGTGCCAAATCATCAGCCCCAACGGTCGTGTTGTGCTCTCTAAACGCAGCGCTGTCCATCTACCCGAGTTGAGAGAACTTCTCATCTCGGATATTGCCGCAAACGTCTCGGCGTTCTTAAAACACGTCACCTTCCCTCCCACCACCACGGCCGACCTTGTGTTTTACGGACCGGATGCCACACCAGAATCCGTTGTACTTCAGACCAGAGACGCAATTCGCCACCATTTTGACTCGCCTGAGGGCCGTTCGCTCATCTCCTCCGCCTATGGCTTCACTATCACATACCCACTTGGCTATGGCATACAATTCCGTGCGCCTGAAAAACGCAAACCTGGCGGTTTTTGGATGGATGTATCCGACGACTATTATCTCAACCCACAGGCCGACTTCTCCTTCAGACAGGGGACCTCCGATAATGCATCCTTTGAGGAGAGTCTTCTAGCCATCCCCTCATTGGAGACGGTGCCTCGGCTGGACCTCAGTGGACAAACCCTTCCTGTTCTCACCCCTCCTCCCTCCATATTGCGACGCTTCGTAGGCACGACGCATCTAGCTCTTAATGAAGATCGTCTACAGCTACTAGACGACATCGCAGAAGACACTCAGCTATTCCCCCAACTCGAGTGCATCGAGTTAGTCGCTGTCTCCTTGCTGAATGAGCCCAAGGAGATAGTGATCTTGCACGCGCTTCAAGACGCTCGCGATGATCGCCCGAGCTTGATCAGGTTATTGCTGCGCAAATGTTCCGTCAGGGATGAGACGTTTGCTCGAGCTGTGTTCGGGGAAGGCAACGTACAGATGATAGAATCCGATTAACGTCAGGAGATGGTGACCCAGATCGGGGTCTTGTATGTGGGGGACCAAATCCATGTATGATGCAGTTGTATACTGTGTAAGCTTAGCATCGACTCAGTTATCCATATTGATATTCGTATTCGATACCAGTGCGAGCCGAGGCCGTTGAAACAACAATGTCGTCTAGCATGTTGTGTATGGGTCGCGTCCCCCCACTAGCCAAACTTTACTTGTGAGCGACTAGCGACGCTCATCAAACTTGACAACCCGATCGGAGGCCGTTAAGCGCTCAATCATTAATACAGTATCAATTCAGAAGTTCAACGCAGAGGCTTGATGAAATTGACGTCATGACCGAAGCCGAGAGAGAGTTGTGGTGGCACCGCGGCGACGTGCAACCACGACTTGACTCTGCCTTCCAACCTCCATTAAATGCCATTTCCGCCTGGTCAGGCTATAATCATGTCCAAATCTGCAACAGGACGACTTTCTCCCGCCGCCCTTCTACCACCAGAGCTTCTCGACCAGATACTCTCGCACCTCCCATATGAACGCGCCACCGTACAGTTCCGCCAGAAAAGCTCGCCGCGGTCCTTCAAATCGCAGCTCACCTTCGCACACGTCTGTCGTGCGTGGCGCAATACAGCACTGGCTAGCGAGTACTGGCCTGGTGTGCGCATGAGCCTCAAGAGTGGCAAGCGCCTAAAAGAGGGACTCGACCACGACAATGGCAACGCCCTTCTCTACGTACACATCGACATGGAACACAACTACCCCGAAGTCACGGTGAACAAGCGCAAACAGCGCGCGCCGCTTCTTGCGCTCGCACAACTTCCCCGTATTCGCACCCTCTTCCTCAAAGCCGATCCCGAAGATGATGAGATGGAGATGAACGAAGATGCCGGGCAATATGCGTGGGCGCTCGGAGATCACCCTGCTCCCGAACTGCAGGACTTGACGCTCGGATGGCTGGGAGAAGAGAAGCTCGAGCTCGAGTTCATCAAGCAGCCTTTCCCTCGCTTGCGCTACCTCGCCTTGATGGGCTGCGACTTGACGAGGCACCAAACCATCCTTCAAGCAGACAACGTCGTTCAAGCGAACTTCTGGGATGTCTACGTATTTGAAACAATTGATGAGCTTGTCGACACGTTCTCACAATGGAAGCGTCTGGAGTACGTCAATATCTCGAACTCGTGCCTCATTGGCAGTGGAAGCAAGGAGACGAAGTACAAGCCTCGCTCTGCGTATCTGCCAGCGCTCAAGGAGATCACCTTCTTCGACAATACGACGGACATAGGGACGTTCTTGACCTACGTCGCCTTTCCTCCAACGACGAGGGCTGACATATGCTTTAACTCTTCATCGTCAACACCCGAGCTCACGCGTCGTGTCGCGGACGCCGTTCATGGTCACTTCGACTCACCAGAAGGACGCTCCTTCATCGCCTCCGCCCATGCTCTCGTCATCTCCTACCCGAACGGCTATGAGATACAGACCTACTAGGCACTGCATAAGTGGCGTCACGGATGACGGCAAACCGGAGTCGTGTTTCTTGTTCCACCAGAACGGTGCGAAGGCGCCGTTCTTGGAGGAAAACCTCGATCGTTTTCCCGCACTGGAGACAATCTCCAGACTCGACCTCAGCCAGATGGACCATTTCTATCCCGGACCTCCCCCACCGCAAATCCTGCGACGCTTTACAAAGGCGACTGACCTTATACTAAACCAGAACTGCCGTTTCATAATAAGCGATATCACGAAGGACGCGAAGCTGTTCCCTAGACTTGAACATCTAGAGTTATTCGCTTTCATCGTGCAAGGAAAACACCGGATCGCGGATTTTGACAAGACACTCGAGGCAGCGCGTAAAGCGCGACCGGCTTTGGCGCGACTTGTGTTACGTGGATGCAGATTTGGAGGGGAAACATTTGAGAGTGTGTTTGGGAAAGGGAATGTGCAGATTGAGGCGATCCCCAGGCGATGACAGGCCGATGCCTTGATAGAGTGCTCTTCTTGCGTAACGCATGTTTGTTCTATGTACATACGCACCACACTATACCAACATGATACGCTCTATACGTGCGCGCTTTGTAGCACTCCAGTGGCCTTCTTGACATCCCCACAATTCCGTAAAGACCGTGACCGTGACGTCGGAACGACGCGTCTGCTGTCTGCCTGAATACTTAGCACTTGTTTCCTGCGATCATCCACCAGCTTGATCTCATCCAACTTGCTCGCAAAATGGCCCATTCTATGCCTGAGCGACGGTCCCATGCTTTACGCCTTCCTCCAGAGCTACTCGATCATATCTTCTCGTATATCCCATACGAACGCGCCTCGGTCCGAATCCATCAGAAAATCGAGCCACGATCATTCAAGACGCAACTGGCCTTCGCTCACGTCTGCCGGGCGTGGCGCAGTATAGCCCTCGCCAGCGACTATTGGCCTGGCCTTCGCCTTCCCCTACAAGATGATCGGCGGCCAGGCAAGGCTCTGGTCCACGATAGCGGCAACTCCCTGCTCTACGTGCATGTCGACATGGACCAGTTTCAATCCCCCAGGCATACCGTCAACGAGAAGATGAAAGACATTACACTCCGAGCTCTCAACCAGCTTCCGCGCATCCGTACTCTATTTCTGAGGCTGGATCCCGATGACGACTACATGACCTTTTGGGAGAAGTACGACGACGAATCCGATGCGTGGGAGTTCGCGCACGCCCTAGGAGAACAGGATGCCCCCGAACTGCAGGACCTTACGCTTGGATGGATGAGCAAAGAGCACCTACGTCTCGACTTCATCGAGCACCCCTTTCCTCGCCTACGATATCTCTCCCTGATGCGCTGCACCTGGGAGACGCGCAGTCGCACACTCTTCCAAACCGACAATCTTGTGCATGCAAACTTTTGGGATGTCCGGCTTTGCCTGTCCGTCGACGAACTCGTCGACACATTCCTGCAATGGAAGCGGCTTCAGTATCTCAACATCATGGGCTGCAATCTCATGAGCGGGACGCTCGGCCCCACGACATATAATCGTCGCGCCGCGTATTTACCCGAGCTCAAAGAGATAGAGTTCTCGGGAGAAGCCAAGGATATCGGGACGTTCATGACTTACGTCGCATTCCCGCCTTCGACAAGCACACGTCTTTCCCTAAGAAGCATGTACGATGCGAGGGATACATCGTCGGCTCTCAAAGATGCCATCCACGATCATTTCGACATACCTCAAGGACGCTCCCTGATCAAGGATTCGCATTCCTTTGTCATCGCCTACCCAACCGGATTCGAGATTCAATCGTACGCTCCCGAAAATTCACCCCCCTTCTTCTGGCGGCATATGGACAACAGGCCGGAGTCCCAGTTCATCTTGCGCGGATTTGGCTCGCAAGCTGGCTTTCTCAGCGACGTTCTTTCTCATGTTCCTGCGTTGGAGCATGTATCTCGTCTTGACCTTGGACAAAGTGCTGCCCCTCGCGTAAGGCCCCCGCCGATACAACTTCTGCGACGCTTCGTCGCCGTAACTGAGCTGATTATCAACACCGACTGGCGCCACGTTTTAGACGCCATGCTACTGGACAGTGCTTTGTTCCCAGAACTCGAATGTGTGCAGTTATTCGACTTCGACTTGCGCGACCAATCCACGACGACACCGTTACGCAACGTGTTAGACAAAGTGCGCAAGGGCCGCGCAAATCTCGTCCGGCTCACTCTACGAGAGTGCTATATGGGAGATGAAGCATTCAAGAGCGTCTTCGGAGACGACAACGTGTTGATTAAGAGTTCAGATGAAGAAAGCGAGGACGATCATTATTATTAATCCATTAGACATGAATAAATCGATAGCCCTCCTTGTCCGTTGGACCTTCTTATCACAATTTACCTCTATGTCTACATGAAGCAATAGGGATGTTCTCGATCAAATGAATGCTACATCGCACACCAGGGCTCTTGAGTGATCCCGGACAACGCAGTTCCGGGGAAGTATTGACGCTGCCGTTGACGTCGACGAACAAGTGAAAGTCATCGACCGCGCCCCCAAGGTTTCAACAGGATATCTCACATCACAAATCACCAATGATGAGCGTCGTGAAGGTTGGTATAAAGCGCGTAATCTAACATCTAACATGACAAGTCCCCCAGTAAAAGTACAATGGAACACGGATCGCAAGCAGGAAACACAAGTCATGCAACGCCCTATGTAGGCGCGCAGCGGTCGACGGAGAGAACAGCCGGGTCGGGGTTGCCCCACCAGTAGGGGAAGTCGACGGCCTTCCCGCTTGCACCGAATACAGCGAAGCTCTGAAGCGCTCGTCAGCACATGTATGTGGAGGAACATCTGCGAAAGGCTACTCACGAGAATGAAGATGATGACTTGTGATCCACCGTCGAGCGCGGCGGATGTGAGGTAGTTGTACTTCTTGAACCACTTCGGGCGGTACTGGCGTGCCCACCACTGCGACGCCAAACCGATGACGAAGCACGACCACCACTGGCCGTTGACCGAGTAGGGCAGGTAGCCGATATAGAGCAGGATGACGGACGTGTGGACGAAGTCACCGGTGCGCTTGATCAAGCTGCCGGGCTTGCCGAAGCGGCTTGCGAGCCAGAAGGGGATGGGGATGAAGAAGCCGATGAAGATGGCGAAGGGAATGAGCCTGACAGGCGCGTGAGAAAATGTTGAATGACAGTTGCGCGTCATGAGACTCACCAGTAGGCGTTACCGTAGGTGAAGAGCTCCTTGCCAAGCGCACCCATGGCAATCGAGGCCGAGTTGTACTGCTGGATGATCCAACCAGACCAGAGACGCGTTCCGGTGGGGTCCTGGAGAACAGCGCGGTTGGTCGTGACGATAGACTTCATCATCGTGTAGTTGAAGATCGAGCCGACGATAGAGCCTGCCATCTGCGCTGCGAACGTCCAACGAGGCGGGATCTTGGTGTACTGGCCGAGCTTCAAATCCTGCAGCATGTAGAGAACTTGCCACGTCGTCGAGTTGCCGTACAAGTTGGCGTACATGACAGGGCTAAGGCACTGTCAGCACAGGGGTTACAATCGTAGGATTGGGTGTACGCACATGGGCTGACCCGGGTGAATGAACGATGCGATGACCTGGATGGCATACTTGATGGAGATGTTAAAGCCGGTAGTCGCCGTGATGAAGCCCAAGAAGATGGAGAAGAAGGCCGACATGAGCGTGAAGACGATGATGGACCACGCGGGCATGAGAACGAGGCCCTTGACGGCGTAGCTGCAGCCGATACCGACAGCCAGGGAGATCACAAAGAGCGTAATGTACCACCACATCGGCACCTCCTTGTACTTGAGCATAGCTTTGTAGTGGGGGTCATCGATGTCCGTCTTGTTCGTGAGCAACTCTCTCACGCTACCGAACGCTTTCCGAGATGTCAGTTGCGGCGCGTCGCTATGGACGGGATGTACATACCAGCCTTCAGGTCCTTCCAGTTATAGAGGAAGACGTGCGTGATGGCGGCTCCCAAAGACAAGTTGTAGGTCATCTGGGAGATGACATATGTGGTCGTGTAGCGCGGCAGGCCCACGGTCGCGATAGCAGTCTCGTTGAGTGTGTACTCGGGCGTAAGAACGGCGTCCTGGTCGTAGGTCGAGCCGTTGCTGTTGAAGAGCGACGTGGACATCCAGAGGATGTCTTTTCCATCGTACAGGTTGCTGTAGTACGCCGACGTGAGAACGATGTAACCGAACACCATGCCGACTGTTAGAGCGAATCAGTACTTGCACGCATAGACGTCAAAGAAATGACGGACTGTACGAGTTGAGCTGTGTGCGCCAGGGCCATACTAAGGGGTATCCCTGGGTAATGAGCGTCCACGACGTGCTGAACGACAAGAGACCGATTCCCTCGTTAGACGACCCGGCACCGAACAGGTTGCGGATGATGGAAGGACCGCGACCATTGCTGGCCAAGCAGATGACTGAGAACGCCGTAAGGAGCGGGAAGGGGTATTGGGGGATCCTGCGGTTATGGCGTCAATCTCCCGACGATTTGAGATTATCGGGCATGGTACGCACCACTCCCAGCAGAAGATCGCCGCAAACACAATCCAGAAGTAGCGACGCTTCTTGTGGTTGAGAAGACCGCCGAAGTGCAGCGACTGGAGCAAGTTGACGACGGAGATGTAGGTCGGGTAGAAGGCGTATGTGGGATATACAAGCAAGTTGCGGACTGCGCTCTGGATCAGTCGATGGGCGGGACGCCATGAATAGCAAACTTACGCAGTCCCGCAATGCCGTACCCGATCATCTGCGAGGCAAAGATCTGGAAGATACCCACAGCCGCATTCAACTGGATGTCATAGAAGAGATCTGCAGAAACAAGTCAGTCGGGGCTGCTGCGCGCGCCGAAAAGGACATGTGTGACGGACCGAGTGCGGCGATGATCTCCATCGCAATGGCGACGGTAGAGGCCGTGGAGGACATGATAACGATAACGGTGTGCTCCTTGATGTTGAACGGACCAGGGTTGAGATAACGCCACCATCCAGAGCTGGGCATGATAGCTGCATGGGTATCAGTACGTGGTCATGTGCAAGGTAGAGGTCATGCGTACAGTGCATGCCAGTGCCAAGTACATATGCGATAATCAAACAGAACAGCTGCGAGACGGATGCGTTTTGCGGCTTGAACGTGTAGATCGTGGCCAACACAGACGTGAAGGCGCTCAAGCCGATACCCAAGAAGATAGACCGGAATGTGCACACGGGGAGGTCTGGGTCATCCTCAGCGGAGAGAATCTATCGACTGGTGTAAGAAAGTGATGCACTGAAGATCGCGAGCCAATACGTACCGCCACAGCGACGTCCTCGGCCTTCTCGATGACCTCCTCAGAAACATCGTCGACATCGGCGTCGATAGCGACCTTCTCGGTCACAGAGGCGCCGTCAGAGAACTTCTCCTTGTCGAGCGAATCCGAGGTCGACGAGCGCTGTTTGAGCTCGTGAACGTCGGCGAGGTCGGCCATGGTGATGAACGAAGCACCGGAGGGTCCTGTCCCATCAATATCCAGTCCGAGTACTTTTATACCAACAGATAAGAGCCGCTTATCGGGGTTGCTCTGGGCGCATAAGAATTTGCGAGGCACGCGCTGGCCTCGGATGTTTCGTAGAAGCGTTCATGGCAGCTCACAGAGGAGCAGAGATAAGGCTGAGCCTAAGGTCGGCCCCGATCCGCAACGTCCGAAGCTTGTTGAGGCGTATGCAAAGCGGCATGGAAGCTCTGCAGAAGCCGCGTTCCGTGACCTCACCGGCCTCACCTGGTGTGCAGAAGAACCAACGAAGGATAGTTCACCCACGTTAGTGGTTTGTCGAAAGCGAACATTGCGTGAACAAGCCCATGTCTGTGCTTTTTTGCCTCGTACCGCCCTGGAAGCCTGCATCCTCCGGGGTGGTAGTGTGACGACAGCAGCCCAGGAACTTCAGGTACTCGACAGATAACAGACATGACTGCCTATCAAATCTGCAGCGTTCAACAACAAGCTAGCAAAATTGCTGTGGTGATCGGCGCTGTGCAGCGGCAGTCATGATAAGGTCGGCCGACGAGTCTTTTACTCGGAATCAACCGGCGCTTCCTCCCATTTAGTACTCATACGAGGCTGCGACGCGTATCTTGAGCGCACTTTGCGAGCCCCGCGGCCGAACATCGGGGGGTCATGGTAGTTCGTCGTGCGCCCAGACGTGCAACTCGACGGCGCGGGTGCGTCCGCGGGAATTCCCGCGGCGCGCTTAGTTCACCCCTGCCACCCACCTCTCTCCGTCAACTATCAATTTATCCTATCGCTAGCCTGTACTTGTATGTGGATGGTGCGCGCCGCGCGCCAGAGACCTGCGCAAGCCATTCACCGTCAGAGTCGAAGAAAGAACAGCGACGTGTTCTGTGTCGGCATTCACTGCAAAGAGTGAAGTCGCGATGGCGTGCTCCTTTGCAACCAGCTCGTGCATTATTTTTCTCTTTCATAAAGCTCAATGGTCATTATGAAATTACTCATCTGACCCCTTCTCGACATCCTCCAAGCTTTCTACCCCCAAAACTAGTCAGTCGCGATGGCCAACACACCCCACGGAGGCGTCTTGAAGGTGCGCGGTTGTCTCTCCGCACTGGGCGTGGTTTATTGATTTGAACGATTCACAGGATCTCCTTGCTCGCGATGCGCACATCTCAGCACAACTGGCGGAGGAGGCACTCACCCTACCTGACATCATTCTGACCGAGGTACGCTCGCTGCTCAGAAATATGATATATCCGTGTCGGCTGACGTTCATGAATCATCTAGCGTCAACTCTGCGACCTCGAATTGATCATGAACGGCGGGTTCAGCCCATTGGAAGGATTCATGAGCCAAAAAGACTACGACAGGTTCGTCTGGGCGTCATATCTGCGCCATAGATCTCCAACTGAACTCCACTCAAGCGTCGTTGATACCTTGCGCTTGGCTGACGGCGCCCTGTTCCCGATACCCATCACTTTGGACGCATCTCGATCCGACATCGACCGTCTCTCTTTGGCGCCTGGAAAGCGTATCGCTCTACGCGATCCACGCGACGATCAGGCACTTGCTATCTTGACCGGTAGGAGCACCTAATCTCCAGCGATCCACTTAGAGGTCTCTAATCTCGAATTCATCTAGTCAGTGACATCTACCAACCGGACAAGGTCAAGGAGGCCGTGAAGGTCCTCGGTGCTGACGACCCCGCTCACCCCTCGGTTGCCTATCTTCGGGCCAACGTCAAGGACCACTACATTGGCGGCTCTGTACAGGCCATCCAATTACCCACGTACTTCGACTACGTCGCACTGCGTTACACCCCGTCCGAGTTGCGTGCCCACTTCAAGAAGCTGGCATGGCGCAAGGTCGTCGCTTTCCAGACTCGTAACCCCATGCACCGCGCCCATCGCGAGTTGACGGTCCGGGCTGCCCGGCAACGACAGGCGAATGTGCTCATTCATCCCGTCGTCGGTCTCACAAAGCCCGGAGACGTCGACCACTACACCCGTGTACGCGTCTACGAGGCCATCATGGCCAAGTACCCGAACGGCATGGGCCACCTCGCGCTACTGCCCCTTGCGATGCGTATGGCAGGCCCCCGCGAGGCAGTCTGGCACGCGATCATCCGCAAAAACTACGGTGCAACGCACTTCATCGTCGGCCGTGACCATGCTGGACCTGGCAAGAACAGTGCCGGCGTTGACTTCTACGGCCCATACGACGCGCAGGAACTCGTGATCAAGTACCACGACGAACTCAACATCGAGATGGTGCCGTTCCAGATGGTCACATACATCCCGGCGAAGGACGAGTACATGCCCATCGACGAGGTTCCCGCCGGCGTCGAGACCGCGAACATCTCTGGTACCGAACTCCGCAACCGTTTGCGCACTGGCAAGCCTATTCCGGACTGGTTCAGCTATGCGTAAGTCGGAATTCGTCTCCGTACTACTTTCTTTACTCACCCTCGTTATCAGTGAGGTGGTCAAGACCCTTCGCGAGAGCTACCCTCCACGGTCGCAACAGGGCTTCGTCATCCTCCTCACCGGTCTGTATAACTCCGGTAAGGACACCATCGCCCGCGCGCTCCAGACCGTCTTCAACCAGCACGGAGGACGCAGCGTGTCCCTCCTGTCCGGCGACACCATCCGTTCCGAACTCACTCCCGAACTCGGCTTCTCGCCGGACGAGCGCAACAAGCACTTGCAGCGTATCTCTTTCGTTGCTGCGGAGTTGGCGCGGTCAGGTGCCGCCGTCATCGCGGCGCCTATCGCGCCGCATGAGGAAGGCCGCGCATCGTTCAAGGCGGCGATCGAGCACTCTGCTGGTGCGGGCGGGAACGTCTTTGTCGTACACGTCGCAACACCGCTCGAGCACTGTGAGAAGACGGACCGCCACGGAGTCTACGCTTCGGCGCGTCGCGGGGACATCCAGGGCTTCCCTGGCGTTGATGATGTCTACGAGGCGCCCTCCAAGCCTGATCTCACCGTCAGCGTCACCGAGCAGACGATTCCGGAGGTCGTCCACTCCATTGTCCTCCTCCTCGAGGCCACGAGTCTTATCTAGACATACCATATATTCCTGTATCATCTTTCGCTCTTCAAGCTTCATCGGTCACTCATGTTTGTACAGTATCTTGTCGCAGCAGTGTACACACTAGAGCACACTATCAATGTTGTATCATTCACTAGCTTTTACTGAAGTGGGAGGGAAGAGGCGAAGGCACCGTCACTCTGTTGCGCGAACCAGGCAACCAAAAGCGTATGGCGATATACATTGCGACTAACGATACAAGGGCTTACATTGACTCATACTGTACAGATTGCGGCTAGTCGTAGATCTTCTCGCTGAATCCCGGCCAAATCTCCGCCGTCCGGTGCTTCGGGTCGTCGCGCGCGACGTTCTTTGTGCGCTGCCACTTCTGCTTCGCGAACGTCCACTGCTCAACCGTCGGTACGGGGTTGCCAGACTCCTCGAAGACGTTCTGCGTGTAGCCTTCGCGCTGAAGAACAGGTGACTCAGCAACAGTCTTCAGCAGATGATCGTTGTTTGGCCTGGAGAAGTACAGGACCCCCAAGCGGTCAACGTGCTGCTGGTCCTTCGGCGGAATGACGACCCGGTGAATGGTGCTCTGGACGTAGCCGCCAGTCAAGAAGGAGAGAGCGTCACAACTGAGTACCCTGTCAGATCGAGAGATAGAGGGGAGATACGGATCAACTTACGCATTGACTGTGAGCGTCGCATCCTGCGGCTTCACCCAGCGCCACTCCCTAGTGATCGGATCGCGAATCTGCAGAGCCGCTACAGGCTGGCGGAAGAGCAGGGTGAAGCTACCCAGGTCCGTGTGTCCCTGTCCCCAGTTGCCGATCTTGGCGTTCTCTTCCGGCGTGTACCACTTGTACTTCATATAACGGAGATGGTCCTGCGACTGCAGTGAGCAAGAGTGATGCGGTAAGATGGTAGGCGGCGAACCTCAGACTTGATCTCATACTTGTGGAGGTTGACGAAGTAGTCCTCGGGGAGCTCCAGGGCGATGGCAAGAAGGGTATGCAGACGGTCCAGCACCTCGGAGTGCAGAGCGCGAGCAAACCTGACAGTAGCGCCGCGAGATCAGTAAGAGTGCTTTCGACGACTGCTTCTATGCTCACTTTTCTATCTCGGGCAAGTGCTCCTTGATCAGATCGGGGTGCTCGTGCTTGAAGTCGCCGTTGAACTCTACAAGGCATCAGCGCATCAGCAGAGCATCTCACAGGGTCGCAATGAGAGCGATAAGATGACTTACTGGGGATGTTGTAGATCTCAACACGGTCACGAAGACCGGTCTCCTTGTCGATACTGTCACGGATGTGAGTCTGATGAATGAGGGACGTCAAGTGAATCGCATACATTCTGCGTCCCGCCGGTACATAACCGTTGAATCCACCTTGATCTATTGCAAGTAGAGTTGATGTATGTCTTGACGCAAGATGTGGTGCGACGTACCGAGGTTCGAGGGGGTGTACTTGCTCTTCTCTTCGAGGGGAAGTTCGTAGAAGGCTTTGCCGATGGCGAACTGACGGTTCACGTCCTCTTGCGAGCTGAGAAGCATGTGAGAAAAAGACTTGGGATAGAGAGGACGCGATAGCGCACATACATGTTGAAATTCTTGACGTAGAAAAATCCCTTCTCGCGCAGTGCTTTGATAAGGAATGCGGCCAGTTCCTTCTTGCCCTCGGGAGTATCATACTTTGCCAAATCTAGCGTGACAAGCTCGGCCCATGGCAGGTTCTCTTTCGTTTCCGCAACGTAGTTGTAAGCACCTATGGGTGTCATCGACAATGAACATCCTCGCGCCGGCTATGGCAAAGATCCTGGGCATGACTTACCAAGAGATATGGGGACAGGCATGATGGAGTGTAAGCTGATAACTCTGAGTGGGTACTGGGCGGATGCGAAGCTGACAGTCAGATTCGGCCCTTGCTTTTTATACCTGTTCGCACTGTCAGCTTAGCGAGACACAGGCGCCCCACCCGTTAGCGTGGACTGTAAAGCCGATGATCATCTGCGAGGTCACCTCATTCTGAAGTGAGATGACGGGCAAAGCACCTCAGTGGCCCTTGCCGCTATCATTGGTACAAAGCGGGAGACATAGTCGTGCGGGTGCTTTACTTTTGTCCAGCACTAGTGCTGAGTATCTTCACCCGCGACACAAGAGGTTTCTGGCCACCAGATATTTTGAGAACCTCAGAAAGCAAGGGCGTACGACGCGTGACGAGGGAGTTAGGGAATACAACGTGGGCGCTTTGGCTAGTACCGATACATGCACAACTGCTAGAGATACAAGAGCTTACAGTTTCCCCGGTCTTCGAGACACCTACGCGTAGATCTGCTCGCTGAAGCCAGGCCAGATCTCTGCAGTCCGGTACTTAGGGTCGTCACGATGGATGTTCTTGGTACGTTGCCACTTTTGCTTCGCGAACGTCCACTGCTCGACCGTCGGCACAGGGTTGCCGGACTTCTCGAAGACGTTCTGGGTGTATCCTTCACGCTGGAGGACCGGAGACTCAGAGACGGTCTTAAGTAGGTGGTCGTTATGGGGGCGGGAGAAGTACAAAACGCCGAGACGATCGACGTGCTGTTGGTCCTTCGGCGGGATAACGACGCGGTGGATAGTGCTCTTGACGAAGCCGCCAGTCAGGAAGGACAGCGCGTCGCATCTAGGGTAACGTCAGGACCTCTAGGTTGGGGAAATGTCTCAAGCGACTTACGCATTCACAGTGAGCGTCGCATCCTGCGGCTTCACCCAGCGCCACTCGTTGTTGATCGGGTCACGGATCTGCAATGCCGCGACAGGCTGGCGGAAGAGAAGCGTGAAGCTACCCAAGTCCGTGTGTCCCTGTACCCAGTTGCCGAGCCTCTCGTTTTCTTCAGGAGTATATTTGCTGTACTTCATGTAACGAAGATGGTCCTATATCGGATAGTCGGAAACGCGCGGGAGTCCAACTGGAAGTGACGAACCTCGCTCTTGATCTCGTACTTATGCAAGTTCAGGAAGTAGTCCTCCGGTAGCTCCAACGCAATCGCCAGGAGGACATGGAGACGGTCGAGCACCTCAGAGTGTAGGGCGCGAGCAAATCTGAATTCGGCGGTGAGTAGATGTCAGGACTTGACGGCCGCTGTGTGGTGCTTACTTCTCGATCTCCGGCAAGTGCTCCTTAATCAGTTCAGGATGATCCTGCTTGAAGTCGCCGTTGAACTCTACCTCACTGTCAGCGCCGTAAATAAGAGAAATTTCAAGATGAGACGTACTTGGGATATTGTAGACCTCGATGCGGTCACGAAGACCGGTCTCCTTGTCAAGACTAAAGGCAGGAGATGAGGTGTCGCAAGACGAAGAATGGCGATTGCGACTCACATCCTGCGCCCAGCCGGAACGTATCCATTAAAGCCGCCCTCGTCTAATATTCAAGTCAGTTGAGATTCAGCGTTGATACCCGAAGGCGACGTACCAAGGTTAGGAGGGATGTATTTGCTCTTCTCCTCGAGCGGAAGCTCGTAGAACTCCCTGCCGATAGCGAACTGACGGTTCACATCTTCCTGCGAGCTATTTCAAGACGCTTCAGGACAATTGGGACCAAGAGTAGACGATGAAGATACATACATGTTGAAGTTCTTGACGTAGAAGAAGCCCTTCTCGCGCAAGGCTTTGAGAAGAAACTGGGCAAGCTCCTTCTTTCCCTCTGGACTATCGTACTTCGCGAGGTCAAGCGTGACAAGTTCAGCCCACGGAAGGTCCTCCTTTGTCTCCGCGACGTAGTTGTAAGAACCTGTAGAGGATGGTCATGAGCGCCAAGAAAGAGACGCGCATCGAGTCGCGTCGATCACAACGTGTGCGTGACCGCGTTTGGCGACGCCGAACCTTCGCCCTGACGGCCACCTTTTGGGCTTCGGTCATACGCGTAACGCCAACCACTACTCCTTCTCATGCGCATCAAGATCAATCCTCTTACCAAGAGAGACTGGCACGGGCATGCTGAACTCGATTGAGGATGTTCGACAGATGTGATGGCGACGACGGGCGGCTATGAACCGGTTTCAACTGTCGAGGGCTCGATCCTACCACTTTATACGTGCCCCCAGATCCAGCTTATCGAGACACGGACACTCCGTGTCGAGCCCGGGGCACTTTTCCGACAGCGTAGGCTCTCAAGCCGATGGTCATCTGCGAGGTCACCTCATTTCGAAGTGAGATGACGGGCTCGCACCTCAGCGCGTTCCGGCGCTACCTTTATAACCAAGTAACCAAGATTGTCAAGATGTTTCCATGGGCTATACTGTATGTCTTCTGTTGGAATGCCGTACGGGCGCGAAACTCCCGCTCTGCGCAGTACTGGGTCCCCTGCTGGCGTGCTTGAGGCTCCTCAACTTGTGCTCACCAGCGCGACTCAGGTGTTCTGGGTTTGTAGACTAGATCATCATACGCTGATCGCCGGCGCTGGGTACCATCTTATCTCTGTCGTGGGTCTGTCGTGCTGGTGACGTTGCGCTTCCTTGGGCTGTATTGCCCACCCCCACGCCATGCTTGATCGAGCCTTCTCCGAATGTCCGCTTGACGAGGCTACGTACATGCCGTCCTGTCTAACCGCTTTCTATACAGTCAGGCTCTTTCGCGTTTGATCCAAACGATGGTGCAATGCCGGTTCGTAGCGCGTCGTTAAAGCCTTCCGTCTGCGCAAAGGGTATGTTTCTTTCGGCCGCACGATGGTCACAGCCGCCCACTCCAAGGATGCCTACGCGTCTTCCTCGTCACTTGCTTCGAAGCCGCACTCTTGGAAGAACTATGTCTGGTGAGTTCCTTCCAATGGTGCACCGGATTTCTGATGACATTTTTCCCGTAGGGATACCTGGAACAAGCCGGCGGATGAGCGCCGCTTTCTTGCGCGCCTTGACGCGTGTCTGATCACCTACGCTGCACTCTCGTACTTCAGCAAGTACCTGGATCAGCAAAACATTACTGTCAGCCGGGTTGGTTGGTCTTGGCAGGATAGTCGTACTGACGCTCTTGTAGAACGCTTATGTCTCTGGGATGCAAGAAGAGTGCGTTTCGTGACTCTCCTATTTGTCGTCCAGTAGCTGATCGCATCCTGCAGCTTGAATCTGTACGACTCCCTGTGCTGTGCTCCATTCAAGAAATCTGACATGGGTCCAGGGGTGGAAACCAGTTGAACTACATCACGACTGCCTGGACATGTGGTTACGTTATCGGTCAGCTCCCATCGAAGTGCGTCCCACCTTCACCCATACATCATGCACCTTCTCACATCCGCTTATAGTATGCTTATCACGCGGGTGCGCCCGTCGATCTGGATCCCTGCGATGGAGCTGCTTTGGTCCGTCCTCACAATGTGCCTTGCTGCTAGTAAGAACTTCTCGACGCTTGTCGCCATACGCTTCTTCGTGGGGTTGGCCGAATCGACATTCTATCCCGCTATCCAGGTGCGCCTGATCAACATCTATCTACAATTCTGTTCGCTGATGATATGCCAGTATGTCATTGGAAGCTGGTATAAGCCAGAGGAGCTGGGCAAACGTGCTTGTATCTTTCATGTACGCAAGAGCTTCCTTTTACAAGCTCTCAACGCTGACATACCTCAGACGGCAAGTTCTATTGGGCCCATGGTCAGCGGAGTCTTACAGGCGGTACGTGCTTGCGAGCCGGCTCTCAACTTCACGCTTATGCACGAAAATAGGGGGTGTACAACGGGCTGAATGGCAAACATGGTGTTGCAGGGTGGAGATGTACGCGATACCCATCTACCTGCCTCGACTTGGCTGACTGTGTTACCTAGGGCTGTTCATCATCGACGGAGTCATCACGATCCCCATCGCTCTACTCGGCTTCCTCATTATGCCTGATCTTCCTACTACGACGAAACCTTCCATCTTCCTCAGCGAGGAGCAGCTGGAGATTGGCAAGAGGCGAATGGAGGAGGTCGGACGTAAACCCCCTTCCCACTTTACAAAGAAGAAAGTGCGTTACTCGTTGCCTTGCATCGTGGATGCTAGACTCATGGCCGCCAGATTCTATCATTCGTCTCTACTTGGCATTTCTGGACCTTGGTACCACGTGCGTATCAACACGATGTTTTCTGTTCACGTCGACTGATTGGACATTGACAGTGTACATCCTGGTATGCAAGGGTTCCTCATGAGATGTATCTTTCCCTCAACATCGCTCACAGTTCAACAATGGATCGGGTGGTTCAAGTAGCATGATCTTCTGGTACACCTCAAACCCAAACCTACACGCAGATTGTGATCTCTGATCCATCGTTCAGGTTGAAGAGCTTCAATACTCGCGCGGGTCGCACCATCTACACTGTTGCTCAGATCAATCAGTACCCGTTGCCCATATATGCAGTGACCATCACGTCCAGTCCGTCAAGCTATCTCTTCGCTGTTCCGAAGCATCGATCTCAATCTATCCTCAGCACTCATCTACGCCTGGTGGAGTGATATTGTCCGCAAGAGGTGGCCACCCATGCTCTTCGCAGGCGTGCGTCTCCTCTAGGTCTCGCGTGATTCGAACCTGACCCATGCGTCAAACAGACATGGTCCATGATCACATACGCCGTCCTGGCATCAACGCCGGTCTACACCCACATCACCAGGTAAGCGTCCCTCTCATCTTCGAGGAACTTCTCCCTAATTGCTTTTCTACCTAGGCGCTGGGTCTTCTACTACTTCGTACGTCACGCGTTCACTGCCTCACATGAATGAAACCTCTGACTCCCAGCGCAGTCGCAGGTCCAGGGTGGCCTCTCCGGTCTCATCCTTGCGTGGGCTAACGAGCTGACCGGGGATGACAACGAGAGTGAGTGACCACACAACCGCTCTGCGCATCTGAAGCTCATGAGGCACACCTCAGAGCGCTCTTTCGTGGTGGCTTCTTGCAACATGTGGGCCTACGTTTTCCAGGTGAGTACGGCTGCATTCCTATCCGATATCCGCTAATCTTGCCCCGCAGGCATGGCTCCCTATGTAAGCTATCATCGAGCGGGTGTAGGCACTTTGCTGACGCACAACACTAGTGTCATCTTCCCTCAAGTCGAGCAACCTGTGTAAGTCCTTGACATCGCGTCGTGCATTGCGTCAGACGTTAACAATGGCGCCCCAGTGTACACAAGGGTAACGTTGCTACAGCGTGCATCAACGCCGGCATGAGTGCGTATATCCGATCATTTTTGATCCCATTCGATGCTCATGATCACCAGTGTCATTCGCGATGCTCACGCTCTTCATGCAAAAGCGCGAGGAGCGCCGTAAGGCCAAAGAGCCTGAACACCTCGAAGAAGGTCCTCGCGCTCTTGAGGAGCTTGAGTACGGTGAAGAGGGCCTAGATAACAAGGACGACAAGTTCGTGACAGTCACCGCTGCGGATTGAAGCGTGAAGATCAACGAGGTGTATAGTAGATTCTTCATGTATAGGACAGGAGTGCTGGGGCGTATGATGACGACTGCGACGGGGCTTTTGCGACCTGCTCCCACGGTGCATGACACTGCCCATTATGTAAAGCTCGCCACCCTTGGCTGAGATCAAATCGTATGCTGTTCTAGTTGTGTTTCAGTATTCGACAGCCAGTTATCCTACGTACGAAACCGCGTCCCGAATCGATTGACTAGGCACCTAAAAGCATAATGGGAACTTCGCCTGGCGCCGCAACCATCGTAGCGCTCGCTTATCATCGCGCAAGAGTGGCTCCAGCCTCTCGACGCAGGTCCGGTTGTGTTTCTATGATAGCCTCAGTTTCAGGGTCTACTTCGTTCAGGCATTAACGTACTTTGAGCCATTCGCGCTCTTCACGGCTCATAAGATCCTTAGCGCACATCTTCGGCTGAATTGGGACGCAAGTCAACCGCTCAAACCCGAGCCAAACCGGGCCGTTGAATTCGTGTTTGGTGTGAACGGACCGTACGACGAGAGCGCTCTCAATTCGTACGCCGAAGTGTCCGGACTTGTCTATAAGCAGATGTCAGCCATGCTCGATATCATGATGAAGAAGTACGCACAGAATGCAGGCTCATTCGTGATGACATTCCCGGGTGCAAGTGGGACGTCGCTTGAGAAACCATGCGGACCCTCGTGTACCGCGAGGAAACTCCCGAAACTGTGTCCCGTTCCGTGCCCATAGTTGAGTCCATCTTGCCAGAGTTTGTGTCGCGCCAGTACGTCAAGCTGTTTGCCACTCGTTACTTGGGGCCAGATGGCTTGATCAATCGCGATGTGTCCTTGCAATACGCGCGTGAAGGCCTCTTGTTGCTCCGCGGTGGGCTTCTTGAAGTGTACTGTGCGTGTCGTATCGCATGTACCATCAAGGTATTGGCCACCAGAGTCCATCAAGTAGGGAGTCGAGGTGTCGATCACAAGGTTCTCATCCGCTGTGGGGAAGTAGTGCGGCAACGCTAGTGCAGGAGGATTGTGTGAGCGCTACGTGCGCGAGTTAATAACAATGTGACGCACCGGCGTTTGGTCCAGTACAGCTCATTGCTGCACCCTTCAAACCACGGAAGTTCTCATCCTGGCGCTGGTACTTCGTCAAACGCTCGGCCGCGTCCCATTCAGTGATCTGTGTGATGTCATCAGCCAACTCCTTGAGAGCATGATGGCACCTACTGTCTCGCCCTTTCCTATCATTTCTTCAAGCCACGCGAAGAAACGAATAAAGCAGGCGCCATCCCGCAGGTACGCATATCGGAGGCCTTCAATCTCGACGTCGTTCTTGACAGCTTTCATCGTGTCGATGATCGACTGGGCAATGGTGTAACGGGGTCCCGTCAATGCGAGAGTGACCGCGTAAGGTGTCGTACCGTTGACTAGTATCTGATAAACCAGAGTATTAGCGGCGCGAACTGCAAATAAAGTGAAATGCACACGTTCGCTTCACCCCACTCGTGGAGACTGAGGTAGTCCCAAACCTCGTCGTATCCGCGTATAGTCACTTCCAGTCCGGCGAGGTAATCTTGAGTCTATACACAAGCATGAATAACTTTTCACAGTGCACTTGGAAAGGTAAAACGAACCCCTCGTCCCAGTTGAGAGGGGTTCACGAATAGGATCGTCTGCTGTGTTCCGATGAACAGGTAGGAGTAGAAGAACGGGCAATACGGCACATCGTCTCCCCGCAGATTCAGCACATATGCTGTGCCATGCCTATAAGCGGCGAAAGACAAATGATGATCTATATGCAGCGTACCGATGTTTCCCAGCCCGCTTTCGAACAATCCGCCATAGTTCTGCGCGACAATCCATTCACGCACTTGATCCAGCTTCTCTCGCGCATCGCAGCCTAACAAGACATGAGCGAGTGCGTTCGATACGGAATGAACGATACGCACCTGTGAACTCGATACCGTGCGTCACGATGGGCTTATTGGTTGGCGGAGGGCGGTCACGTCCCCTGATAGAGTCGTCATTGGTAACCGGGAGCACTTAGAGCAGCCGCACGCACCAAAGGGTATCCACAAAGTTCTCTTCAGGAAAGAGCAACGTGCTCTCCGTCTTGACAAACGCGGCCTGCAATGTTAAGACGCTTTGGATAGTGATGGTATGAGCGTCGATGCCCACACGACTTGAATGTGCGTTGTCCTGAAATGAGGATATGTTTGTGAGTATGAACCGGCAACTAGAGGGCGAAACGAACAATCAACCAGCCGATGAAGTTGCTCGGGCTACCCGGCGCCCCGGCGGTGACAATGGTCCAATGTGAGAGGTCGAGCTGCCTCTCTGCTTGCTCCCAGAAGCGACTGTCCGTGACCAGATACGCATCGTTCATGCCGACAATGGCTTGACCCGCGTTGCCTGTTCATAGGTACATGTCAGCACATGCGAGCTGGGCAAGAGGGCAAGGTCATACCGGTGAAACCACTGATCCATTGAAGACGCTTGTCCGCTTCGGCGACATTCTCGTTCTGGTGCGCATCCTCGCTCGGAATAACACTGAAACTCGCAATCAGTATAAGATGCGGGTGGAGGAGCGGGGTATAACGCACTAGTAATCCAGCTTGTTCTCTTGCATGAGCTCCCTTAGCTCTCTCAGTCGCCTTGCAATTTTGCAAAACCTTCGCGTGTTGTCCGCCTTCTTCATTATACCATCAGTTGTGCTTGAGCCGGTGAATGCATCATCGTCTATGCCCTGAGCACGCTTCCCCGTCGAAGCGCTCTTCTCGGCACCTCTGCCCAATGTTGGGAACGGTATGCAGAACAGGGTTGGCGTCATAGTGTCACCAAGAGCGCTATAGTGTAGCTGCAATCTGCAGGTAAGTGCACTCAGTCATGAGAGTATAGAAGAGCCGTAGCGGCCCGGGCTGATATCCCAACCGTAAGTCCAACTACGGCTCTCCGTGTTATCTTCGTTTCCCAGCAGCGCCACTGACCGTGTGCATGGCCCCTAGGAGACAGCCTTTAGAGAGGCATATTCTGCACTTGCTACATGGTGCGTATTTCGACGATGGAACGAGGGATGAATATCGCAATGTATATTGTATAGTGGATGTTGTCGTCCAAGACCTGTCGGGGCTCGGATGTGGCCCTCCGGCTATCGCGTGGCGTTTGATCCGGTGCTTCGAAGTTACCACGAGGCTCCGGGTGGCCGCGCGCTGACGATAATCGGTCTCCTCCCTATACAGACAACGCCTGAAGCGTATAGTGCGCTCACTCACAAAAAGGCAACAAAGAGTATGCATGACATCGAGCATGAAGCCCAGCTAGCACGTGTACGGCATCGCGCATACAAATATCGTCTTAATTGGCTACTGGCTCGTACACACTGGCACTGATCGATCCGAGTGACGTTGGCAGAAATCACAGTTGGCCGATTCCTTGCATGTGTACACTTCGTTGTAACCGATCGCTCAAGCACTACATATCTCAAACTCGGACGACATGTTGCCACTATCGCCGAACACTGACAGACGACGGAGCGGTCAGATTCTGCCTTCATCTCGCAACGAGACCGCGAACTCACGAGTGATACAGTAGTCCTTCGCGGTCTCAAGACCAGCGGGAACGGTAACTTCGACGGACCCACACTTGAGGTCAAAGCCTTCGGCAACTAGTGAAAGAAGTGTCAGTCAACCTGCAGACGGATCAAGTGGTCCACTCACGGGTTGCGAGGATCTTCCCCGCTCGCTTGAGGACGACGGAGCTGCCATTGGAGATCTGCTCAGGCGCGTTGGATGCATCCCTACAGCAGCCTTAGTCACGATTTGACGGAAGGGGTCGACGATCGCGTACCAAGTGACAGTAGCGGCGGCACCGGACACCCACTTCGTGTCGGCCGTCGGGCTCGTGATGGGCGGTACAAAGACAACCATGGTGGCAGTGAGTTGGTGATACAGTGGAGAAGGAGGCGAGCGCGCTGAGCCGGTCGCTGAAAGTGAGCTTCGAGCTTTATACTCGCGACTGGCAGTTTACATACTTTGCCATGCACGGAGCGTAAGTGACTGGAGACGGGCGATATGCGCCGTTGGACGTAAACAAACGTGCAATGGAAGTTCGAGCGAAGCCATACCACCAGCCTACATGCATTCTCGAGGCTTCGACCGGATGAACAGCAGCGGTCAACTTCATAGAACTCACTCAGAAGTACCGGCGCTACTCAGGCCGGGCCATCGTCTTGTCGACTAGGGTAGAATAATCCGCGGCGGCCAAAAAAGACATGCGCGGTGCGGCGGCGACTGAGGATTAAGTATGCTTTCTCTTTGGGACTACTGAAATCGAGGCCAAACAGTCAGAGACGCGCCGCATCCCGTGCCTGCCTCTTCAACCACTTCACCGCGCGCTTATCATGCTTGAGCAACGGCTCTAGCCTCTCCAAACAAGTCCGATTATGCTCCTACAGTCCATCATCAGCATCGCAATCACATCACACAGTCGAACGAAGCGCACCTTCAACCATGCCTTCTCCTCCGGACTCATCAAAGCCCTCAAACACATCTTCGTCTGAATCGGCACACAAGTCAGCCGCTCGAAGCCGAGCCAGATCGGGCCGTTGAACTCGTGTTTGGTCTTGACGGGCACGACGACGAGAGCCGATTCGAGGCGGACGCCGAAGGAGCCTTCTTTATCTACGCACTCCCGTTAGAATCAAGCAATGCTGTGGGGGCAAGAGGACGTACAGAACCCCGGCTCGTTGGTTATGACGTTCCCGGCTACAATTGGCACCTCGATGCCGAACCCGTGCGGACCCTCGTGTACCGCTAGGTAACTCCCGAAGCCATGGCCCGTCCCATGTCCGTAGTTCAACCCGTCCTTCCACATCTTGACCCTCGCAAGCACGTCCAACTGCCGTCCACTAGTTCCTCTGGGGAAGATAACCGAGTCCAGTGCTATATGCCCTTGCAACACACGCGTATAGGCTTCGGACTGCTCGTACGTGGGTTTGGAACCGAGGAACACGGTCCGCGTCGTGTCGCATGTGCCGTCGAGGTATTGACCGCCGGAGTCGTTCAAGTAGGGTGTTGAGAGGGATAAGGGGAGGGAAGATGAGGAAGTCGGATGGTAGTGCGGTAGTGCAGCGTTAGGACCGGTCGAGCTTATATCCTCATATGCCAACCCGCGGAAGTTCTCTTGCAGTTTGCGGTACTCGGTCAACTTCTGTGCTGCGCTCCATTCGGTGACCTGTGCATGCAGCTTTATGAGCACCGTCCCCCTCCCCCTCCCAATCACAAGCAACACGTACCTTCTCGCCATTCGCGATAGCCTCCTCGAGCCATGCGAAGAACTGCACAAAAGACGCTCCGTCCCGAGTGTACGCCTTCCTGAACCCCTCGATCTCGACTGCGTTCTTGACGCCTTTCATCGATTCAATGATGGATTGCGTGACGGTATAGCGGCCTTCGCCCAGAGCGAGTGCTACGGCGTACGTCGCCCCAGCGTTGATCAGGATCTATGTGTGGATGTGAGGATCATGACGGTGAGAGCTAGAAAGACTGAGCCCCGTACCTTGTCGTCACCCCATTCATGTTGGCGCAGGAAGTTCCACACATCGTCGTATCCGCGCGTGACGATGTTCAATCCAGCAAGGTACTCCTTGACCTATGAGAGGCACACATAAGCCATTTGCGAAGACCGCGGATTCAAAATTCAAATCGACGATACATGCCTCACTTGTGAGCTGTTCGGGCTTGACGAAGAGCGTCGTTTGCTCGAGCCCGATGAATAGGTATGAGAAGAAGACGGGGTAGTACGGCACGTCATCTCCGCGCAAGTTGAGTACGTAGGCTATGCGACTCATGTCAAGAGGTGCAATCCGGACTGAGTATGTTACTCGAACATACCGATAGCACTCAATCCGCTCTCCAATAGTCCGGCGTGTCCTTGCGTATGAACCCACTTGCGTACATCGGCAAGCTTCTCGGACGCGTCGCAACCTGTTTGAGCTATGAGACATGCATCGCAAGTGCGAAATGCACTGGATACGGACCTGAGAACTGGAGCGGATGAATCACAACGGGCGCCTTGCTCGGCGACGGTCGGTCGCTTCCCCTACGAACAGTGTTAGCAGCTAAGCACTGTCAGTATCCGCTCATGCGCACCATGCAATGTCGACGAGATTCTCCTCCGGAAACACGAGCGTGCTATCGTTTGCACTCAACGCAGTCTGAATAGACTTCGCGTTCACGAGCGAGACTGTGCGCGCGTCTATACCAACGCGAGATGAACGTATGTTGGCCTGCATACTGATAAGCCCGAACGTCCTCATTGGGTGAAAGCGTGTGTACGAACAGAAAGCCACCCGACGTAGTTGGTCGGGCTACCCGGCGCGCCGGCCGTTACGAGCGTCCAGAGCTCCGTGTCGAGTTGACGAGTCGCTTGAGTCCAGTACCGGCTGTCGGTGACGAGGTGGGCGGTCTCGAGACCGATGAGGGCTTGGCCCGCAGAGCCTGAAGAGATGTATGTCCATGAGTGAATAGTGGTGCAAAGGGGTGGTCTGCATACCTGTGAAGCCGCTGATCCACTGACGGCGCTTGTCCGCCTCGGCGACATCTTCGTTCTGGTGTGCGTCTTCGCTCAACACGACGCTATACTGCCGGGTCAGCACAGTACCTGCAATAATATAATGTGCAGACGCACTAGTAGTCCAACTTTGCCTCCTTCATCAACTCCCTGACTTTTGCCAATCGTTCAGCCGCATGCGCGGACGCCAGTACCGGCTGCTGTTCGCCCGCCTTCAAGCTCTTCTCTGTCACGGTACTGACGAGCGTGTCATCGCTGTCCGCGCTGGTCGTCCTCTCCAGCGTGGACTTCTCGACATTGGGTGTACCGCGGAACGGAAGGCCGAAGGAGGGGAGCGGTATGCAGAACGGCGCCATGATGGGAGCAGAGGTTGAAGTTCGGTTCAACGCCGTGAGGTCGGATGAATGGGTGCTTGAAGAGAAACCTGAACTTGGACTTGAGCTTCATGATTGGACATAGATTGCTTGGGCGCTATCAGCCACTGCGACGGTGTCCCGCCTTATCAACCGGTATTCAACGGCGGCACCGCGGGCCGCGTGTTACAAGGGGATGATCACCATGGCCATTGCGCCGCTTCTGACGGAAGTTACGCTCAAGTACAAGATACAAGATGACCCTACACCTTAGCGTTCTGGATAGTGGCTAGCACAGAGTATGTAGGAAGTGAGCAAGTATTTATATATATGGTGTATTGACCGTGGTGGTCAGAGCCAAGCTCCAACCCGAGATGCCGTCTTGTGGCACTTTCATGAGCATCGCGTGGCCCGCGCGTGTCGACCCCGATCCGAGTTCCGCGCTCCGTGGCTGGCGCTTGACATTGTGCATCCACCAGCCTCCACACACTCTCCTCCATCATGGCGTCTGCAGGAGGTATGTGATCATCGCCTTGAATTAATCTTGTACTAACAAGCATTGCAGGACCCGGAAAGCTGTCTCGCGAGGAGTACCGCCGACAGAAAGACCTCGATGCGGCGCGTAAAGCCGGTACAGCGCCCTACGCGCTCGACGAAGAGGGCAAAGCCATTAACCCTCATATTCCCCGTGCGCTCCCTTCTTATCTACACAACTACCTAATACTGACTTGCGCGCGTAGAATACATCTCCCAAGTCCCCTGGTACGCCGACACGGGGAAACCCACCCTCTCCCACCAACGTAAACCCGTCGAAGAAAAAGACCCCAACGCAATAAACGACTGGTACGACCGTGGCGCAAAAGGCTCGACCGCAAAGAAATACCGTAAAGGCGCATGCGAGAACTGCGGCGCTCTAACGCACAAGCGTAAAGACTGCTTGGAGCGACCGAGGAAGAAGGGAGCGAAGTTCACGAACAAAGACATCGCGCCAGACGAGATTGTGCGGGATATTGAGCTGGGGTATGATGCGAAGAGGGATAGGTGGAATGGGTATGATCCGGGGGAGCATAAGAAGGTGTACGAGGAGTATGAGGCGATCGAGGCTGAGCGGCAACGGCAACGCGAGGAAGAAATCGACAATCAGACTACGACGGACCTCGCGGCTGTGAGGAAGGTGGCGAAGGCTGGGAAAGCGAAGGAGGAGGATCCGGACTTTGGCTCGAGCGAGGACGAGGATGCGGACGAGGACAAGTACGCGGACTCGGCGGACGCTGTGGGACAGAAGATGGACACCAAGACTCGTATCACCGTCCGAAATCTACGCATCCGAGAGGACACGGCGAAATACCTCATAAATCTCGACCCCGAGAGCGCGTACTATGACCCCAAGACGCGTTCCATGCGCGAGAATCCGCTCAACAACGTCCCGCCAGAAGAGGCCCGGTTCGCCGGAGACAACTTCTTGCGTTATTCCGGAGAGGCGCCGGAGGTGGCCGCGATGCAGATCTACGCGTGGCAGGCCGAACAGCGCGGACATGATGTACACCTCAACGCCAACCCGACACAGGGCCAGCTATTGCATAAACAGCACAAGTCGGCGAAGGAGGAGATGCGCGAGGTCAACAAGGGGAGTATATTGGCGAAGTACGGTGGCGCGGAGTATCTGGAGGGTGTGCCGAAAGAGCTATTGGAGGGGCAGACGGAGGAGTATGTCGAGTATGACAGGACAGGGAAGGTCGTGAAGGGACGGGAACGGGTGAAGGTCAGGTCGAAGTACGCCGAGGATGGTATGTTCTATCTGTTTTCCGTATCCCGCTAGCATGTCGATGCTAACATATCGTACAGTATACATGAACAACCACACCGCCGTGTGGGGATCATGGTATGATCGTGACACTGGTGTATGGGGATACGCATGCTGTCACTCGTCCATCCACGCATCGTACTGTACCGGTGCAGCCGGTATCGAAGCAGCGAAGGAGTCCAGTGCACAAGCGCTGCTCTCCAAAGCTATGCCTCCGCCGCCTGTGCCCGATTATACGGAAAGCGACCGTAAAGGCAAGGGTCGCGCCATGGACACCGACTCCGAGTCATTAGTAGATGGGCTCGCTGATGAAAGGAAGAGGAAGGCCAGAGGAGAAGATGGTGACAGGTTTGCGAAGAAGAGCAAGGGAGACGATACGAGGGACGCCGCGAAGCTTGGTGTATCTGAGTCTGAGCTTGGTACGATCATCTTTCGCTATTGTCATTGATGTGCGGGTGTTGACTAGTCCCACAGAGTCCTACCGCATGAAGAGGCCTATGATGGAGGATCCCATGGCCAATTATGTGGATTCGGAGATCTGAGCCGGCCAGCTCGACTCTGATGTACTGCTTTCGGATCTGCATGCGTTGTATTCTGCCTCCGAGTGTATAATTATGGACCTCACGTTGCTCTGCTTGGGCGACGGTTAAGTACTGCCGGCCGAAAAAATATACAGGATGGATCAAGATGCCGGTATGCATCGTACAAATGACTACAGTATACCAGTACTTGGCCCGGTGCACAAGCACTGACGTCCAAACCTTAACCCAACTCCTTGGACGGTCTCCGATCCGCCGGTCCGGATGTCAAACGACGCAGCGCCCGCGACGCTACTCTCAAGCCACTCCCATCCTATTTCCAGTCGATTTTTGGTGGTCAATGCACGGTGCTAATGGCAATCACGTCGAACTCGTACACTTTCGTCGGGGCGGTCTCGGCTCGAGCTCTCTATGAGCCTATGACACGGCTCACACGAAGCCTGACTCGTGTGTGACCCGCACACTATTATTCTGACGACTCGGCTTGGACTCGGCCACCCTCACTACTGGTCACTTCCGTCGTACTATGCTTCTCCGAGCTCTCATGTCATTCATCCATTAAGGGTATGTGTTGTATCAAGCGCATGGTGGATATATGATAATTTTGAGCGAATGAAATCGTTATCAGGAAGGGCGCTGAAAACCGTCAGCGTCCAACCAGCTGCGGCCGCTCTTTACCCGGAGTCTGCGCAATGTCAAGATGACGGCGCCTCCGAAGGGCTGGCTTACGTCCGTCTCGACAGGCCTCACTACCCTCGAAGCTGCGCTATGCTTTCAGTGGTCGAATTCGACGCCCAATCGCCCTCTAAGCTCTGTGCTCCGATATCCCGTTCACGGTCCAAAAAAGCGAGCCAACTTATTCCAAGTCTCGAAGACCGTGTTAAGCGCCCAAGAACTTCCACTTCGATGTTGTCAAGACCACGGGTGGCACGCGCTAAAGGCAGACAGATCACTGATACGGTTTCATCCTTGGCCGTGAGCAGGTTCATAAGTGAAGACGACCCCCTTCTACGACGATAAGTCTTCTTGGTCCTCCCCACAATGGCTGTTGCGCACGAACGCCCCTTCGGCGCTCTATCCGCTTTCGACTTCACTTTCGACCTGGGATCTAGCGCTGGCCCTCGTCCGTCGAACAGAGCTAGCAATCCTTTCTTCCCGGGTTCTGTCTTCGAGGGCGTCGCTCCCCCATCATCGCGTCGTACTAGTCTTCCGCCCCTCGTCAATCGGAACACCGAACCAGAGTCGTCTTCCAATGCACCCAGCGTCCGCCCACCCGTCCCGTCATCTCAAGACGACCTCACTGAGCGCGTCGCACGGCTCGTGAACGAGCACCTCGCCAGCGCGCTCTCCGCGCTCGCCGAAGACCGCAACAGCCTCGAGCGCGGACTCGTCAATCATTTCGGCACGCGCATTGAGATGCTTCGCGCGTCGGCGGCCGAGAACTGTGATAAGAAGAGACGAGACGCGGAGTCGGGTGTGCAGCAGCGGTTCAAGGTCAACGAGAATCGCATCGAGAGTTTGAGTAACGGTACGTGTCGTCTGATGGGGTTCAGTGTTTCTGGTTGGTCGTGTCGCCTGATGAGGTTCCCTGTAGATCTTCGGGAGGTGAATAACGCGCGCGGTGGGCTCTACCTGAAGACACAGGCCGAAGGCTTACAACAGAGGCTCCGTAGTGGTACGTCGCAGCTTTCTGGTCCGTGTCGTAGCCCGGCTCGCTAACGCGAATTTCGCCTCGATAGAGATTAACAAAGAGACTCAGCGCGCCAAAGACGACGCCGCGTCCATCCGATCCACCGTCGCCGAGGCGCTCACTCGTCTATCAAAGATGGAGAAAGCGCACGCCGAGCTCAAAACCCAGCATACCCAGCTCGAACACCAACATGCTGGACTCATTACACAACTCTGCGCCACGACCGCTAACCACAATTCTGCCATCAAAAGCCTCAAAGCCGATCTCGACTGCGCGCAAAAGGAAGTCAAGGCTCTACGCAGCACTGCACTGCTTCACGAGAACATGCTGATGGGTACAAAGGCTAGCATCACGGAGAGCACGAAGAGCGCGGATGCGGCGATGAGAAAGGCGAAGGGGTTGGAGGTGCATGTCCAGCGCTGGCTCGATGAGGAGACGCGTAAATGGCTCGACGAGGAGGCGCGGAAAGCGCGGGAGGCCGAAGAAAAGAGGAAGAGGGAGGAGGAGCAGAGGCGGGTGGAAGAACAGAGGAAAAAGGCTGAGGCCGAGGCTCTGCGCAAGGCCCAAGCTGAAGCCGAAGAACGACGACGCAAGGCTGAAGCCGAAGCTGCGCGGTTGAGGGAGCAGGCTAAGAAGGCCGAAGACGAGGCGCGGAAGCGTGCGCAGGAGCAGTCTCAGCGAGAAGCGAATGCCGAGAGAGAACGGAGGAAGGAGGAGCAGGCGCGTCGCGAGAAAGAGAAGCAGGAGTGGGCCAAGCGCGAGAAGGAGAGGCAGGAGAGGAAGAGGGGCGAGCACGATATACTCGCCCGGTGGGCGCTGTACGAGGCGCCTCTACTCGATGTGTTGACCTTCAGCACCATCATATGGCCTGTACTGGTTCAGCCCGTTGACCTGTCTGATCTCACCTTGGCGGCCATACGCGACTTCCTCTTTTCGAAGGCACACTCCAAGGACAAGGACAACAAGCAACGATTACGAGACGCGTTCAAGAGATGGCACTCGGACAAGTGCTCTACTGTCAAGTCGCGCGTTGCGGACGAGGAGAAGCCGCTCATAGAAGAGGCTTTCCATACCATTTCTGTTCATCTGAATGACTTGAATGCACAATTCGCGAAGACTGAGAGTGCCACCAATAGATAGCTTTGCACAGACATCGATTTTCTTGAGCCGCTTGGTATATATCATGTACTTTTGCTGCCCCGAGTTAGATATGAGACGTTGTGCACTATTTGTATGGCCGTGACAGACGTGGTCATGGGAGGAACGAGAAGCTTTGCGCAGCCGAGATGGCAAGTTGCCTTGCGCTCCCACCATATACCCAATACAATCTGATACCCATCTTGCCATGGATCTGGAGCAGCTTGTATCAAGAGTCACGCTAGACGTGGTGCTTCCCTCCGCCTCTGCACCCGAACAACTAAGGGAAACTGTATTCTACGATGAGAACCTGAGCTTCAGCGCCGTGCTCTCCATCCCTTCGCCACCCGACGCATCGCCGCCAGCCGAAGTTCTGCAACTATTAACGCACGCGCACCTGTCCTACGACATTGCTTACATCTCTCCGCTGTCCCATGCCCCACCGCCGTCGATTCGACTGGGTGCGCCGCCGAAGCAACGCGCGCAAGGCCTGGCGATTGTGCCTCCAGCGACGCCAAACCCGATGCCGGCCAGCCAGGAACACGACAGGCGCTACGTCCGGACCGAGGGTACCCATCTCCTATCCGGCGCCTTCACGAGTGGAGAGTTCAGTCTGGAATACGATGGGGAGAAAGGGTGCTGGAAGGCGACGTACGGACTACGGGCGACACTATCGTACATCCCCACGCCCTACACCTCCCCGCTGCTCTCCATCACAGCGCACTTGACCGTCCGTCCCACGCCTCGACCGCTATCGGCATTACCCGATGCTCTGCGCGCTCTGCTGTCTGCCGATCCTGCCGAGCCAGAGACGCCAGCTACGGCCGAAGCCGCACCTTTCGGGCGCTTCTTTTCGGGTCTCGAAGAGGTCAACTTGCTCGGCGGTCTCAGCGCGAGCACAGCCGATGATCTAGACGCCGGCGTGCTCGCTCTCCCCACCACGCGACTGGGCGCTTCCGCGCGCGCTAACGAGTTTGCGCTGCGCCCGTTGCGGAAGGACGAGGACAAAGAGGAGGCCGAGCAGCTGTTGCGCGCTAAACCCACGGTCAAGAAGAGCTTCAGGCGCACGGTCAATATCGCGAATGCTGTCCGCGTCAGGATGCGCACTGTGTTCGTGCCCCACTCGTTGCTTCCACTCGCCGGCTCCAAGGAGGCTTCTGGCAACGACGATGTGTCGGATGGCGCGAGTGAGCGCGCGATTGTACTTTGCGTAGAAGTTGAACACGCGCCTGAAGCTGGCGCCGCCGGGTCTGACTTTGAACTTCTGGACGTCCGCGTAGAGGTGGCTTCGGCTGCATCTCTTCCCGGTGCACCTTCTGGCGGCGAAGCACGCGCAGAGCTCATTGGGTCTACTCCCTTCCCGATACGCCTCGGTGACGGCGCGCAACATAATCTGCTCTATGCTGTGTCGCTTCTCAATTTACCGGCTGGCTCTCTGGATGTCCTATCAGGCGATGCGGACGTGCCGCCGCATAAAGTCGGCATCTACGTCTCCGGCCGACCAGTATCTATATCCAGTGATGACGACGACGGAGCGGAGGTTCATCCCACAGCAGAGTTCACCTCACGCTGGAACACGACCCTCGCCATCTCATCCTCATCCGCCTCAGCGCATAACTCCCTTCCACCCGCACAACGCCAAACACAACGCGAAGCCCTTCCCGAACCACCCTCACCCTTCCCCGCCCCTCGCACAGCAACATCAGCCACATTCGCCTCCGCCGGCCAGATCACAGCCAAAGCACCTACACTCCTCTCGGCCGTAGCATCGCGCAGGCAATCGGCGCCTACACCCAGCAATACGTCCACGCTGGGTCTACCCCAACCGCATCAGCCGCGCCCGGCGCCACACCGCGCGAGCACCGGCCCGGGTCTTCCGACGTTGAATGAACGACCTTCGACAGACGGCTACTTCCCCTCCGCGCCGACCTCACCATCGCGTTCGGGCGCCGTAACGCCTCTAGGCGATAAACGCGCCTACACGCCTACACCACCCTCCGTGGCCGTAGCAGCATACGCGCGCACCCCGCTCACCGCATCATTCCCCTCCTTCGCGCACGCCCAGTCTCAAGCCGGACTGGGACTAGGAATGGGCACACTCCGCACGACATTTGGTCCTCCACCACCTACACCTCTCTCAGCTGCTCACGGCATGATCCCACCTCCAGCACCGATATTCCCAGACGGGGACGATCAGTTTATATCGACAGAGTTCGGATTGAGCAGTCCGCCGCCTGGAGTCGGGTTTGCGAATATGCCGACTACACCGGCGTATCCTGCTTATGGTGCTAGCACGCCTGGGCTGGCGTCTGGAGGAGTCACGCCGGTGGGAGGGGCGAGGATCGGGCCGAGTGTGGATGTCGTGCGCGGGGGGACGCCCGGGGGTGCTGCGGTCAATCTGGGAGGGAAGGAGGAGGTGCCGGAGCAGAGGGCTGTGGTGGTTTCTGTTGCTGTTGTTGTGGAGGATGAGGACGAGGGTTATGCTTCTGCGTCTTCGTCACTGAAGGAGGGAGAGGTGGAGAAGAAGCAGAAGAGGTTGTACCCGCATCAGCGATTCACGCTTGACGTGCTTGTTGCGAACCGTTCCGATACGGTACGCAGGCTGGAAGTGAGCGTCCCGCCGCGTCCAAGACGAAGAGAGGTGCAAGGGAAAGATGTGGAGCAGCCCGGAATTGTGCCCTTGGATAACCGCGTGCGAGTAGGGTAAGTGCATCATAAGGCTTCAGTCTCCTCCGTCGAGCTCGAGTCTGACTTGTGATTATTTCATAGACCGTTGAGACCTGGCGCGGTGCAATCCACCACGCTCTCTTTCCGCGCGCTCAAGCCGGGAATGCATAACCTCGACGCGTTGATATTGGCAGACGTGGAGACGGGCGCGGTCGTCGTGTGTAGGAAGGTCTGCACGGTCTACGTGTGGGAACGGCCGCCTGGTGCGGCTGGTGGAGATGGTGATGAGGAGGAGGAAGAGACTATGGGAGACGATCAGGCGGATGAAGCTTTGCAAGATGTTGCCTTGTAGCTCATCTAGCAGCCTACACTTCACAATATGCTTCAGTCGAAGTGCGCTCAGACAGACAGTCCTCCAATCTTGCGTTGACGTTCGCCTCGACCCTGAGTCGGCTTCGCGGTCCGAACCCCGCATGGACGTGATTGGGCAACTCGCGGTCAGGTGCCTTACGCGCCTCCTCCGCGTGTGCGAAGCGTCAGGCAAGCGCGCGCCGCCTCGTTGCGCTCAGTATGACTCGCATGAGCACAGATCCTTTTGCGAGCCCGGACACTGTTGAGCCAGTCTACCACATTCAATGCCACCCTTCCTTTGTTTGAGATCGAGCTTGCAGGGTGCGCATTATCGATAGCATCTCGAAGGCTTCGTATAAGTTCTATGCCCGAGCAGAGCTTCGCGTCGTCCCTCTCTAGATTCTCCCGTCATACTTGCATCATGTATCACCCCAAACTCACGCGTCTGGTTCCCGACACTATTGCCTCTGTCGTACTTGCCGCTTCCGCTGTTCGTGCCACTGCCTGTTACCTTTTCGAGACTGTTACCCTGCCCTTCACCGACGTGGCCGGCGAGATCTCGGGCGATAGCTCAATGCCCGGTGCATTCGTGGACTCTACCGAGACTGACAAAACAAAGTCTGAGATGGATGGCGCTTCAAGCTCGTCACTACGCGCGCTCTTTGTAGACGCGGCGATCTGCGAGATGCTGGCTAATGATCGGGCTGGCGAAGGCGAACCGACTCGCCCGCATGTCCCCGCCGGAGATTCTGCGCGTCGGATTCAAGATAAGCTGTTCTCCAAGACGGATGCGCAAAGTCTGAAGAAGCGTATCTGTAATGGTACGTGATCGTAAAACTTGAGTTGTTCCATCGTCTGACTTGGATTTGCTAGAGATCAACAACGAAACTCGTCGCTGCAGGCACGAGAACGAGAGACTCTCCGACGCTCTTCAGAGTATGCTCAACCGTGTGATATCAGCGGAGATGGAGCAGATCAAGCTACATGCGCGCATGGACGAGGCAATAGTGCAGCGGGAGAAGGATATGACTGCTACGATCAACGAGCTCCGAATTGAACTGGCGAGTGCGATCGCATCCCTCGAACGCTCTACGACGCTTTCCAGTAGTAAGCTCACCGTCATGCAGCTCCAACTTGACGAGTGCAAGGCTACGATTGGGCGGTGGACCGCGAACGAGAAGCGTCAGGCTGCAGAGGCTGCGCGCAAGAAGGCCGAGGCCGAGGTGAGAAGGCGTCAAGAGGCTGAGGAAAAGGCTCGGCGGGAAAAGATAGAGGAGGAGGAGAGGCGTCAGAAGGCTGCTAGGGCGGATAAGGTTCGAAAGTGGAAGGAGACGCTGGCTCGGTGGGCGAGGGAGGAGGAAGCTCGGCGCCAGAAAGGATGGTACCAGTCGGCTCAAGAGAAACACAAGGAGGCCATGCTCGCTCGCTGGGAGCAGTACACGACGCCACTCGGTGTCGAACTCACATTCGATACTATCATATGGCCTGTCTTGGAAGGGCCGAAGAGGCTTTTCGGTGGCGAGATCCCCGGCCTCACCCTGGAGGCCATCCGCGATTTCTTGCTGTCGGACTTGCACTCGAAGGGAAGGACACCTCGCCAACGCCTCAACGACGCTCTTTTGCGGTGGCACTCCGACAAGAAGACATTCGTGATTGAAGAACTCGCAGATCCTAAAGACGAGAAGCTCGTCTCGGACGCGTTCCACACAATCTCGGTTCACCTGAACAAGCTGAAGTCCATGCCAGATATCCTTAATAAAAAGTCCCGATAGCTGTCTAGTCATACGTTGTACTCTACGCACCTAACTTCCGCATTTTTTGAAAAGTTGTAACCTGGATACAGTCTAGATTGAGCCAGAGTGCTCCTGTAGTACCGCGAACTGAACTTGAGACGTCGAGGCTTTGCCTGCCCATAGCGGGCCGAGCGTGGAAATCAGATCTTGATCCGAAATCTCGCGTGGCTACTGCCGAAGGTCCGAAATGGTTTTGAAACGTTGCCTGGTTGTCTCTCCCATCTCACCGAGAACTATACTATACTCATCTCATCTTGTCTATGCTCATTTGTGTCCCCTCCTATGCGCCTCATACGCGTACCGATGGTTTACGCTCACTCTGTGGTTATCCACTAGCGCGCATGTCTTTCGATTTTACTGTGGTCCGCGACCGAGCGTCCGGTAGACACCACTTGGCATCCTAGACAATTGGGAAGAACGACATAATTTGGTTCACTCTAAGTCCTTGCTCGCGCGGACAAGCGTGGTTGTGGCTGCGCGGGCCTGTTGACCAGCACGTCCACCAAGCGACCACACGAACCACAAAGCGATTCCTCTGACTCGAGTGCTACCCTATAAGGATAGCTCTGAGACAAGCATTTCATCCCAACTCTCAGAATCTTCAACGATGCCAACGTTCAGCTTCCTACGTTTACCCAACCTCTTCACCAACGTCGAACCGCACGCTCCTTCATCTTGGGACGAAGAATCCCCTGAAGGCATCATGCCTTCCGCTGCTGGTACAGCTTGCGATGAAGCCGAAGATCTTCATCCCGCAATGCCCGGTGCATTCAATGACTCTACGGAGGAATCACATACATCACCCTCGCTTTGCGCTCCATCATCAAACAACACGCCAGAGTCTTCAACTACTTCCGAGTGCGGTTCGGATGATCACGAAGGCATCAAAAGGATCACCCTTCGCGAGCTCATTGAAGACGTCGCCGAGCACACAATTCATGAGCACAACACCACTCTGGCGCGCAATCTGGCTGAACATCTGGACGGCCGCATTGATGAAGTGCTTGCAAGTACTGACAACAGTATGAAGGAGTTCATGCGCGTCATGAAGGGTATCTTCGACGGAGGTCTTAGTCTTGCCGAAGGCAGGATGAAGGACGCAACAAGCAGTGAGTCGCTTTCAGACTATAAGGAGGAGCAGTACTGATGAGTCACACTGCACAGATGCCGAGCAGAAGCTTCAGAACGCACAAAGCACGTTCTTCCTCAAGGCGAATGCACAAGACATGAAGACAAGGTTGCGTAATGGTGCGTGTCTAGTTCGCATCGGGGTAATGTGCATATGAATTGAATGTGAGTTTGTCTCCAGAGATCAACAACGAAAGTCTTCGCTGCAATGCCGCCCATGCATCCCTCGACTCAGCGCTTTCAGACGCGTTGAAACGGATAACTTCCGTTGAGATGGAGCAAACTAAGATACAATCTCAACTGAAAGAGGCGAATGAGCTGCGCGCGAAGGACGTGACGACCATCATTCAACTCAGGACGGAGCTATCGAGCGCGCGCGAGGTGATCGCGGCCTTGAGCTCTGCCGCCGTGCGACGTGACAGCATGCTCAATACCATGAAACTTGACGTCGCGGAGAGCAGCAAGCGGGCCGATTTCGCGATGAGCAAAGCGAAGGCTTTGGAAGAGCATGTCCAGCGATGGCTCGGAGAAGAGCTTCGCAAGAAGCGAGAGGCCGAAGAGGCTGCGCGTCAGAAGCGTGAAGAGGAGGAGAGGCGGAAGCAGGCAGATGAGGCGGCACGATTGGAGCAGAAGAAGAAGAGGGAGGCAGTTGAGGCGGAACAGCGTCGTCGGGAGGCAGAGGCGAGGGAGGCAGAACAGGCAGAGCAGGCACGGCTGAGAGAAGAGGCTCGTCGTGAGGAGGAGGCTCGGGTGAGGGAAGAGGCGCGCTTGAAGGAAGAGGCCAGGAAGGCGCAGGATGAAAAGCGGAGACGCGCGCAGGAACAATCACGGCGAGACGCGGAGGCAGAAAGGCAGCGCAAGGCGGAGGAGGAACTGGCCAGATCCATACGCGAGGCGCCTATGCTCGCTCGCTGGGCCTTATATCAGGCGCCACATGCTCAGGGCGAGCTGAGATTCGATAACATCGTGTGGCCGGTATTTGTTCAGCCAACCGATTTGTCTGGCCTGACGTGCGGCGCTATCGATTACTTCCTCTTCTCGGAGATACACTCAAAGGAGAGGGAGCCCAGACAGCGCTTCAAGGACGCTATCAAACGATGGCACTCCGACAAATATGCTGCTATCGAGTCTCGCGTCAAGTCTTCCCATCGTGCCATGGTTAAGCAGGCCTTCCATGACATCTCCGTGCATCTCAATGCTTTGAATGCCAGGTATTCGTAGAGAACTCGTCATATTCAAGTTATACTGTAATTCCCGCATAGAAGATCATTGTAGATGGCATGCATTCAACGCGTCGGTGTTTATCTGAATCGTTCAGCGAACGTCTTCTTACAGCTGTTCAGCATGCTTAGTATCGAAGTCGGATGTTCTGGACCAACGGACCCGGGAGCCGTTCTGCAGTTCTTGTGTCGTATACAGTATCATATGATACTCATTCCGTGGAGCCTCGGGAAAAGACTGGGAGATCGACAGGTATCGGTTATCTACAGATTGATCTCCCAGAACACTTCGGTTCCCTACCAGATTCATCAACGTATCTGCGTTCTCAATATCAGGGCACAGTGTGTAACCGATACATACATACATGATGAGGGTCAGTGATCCAGAGTACCTTCTCTCGTCGAAGATAAGTTGGCGCCATGTAGACAGTTCGATCTAAGGGTGGTAGACTAAAGATGCATTGCGTTATGTTCTTGATACTATTACAACAATATCCTGGAACCCAATAAAGTATCGAATCCAGATGAACCCAATCGAGAAGGAAGTTACTAATAAATGACTCAGCATGTGCTGGTGAAAGCCCAGGCGTCAGCTGCACGACATTTAGTATAGGACGTTCAGAGATGACGACGAATGACATCTCACATGCGCCAGTTGGAATGTCTGCTTCAGTCCACCACTTAGCAGTGTACAGTGATCCGTTGTACGTAGCCTTCATCCCGGCGGTGTAGACAGCCGTCGAAGACCAAGCCGCGACACCCGCGCACGGACTGGAACTGGTTGCAGACGTTGTCGTTGAAGCCGCAGATGTGGTCGTAGTAGATTTTGAGGTCGAAGAGGTGACCGTAGTAGCCGTTTTCGAAGCCGAAGACGTGATCGTAGTCGGTTTTGAGGCTGAAGACGTAGTTGTGGTCGGAGACGTTTGGCCCGACGCGCCTTGCGTCCAAACCGTCACAGTCTGTCGTAGTGGTGCTCAGGGATAGACGCTGAACAGCTGGATGGAGAGACGTACGTTACTCAGACCGTTCTTCAGCGGGGCCGCTTGTATCACGACGTTCCCGTTTACACTGAGCGAGCCGCTGGTACCAACGGTGTTCAATGAGTAAACACCGATGTTTGAGCTCGCTGAGTCAATGTTGAAGATCTGGGTCTGGCATGTGTCCGGCGTTACGCATGAGCCGTCGTAGTTCTGATGAAGAGATGCTTAGCGCGATGGATTGCTTGAAAGGTCACGATGGGCTACGCACGTCGTACCAACTGTAAAAGCCGGCGCCAAATATGAGGATGTCCTTTGAGTTAGAGATCGTCATCGCCCAGCCCATGCCGTCGCTGGGGAGTGCGGGGTCGCTATAGGCGGACTCGATCGTGAAAGGAGTGGGCCCCTTGGGCGTCGGTTGGAAATAGGCGCTCTCGGTCTGCGCGAGGCCGATGTAATGATTCGCGGCGTTGGCGATGTTGTACTGATAGAGAACGTGATGTTCAGACGCTACAGCAGCATTGTCATACTTCATTGAAGACTCTGTGTTATATTTCACGTACCGGTACCTATCATCCAAACTGGGCCCTGGCTCTCGGAGAAAATGCCACGTCCACTGAAGAGAGTGACGTTGGTCCCGCCTTCTACATCATGATCCTATAAACGCATGCGTGAGTAGGCTCAAGCGTGACGGCAGGGTATTTGCTCACAGCCAACCACACCCATGTACTCTCAAGGTATGCGCTCGATGACTTGGTCAGGTGAAGTCCGAGGAATGCAGCTTGGCAGCTCGGGGAAGTGTTGGCGCCTAGCAAGTTGCCGCATTGTTCGGTTTGCATGTCTGATCCGTGTCAGTTCAGCCTCAAAAAGGCAATGTACCATTGTGCGTACTCGTGCCCTTGGCCCCTCCAAGACGGAACAACTATAGATTGCACGTTAGCGACAGGGCGTTTAAGAGCCGATTCAAGCTCGAACGTACAGTGTCCCACATGCCAGCCGCTCCTTGGTTTCCAGTTGGATCGTGCACGTTCCACTCGACGAGAATTGCACCACCGGCAGGAGCACGCGTCGTAAAGAGGATGGAAGAGATCTCGGCCACTCCAGTAGAGCCTGACGTGCCCACTTGTACAGCAACCTTAGGGCTGGAGATGCTGCTGAACGCAGAGCCGCTGGCCATAATGGTAGTCCAAGCTTCGCCGACAACCTGTACACCAGCCGGGATGCGAAGGGTATCGGAAATGACGTAGATGCCGGCGTCAAAGTAGATGATCTTGCAACCGGCATACTGAGTGCGTTGTGGTTCATCAGCTGAGCGTGTCCAATTGAGCTACACATATCAACGCACTTTGTCAAAGACAGCCTGGAGCGCAGCTGTGTCGTCGGTTGTTCCGTCTCCCTTCGCGCCATTGCTCTTAACGCTGACGAACTCGCTGACAGCGTAGTTGGCGTAGGTAGGGCGGCCCTTGCTGAGAATGCGACCGGAGTCGAGTAGGGACGAAGGCTTGTTGATAGCACCAGAGGTACCAGTCTTGTAAGTGGCAGCCGAGCTGGAGCCCGAGAAGACGTTGCCTTGGATCCAAGTATCGATGGTCGTGGTGCCACCGGCGAGAAGGACAGTGCCGTCATCCACGCCCACGGCAGTCGGAACGCTCGTCAGCTTGATGTTCGACAGGACGATGGATCCATCAAGGGTGCTCGAGGTTTTCGTACGCCGGAGGAAAACAGGAGTGTTGGTAACGACTGCATCGATGATGGCCTCCGCTCCTACTCCTTGAGGTGTCCCACTGATGTCTCCGATGTTCATCTCGAAGCCGACCTACACGCGGATCAGGAAACGGATCAAGTCGCCGCCGAGCCCATGCGCACCTGAGCATTATTGATGGTAAGCCCCTGGAACGTCCAACCCCAGTTCCAGTTCGCATAGATAGCCGTGTTCGCGTTGTTGAAAGTCAAGTTACGAGCTGTGAACTGCTGGTTTCCAAAGTACGCGCCGTATTTCCCTGTTTGGTTCTCAGAACAATGGATGCCGGTAGCAGAAGCGGTATACTAACCTCCGTTGAAGACCAGGTCACCCATGAAGCCTCCGGATCCGTTTTCCATATACTGGATCAATGATCAGTACAAGGGGTCGCCATATCGGGAGCGTACGCACGATTCCCTGTTGTTGCCCACCTGTCGTCATATCGATGACGATGTTGTAGAGTGACGTCGCCTGAGATAGCTGCCAATGTAATCCAGTACTTGACGCAGCTGCAGTCAAGTCGATCCTGTGGTTTGAGAATCAGCACTCAGTAGAAGAGCGTAGCTCAAGGGCAAGGGTTGAATGCGTTCATGACACTTGCACAGCGACTATGAAGAAGATCGAACTTACCTGAAGTTGCGCACGCTCCGATAGAAGTTGTTCTTTTACGACAAAGTCAGCGCCTCTTGGGACAGACAGAGGATAAGCGTGGCTGACCTGGTTCTGATACCACTCAGCACTGTTGCCTCCGGGAATGTATGGGTCAACGTCGATGACAGCGATCCCGGCAAAGCCAGCGGAAGCCTTCAAGGTCGGCAGGACCTTGGCATCGCCGACGAGTTCGGTGTAGTAGTACGCGATGAGAGGTGCGCTGACGAGGTAAGTTCCCTGAGGGAAGTACACCGTAGCAGGCGTCAGTGTGGTCCCAGCACATCCCGAGCCACATCGGCCACCGTCCGCAATCGCCGCGCTTTCGGATTAATCAGAACGATGCCCTGTGCAGATGTCGAGAAGACACGACGTACTTGATCGCCGAAGTATCGTCGTGAACGCCGTCTCCTACGGCACCGTAGTCTAAAACAGGGCTCAGTATATCGCATCTGCGCGCCTGCGAGTACCGCACCTTTGACGTTGCGGAATACCTTGTATCCCGACCCTGCATATGGTGCAGTTCCCTGGTGGGTGATGCTCTGCTGCCAGTAGGGATCACCGGCCGCGGCACTGCCTGATCCAAGAGCAGCAGAACAAGACGATCCGAGAGCCGCAGCCGATGTGACCGATGCCGCCAGAAAAGAAGCGAAAAGGGCTATGCTGTTGAAAAGCATGGCTGGGTGAGCGATTGTTGACGCCCAAAAGATCGCCCGACTGTACGAGAAGCGGACGTTCTTGTTCGAGTTGCGAGGTTGGCGAACGTTCTATATAGGACCGGCCGCTAGTCAGCCCTGGCGGCGTAGCTAATACCGAGAGAGACCCACGAGGAGTGCCGAAGAGCCCGCATGGACTCGCGCCCTGTCGCGCAGAGATCTGGCTCTGCACCGGGCTGTACGACATGGCCCAGCGCAAGCCGTCGCCGCGTGATTATCTGGCACGCTCATCGCGACGCATGGTTCGCACGACCTCCAATCCAGTACGAGAGTAGTTACCCTCAGGTTCGGCTGACAGAACGACGTGAGTGTCCCACCATTCATCGTAAGGAAGAGCTCTGCGAGTGTACAGCGTCTGAACTCTTGCGACAGAGCCGGAAGCGCTTGATGCATATGTAGTTCAGCATGCACCCTTGTGGATGGAGCGAGAGGTGGCATCCAGCCGCGTCGGAGACGCAAGTCGAAGCAGCCCGACTTGCCCTGTGTAAAAGGGGAACATCAGGGTGCACTCGTTGTACCCCAGGAACAGCGCGGTCTTTTGGTCTATTAGACTTTTTTCCGACTGTCGATTTCGTAGAATCACGAGGTGCTTTTAATGCTATTGCGCAATGGTTAGTATTGCTGCTCACGCTGCAAGTTGATATGTTTAATGTTGCACGATCTGGATCTGAGGGGGAGTCGCATTAGCAAGCGTCTGACTAGGCACTGAAGCGCGTACCCTCTAGACGAACCTTGCCGCGGAAGGATCCGACACCCAAAGCGAACAACACATGATGGCATAGACGCCGGTGTATCAAACACGCGAGTACAAGGGGGAGATCCCGGCACATCATAGTATATCATCCCACAGCATAGGCGTACAGAGCACGAGGACGTGTTTAGACGCGCTCTACAGCCCCGAGGACCTCGTGCTACGGACGCCCAGAGCCAGAGGCATCGCAGGACAGCGGTGTTAAGGTGCGCACGCAGTAGCTTTCGGGTATGCGCAATGCGCGGGATTGGATGCGTCATGATGGTAAGGGTCAAGTTGGTGATCAACGTGGTCCGCCAGCTGATGCGCCCACGGATCGCGCCGCGCCCGCCGGCGCCTGTGGACTCGAACATCCTCCCGGACGGTCGCTTCGCCTGAATGTCAACGGTCTCGAAACATAGCAAATGGCTCGTGTAAAGTCTACTGACGATGCGCAGTGAATGTGGCATGCCTACACAAGGGACATTATTATCGCTTTGCGGATTACTGGCAGACCGGCAAACTTGCTTAGCCCTGCACTCAAGGCAGCTTCACTCAGCACCGTGTATGTTCGACATGCGCCTTGCTTTGCCGGTAGCTTCGCTCTAATCATATCGAGTGATGTACAGATACTGCTCGGCGTGCTAGGGTATGGACCTTGGCTTAAACTTCGGTGACTTCGGCAGTGGCTTCAGTGGCATCGATGGCTTCAGCTGCTTCTGTCGTCGAATCCCCTGAGCCAACTTCAAGCTCGGCTTCCTTCTCCTCGACATGGCAGTACTCGGCAACCATTCCTCCCAGAACACCACGATCTCCGACAGGGTTCATGAAGAAGTCCACACCCTCGTGAGCAGCTTCAATATCATGACTTGGGAGAGACGTGAGTACATTGAAAGCAACGCGGACCGGCTTGGTGGTGGACGTACCGTTCTCTGACATGAGCACGTACAGCATCCAGCGGCATGTATCGGCACAACCCTGAGGCATAGCGAGACACGAGATCGTCTGCGCAATGACAACAAGCAAAGCTATGCATCACGAGTCTACTAGGGAGACTTTGAAGCGAGTGTCTTTTGATCGCCACAGCACTACCCTCGGCTCCGACTGCGGCTCGCTCGTCTTTCGTCAGAAGGTGTAGTTGCACATCATCGGCGCAGGAGTCATGAGAGTCAAAGACGTGTTGAACCTGTACATGTCGACGTAAATGTTAGGGCACGCTCCTACAAGTCAACATGACGTACCGCGTTTCGCCAGTTCATGGCTGGTCGATACCGGAGACTCATCATACTCCCGTCATGGTAGGCATAACTGCGATCAGAGAGAGCTTGGCATGTCAAGCAGATGAAGCAAGGGTCCAGGATATCGAGCTCAGGGATAGTAGCGGTCCTATCTAGGTCCAGAAGATGTAGAACGTTGTTGATAGCCTTGACAGCAGACTCGGGAGTGGGAGTAACCACTCGTGAGAGCCTCGATTCACGGTACAACTCGGAACCGGCGCCGTAAGATAATGTAATGAAGGACGTTGCCAGCGCTTGAAGCCCAAAACAGGCAGTGCGTACGCTGAACTTCTCCCTTACAACAAGCACCGAGCTTGCACGAGAGAGAACGTCGATTGAATTGGAGGTGGAGTCGCCAGAGTCTTCGAGTAGAGAGGCGAATTCGCGCTGATGTTGCTTGAAAGCATCCTGCATGAGAGAGAGCGCGTCTTGAAGAGATACGTCCACTCTTTGCCGCCAATCATCAGTTATTTCAGGCTCGTCTTCATCCAGCAGGTCGGGAAGTGTTCCAAATTGTGTACACGCGGTGGGACGTGGTAGATACGGGATATCTTGCGGTTTAACGACGCCTGACTTGAGCAGATCAATGTACGCGGACTGTATGGTGTTCAGACGAGTTTCGCGCCGATGATGCCGTTCCCGTTCAAATCGCCGATCTCGAGCATTATTGATTAAGGGTAATAATGTGGGTAGGAGTTTGTCCCACGCTGTACGACCAACATCAGGCGACGCGGGCGTCAACAAGCGAGTGTGATCACATACCACGACCCGTAAGGGGCTTGCTGACGTTCACGTCCTTCAACCTCCAGATCATGTACATGTCCCTCGTCGTGTAGCCGAGGTCTTCCAAACGCCTCGAAATACTACACAGGCACGCGTGAGGTGATGCTGATGACATGATACGAGGCACGCACTCTTCTCGCCTACTAGAACGCTTTTCTCCGAGATCGTCCTGACGGTCGGCCATCTTGCGCTCTTGCCAGATTTCACACTCGCGCCGATGCTGATCAAGATGAAAGGAGGCGTTCATACCCAAATCAGGAAGATGTGAAGGTGAACGACGGGAGACGTACAGTATTCCAAGGGGCAAAGGCGATTTTGAGAGATTCGAGAACCGTCGCAAGTGCTTGAGGGCGTGTGCTTGGATCGACTCCTTCCAGAGCAGATGCTATACTCGCCTGGAGGTTGATAATGTCATCTTCATATGCGTATTTGTCTGAGGTCATATTATCAGCGCGGGGAAAGAGAGAGGACCTGTGAACTATACCCCTCTTCTGTCCAACTACGGGGATGTACTCGCTGATGCCATAGTACCCGATACCCTCTACCCGGTTCGAGAGTACATTCACCAAACTACGTCGATGAGTGTCATTCATCAGAGAGTGCAGACATAGGATAAGGAACACTTACGACTTATGGAGACAATTCTTGCACATCCGTGCACGAATGCTGAAAAAGATGCGTTGTACGGATGGAGCCGCACAGACCTATGGCCGTTCACCGTCAATAAATACCACACGGCGCATGTATATATGAGGCGTACCTGGCAATAAGGCCCGCCGAACAGCAGTTGAAGCCATTTCAGAAGAGGGTAATCTTCAGGACAGGGCGGATATCCTTCCGTCCTCGACCAAGACGCTCGCCAAAGGTGCGAGAACTGATTGCCTGCAAGGAGCAAACGCCGGAAGGCCTTCGTCGTGCGTGCGATGCGGATAAGGTCACTCGGATCCAATAACGAGAAAATCTAGCAGTATTGAGCATTGCAAATCAGGCTGTATCAATGCAGACGAAGAGGTTTACCTCTTCGAGAATATCCAACGGCATGTCCGGCAACGCGTTCAGGCGACCACGTTTCTTCGTCCGTCCGCCAGCGGCAGCGACGAGCTTCTTCGTGGCAGGCCGCGCGTCATCATCCTTCTTGGCTCTCTTCCTTGGTCTCCTCTTCGGTACTGAAGACATGTCAACACCGCATTCCTTGCGCGTGTGACGACCGGACGCGCTTTCGCGGTCAAAGGAAGGTCGTACCTGCCTCGTCCTCCTCATTGCCTGAGCCGTCGTCTTCAACGTACGTAGCGGCACGCTTCTTATTATTAGCTGCGGTTTTTCCAGACGCTTTCGAGCGTGTGGTGGGAGCCATGAGTGTCGAGACGGTGGTGGTGGAGGAAGGAAGGAGTCGCGTCGCGTCTCGCGCGGAGACGCGAATGTGGCGACTATTCCCACGCGACACGGTCATGTGGCTATTCTAAGCCAGACGTTACATAAGGATGGAAAGGTATGGACGCGTCTGCGACTGATGTGGACGATCATAACGCTCATGGAGCTTGAGGGAAGACCTGACTTGGTTGAAAGCCCTCTCATGTCATCGAGAGGTGCTATCTAGTCGAGACAGTACAATGCGAGATGCACTCTCATGCTATGCAATAGAGGCTTCTAACTAAGTATCAGAAGAGGGAGGGAGGACTATATGTGGAGTCATCGACTGCCTCGGACTGTTCCTCCCATAAACAGTACTCCCTTCGAGTGCCTCCCAGCACACCGCGATGCTCCAGTGGGCCCTGGAAGTAGTCTATGCCTTCAACCGCAGATCCAATACCATGTCTAGCATAAAACACGTGAGAAGAAATAGATGTAAGTACGTAGTGAACTTACCGATGAAACGAGTGTATGTGGGCATCTTCTCGAGAGTAGTAATGGAGTCTCCCAGGTGAGGTAGAAGGCATCGATTCTTCGGTACAATGGCAACAGGCGAAGGGGGTTGCCATGCGACTTTCTCCGTAGAAGCTGTGCCTGAGCGCCACGAGAGTCCCTTCAGCACCGATCGCTGTTCGTTCTCCGTCGGACAGAACATGAAGTCGAACATAGCCGGGGTTATCGTCATGTACATCTAGAACGTGCTGTACCTGTAGTCATAGTGAGCATGAAGCGCGCTCCAAGGATCTGTGAGATAGAGTAGAGTGTACATACAACGTCCCGCCAGTTGAGCAGTTGCCGATAGTATAGCTCATGTCTGTGCTCGTCATCATAGAGGTAGTATCGGTTGTGTTGAGTTGGGCATGTCTTGCAGATGAAGGCAGGATCGAGGACGTCAAGTTCGGGTATTGTGGTTAGGAAGCTCAGACGGAGGATGTTCAGCAACATCTGAACGGCGGCGACGACAGATGCCGGAGTAGGTTGAACCACACATGTAAGTCTCGAGTCGCAGTACTCGGATCCAGCTTCACTAGAGGAAAAGTAGGGGCGAACGGCAGAGCAGGCGACGACCTCTTTACCGAAGCAGACATTGCGCCAGGAGTCGAAGGGTTTCTTTACAACAAATACCGAAGTTGCCAGATCGTCGAGATCGATCGAAGGTATGTCGCGAAGATTCGCCTCCGGGACGCTCCCGTCGAATCCTGGGAGTAGGGATGCGAATTCTGCCACGTGTCTCTGGAGAGAGTGGTGCATGAGACGTAGTGCATCGCCGAGGGCTGCATCAACTCTCTGCATCCATTCAGAGGAGAGTTCGTCCTCGTCCTCATCGATGAGAGTAGGTAGTAATCCGAACTCAGTACATTCTCCGGGCCAAGGCAGATATGGGATATCTTTAGGATCCACAACATCAGACTGAAGAAGGTCTACGTAGGCCTTCTCCGCGGCGTCCAGACGGCGATTTCGACGCATTTCACGTCCAGCCTCGCGGCGTCGATTTCGAGCCCGATTGAGAGCAGGCAGCAACGTCGGGAGAAGAGTGTTCCAGCCTGTATGGTATGTCTCATTGAGAACGTAGGGGAGCATCGGTCAAATCACATACTGCGATCAGTGAGCGGCTTGCTACTGCTAACACCCTTCAACCCCCAGATATCACACGCATCGGAACTTTGGTATCCGAGCTCTTGTAAGCGCATCACAATGCTAGTGATAGATATGATCAGGAGGTCTCAAACTGACAGATGGAAAGACACGTACTCATCTCTTCGGTCACGGCGTTGCTCCATGAGGTCGTCGCTACGTTCTGCGATCACGCGCCTCTGCCACTCCTCGCAGTTCTGCTGATGCTAGAGTGTACATGTCAGCCTTGCGTGAGAGAAGAAAGGTACGTATCCATGAAGAGAGTATGGAACCTACAGATAGACGGGGCAAGAAAGAACTCCGAAGGGACTCTTTGGCGGCCGCGAGGATCGCGTGGCGCTCAATGGATTCAACACCCTCCGTGATGGACGATAAGGTAGCGCCGAGGTCTTTGAGATCTTCCGAGTGTGCATATAAATCTGTTAACAAGAATTGAGTCGAGGAAGCATTGGTGAGCTCTTAGATACTCACTTCTTCCCTCATTCACTACAGGGATGTACTTATGGAGTTGGCGAGGTCTTATGGTATCGACCGTAGTGGATTCGATCCGTACCAGACTGTAGCTGCCGTCAGAAAGGGCACTTCGTAAGGCTGGAGATAGGGTCTTACGAACTACGAAGGCAGTTCTTGCATACCCTTGCCCGAATACTGAAGTATACGCGTCGGCCAGATGGGGCAGCGCAAATCTGCGACCATTTTAGTGAGCGCTAGTCGTTGAGTGTCCAATGGTGGATCTTACCTGACAGTAAGAGCCGCCAAACAGTAGATGGATCCAACTCATAAGTGGGAATGCATCAGGACAGGCCGGATATCCTTCCACGCGAGCCCAAGAGTCTCTCCATAGATGGGAGAACTGGTTGTTTGTGATCAACAACCGACGGAAGGCTTTCGTAGTACGCGCGACGCGGATGAGGTCGCCGGGATCAAGACGCGAGAATATCTGACGAATGATAAATCAGACTATGCGCGCGCTGAACAGAGAATAACTCCCGACCTCTTCGAGGATGTCCAAAGGCATGCCAGGTAGTGCGTTTAGTCGGCCTCGTCCATGAAACCGGACACCCTTCCGTTGCTCGAGCCTCATGATTCCTCTTCGTTCCGCTGAGTAATGCGTCAGAATGGAAAGCGCATGTCAGGTGCGACGCAGTGGACGAACCTTCTACCACACCCTCGCCCGTCATCTCGTCCTCAACGTCTTGACGATGTACTTCCGCTATTTGGGAGGTATGTCCTACAGACCGCAATGGCTCGCGCAGGTGGCGTAGGTTCAAGCTCCAAGGGCTGTAGAGGTGGTGGTGGTGGTGGTTATGCGGGAGGCGCAGAAAGCGTTGCGTTGCGGGTCCTTGACACTCGCATCTGTATCGAGTGTGGCGATGAGCGCTCGCACGCGACACCATCACAGCTTCCCCCTTGCCCGTTCCCGCCCACACACAGATCCGGAGCAGCTCGGTTGTGTTTGTTCCGAATGCGGCAAAGAGAGTCGTCCCTGGCTCCAGAACATGCTGGGAGGGAAAGTGCTAGGAGTTTGAAGGAGGCATTGGCAGAAGCGCGCGCGACCCGCGAGGCTGTTCATCTGTAGGACGGCCGGTTGTCCGGAGACGTACAAACGCCTAGAACTGCGCCTTCCGATCATACAACAGTGTTTGAGGATTGCCTGGAAAGGTATGTGCGAGCTTGCTCAGTTGAACATGGTATGTCGCAGATATGTCCGGCGAGAGTCCGGCGGCGGCGATGTGGGTACTATTTTGAGCATATTTGATTGTATCCCTTCGCTTGAGGACTGGAATGCACGCTTGTGTAGGGTTCAGGCGCAAGAGTGGTGATGGTGGCGGCAAGCACGGAAGGGCGCTCGTCGCGACGCGCGCCAGTGACGCGCGATCATTCTGTGGCGCTTACTCCCACGCGCCGCGTTCGGCGGTTCCGAAACGTGTAAGCCGAGGCATGCCAGAACCCTTGGATAGGTCCCCGCCAGCACCTTCAGTTGGTTCGCTATCGAGCCTCATTAACGGTAGCACACGGTGAGATTGGGAGTTTCAAAAGTTATTTGCTTCGAGTGTAAGCCGTACATGCAAAATGCTACAGTTCGGGCGGTTCAAACGACGACGAGGGGGAACAATTCACAGAGGAGAACACAGTCGGGCGAGGATGGATGGAGTCGACGGAAAGGGAAGGAACACAAACAAAAAAGAGGGCTAAACGAAACAACCTACTACACAATGAGAAGCGATCGTGACGAGATGACAAAAAGCGGATAAGGGGAAAGGGGGAGAAAGCAAGCGACCCAAGGGTGGTAGAATCACAAGCAAGAGTATTGCTGATGGAATGAGAAGAAGGGGATGATACGGATGGACAGGGGGAGAGCAACAATAGTAAATACGGACGTGGACGTGGGGTGTAATAAAAACTGTGTGCAGGTTCGGGTGCGACGTATATACACAAGAACAACTGGAAAGGACAGGGAGTGGTACAGAGGGGATGGCGGGACATCATGACGAGTTGTGGAAGACGGGAGTTTGCCGTGGAGGTTGAGGTTCGCGGGGAGTCTTGACGCGGAGTTCTGCAGCGATGCAGATATGGCTAGCAAACCTAATCAGCAACGATTCCCACCAAGAGTAGAAGGGAATACTCACTCGGAAGGATGATGCGCATCCGGGAAACCAACCGTCTTCTCCATATACACCGGGTCGATCTCGCTCAACACAGCACTGACCGCCATATTATTCTGTCCGAACCAGATATAATCCAACGCGCCCACGAAGCTCGGCACGCAGTTGGTAAACGGCATCTCCCCGATATCCGCGTACGCGCTCTTGAGCTGGAGCTTGTGCCGCAGCCAGTCACCTGAGTACTTGCCGTACTCGTGCGACAGGAAGTCGGGGTGGTCATGCGCGATTGAGCCTGTTGCGAGGTACTCGTACACGCCGGAACCAGGAATGGAGTTGTAATCGCCTGCGAGGATGGTAGGGATCTTCGTGCCGTCGCTGTACGTTGGTGGCGGACGCGGTGCCGGCTCGCCTGGTACGGGCTCGCGTGGCGGCCGTGGCGGATACCGCGCGAAGTTGTCTGCGATCTTCTCGACCTCGTCCACGAGTAACGCTGTTTGCACAAGCTTGACATCCGAGTACTTCGGGTCCCAAGCCAGATGCGCGTTCGAGACGATGAAACGCGTTCCGCTCTCACGGCCCTCAAACAGCCCGATGACGGCCATGTTGTCCTTGATCAAAACGCGGTTGAACATGTCGTCCGTCTTCTTGAGGTCGGAGCGCTGCATGGCGATAGCGATGAAGTCGACGAGGTGGCGTTCTACCAGCTGGAACCTGTGGACGTGCGAGGTTAGTCCGAGCGATCGAAGAATGTATCTGAAAACGGCTACGCACTTGTCCTTCTTGTAGAAGATCGCACACCCGTCAACCGAGCGCTTATCCGCGTCGCTCTTCATCTTGTATCGCGACTTTGGCCAGTACAACCCCTCGTACCCATGGTCCTCGAGTTTCGTGACGAAGAAGTCCTCGTACTGCCCCTTATCCACTTCCTGTAGGCACATGAAGTCCGCGTCGTGCAGGAGAATCTCGTCCATGATCAAAGTCCTCCGGTAGTCCCACGCGAGCGCCCATGACGGCGTGTAACCGTACATGCGCTCCGTCGCGGCCTTCTCGCAGAGAATGTTGTACGAAAGCACGCGCACAGTCTCGACCGTGGGGTCGGACTTCATCGCTTCGCGCTCCGCCTCTGTTGTGAGATGCAACCACTGTCGCGGCGCGGGTTGCGGGCGACGCGCGGCACGATCGCGCATCCACGCGACGAGCGCCGGCGTGCCGTCCTTCTGAATGATCTGCTTCAATTGCGTATCCAACGGGTTACCCTCGACACCGAGCGTCTGCAGCTGATGTAACGTGCCGAGTTCGTACGGGATGGTCGTAAGGTGATTGTCGAACAATAGAAGCTCCTTGAGATGAACAAGCAGACCGAGTTCGGGCGGGATCGAGTGGAGCTGGTTTCCTGACAGATCCAAAACCTCTAGGTGCTTCAGGTGCGTAATCTCCGGGGGAATGGCGGTCAGCTGGTTGTGATTCAGGTAGAGGTTGACGAGGAAGGTGAAGGAGAATAGGCCAGAAGTGCCGGGCAGGTTCTTGAGCTGCACGCCACCCATGTCAAGAGAGGTCCAGTTGTCCTTTCGCAACTTGGTGGCCATCGGCTTGGGCGCTGGCGCTACGGGCCCCACCGTGGAAGACGGATGATCCTCTGCCTGTCTTGGTGATGCGGCAGCGCCATTCTCGGTCAGTGATGGGCTCCCGTCCTTCCCATTTCCGTTGGTCTCCGGTGTTGGCTTGTTCGGATTCATGATCGGGATGTTATGTTTCGCTACTGTGCGGAAGGCCATTGCGTTCGCACGGGCTCGATGGTGCGGAGATCGAGACGCGCGGCTCAACTAGAACAAAGGAAAACAATGATATCAATACGCGAACTTCACTCATTGGTTAAGCAATATATGTACCTCGAACTTGTACAGCTGAGTCTGCCAGTGGGGTGCATGGGCGGCGGCTGGAGCTTGCTGGGGCGAACCCTGGAGACCCGGCGGACCGGCATGTGCGCCGACATTTCCGTTGGGTGGGGGAGAGGCGTAGTGCGAGAGGGAGTTCTGTGGATGGTGCATGGGTTGCATGTGATGCTGCAGAGGGCCGACGTTTCCGTTTGCGAACATGGCAAAGCCGGGGGACGTCGGTGGCGGGTGCGGGCCAAAGGCCGGGTGATGGGGCTGCTGCCTTCCCCACGGCGAATTGTCTGGCAGTTTATGGGCAATGCCCGCTGGTTGCTGGTAGGCGTACATCGCATCTGGTCAATGCGAGACCGCAGACGTTTATTGCGGGGAATCGCCGAGGCGGAATAAAGGGGATGGTGGTCTTCGGTCCAAGACTGTCTGACAGGTGCTGCAGAGTGTACAGAAGTAAAGACAAGTAAACAAACAAAGGATTGGGCGAGATCGCCTGGGGCGGAGGTGGTGGACGGAGGCAACTGGCAGGGGTTCGCACAGGTTCGGCCACTTTGCGTAAACGGTCAACAAGGCGCACAGATTCGCACGCCGCCACTGCCGTGTCCATTTCTCCATCTTTCCTGCATTCCGCGATCTTCGCGCATCTGCCCAGCGCAGTCCTCGATGAAACGATAGACATAAGCGCACACGACCGCCAGGAAATATTCAGAACGCCTCATGCACGTACTTGTGTGTGCGCGGCGATCTAGGTACTCCACGTGCGCGTGCCGAGATCGACGTCCCTGAACTCGCTTCGAGTCTTGCAGCTCGCTGCCACCTCGCCTGGGCCAGCCTGCTTATATACCTCCCCCCATCTCGCACTCTGATACCCATCTACACTCTACATTAGGCCATGACTGTCTACCAGGCTACCGTCTCTGCTCCCGTAAATATTGCTTGCATCAAGTAAATATCATATAACCTTCGCCCGGCGCAGACAGCACGAAATCTGACCACTTTCACCCAGGTATTGGGGCAAGCGCGACACCAAGCTCATTCTACCCACCAATTCCTCGCTCTCGGTCACTCTCGACCAGGATCACCTGCGTGCGACTACGACTTCACGGGCCGATGCTTCGTTCGAGAAGGACACGTTGTGGCTCAATGGCAAGGAGGACGTGATCGCCGAAGGCGGACGTTTGTTCACATGCATCCGCGAGATGAAGGCGTTGAGGAGTAAACTCGAGCAAGAAAAACCTGACCTGCCCAAGGTATATACCTATCTCCAATACACTTACGACATAATACTAAAATGCACTAGATTGCTGCGTACAAGGTGCATATCGCGTCGTACAACAACTTCCCCACCGCGGCCGGCCTCGCATCATCCGCCGCGGGATTTGCCGCGCTCGTCGCCTCCCTCGCAGCGCTCTACTCGCTCCCCTCCACGCCCTCTGAGCTCTCCCGTATTGCTCGCCAAGGCTCCGGCTCCGCCTGCCGCTCCCTCTTCGGCGGTTTCGTGGCCTGGGAAATGGGCTCCGCGGCCGACGGCTCCGACTCGCTCGCCATCGAGGTCGCACCGCGCGAACACTGGCCCGAGATCCAGGCGCTCATTTGCGTGGTTTCGGATGATAAGAAGGGTACTTCTTCGACCAGCGGCATGCAGAGGACCGTCGAGACGTCCACGTTGTTGCAGCACCGCATCAAGAACGTTGTCCCGGACCGGATGAAGAGGATTTCGGAGGCCATTCGCGCGAAGGACTTCGATGCATTTGCGACGCTTACGATGCAAGACTCGAACCAGTTCCACGCCGTTGCGCTCGACACGGATCCGCCGATCTTTTACATGAACGACGTGTCGCGCGCGATCATCGCCGTAGTGACTGAACTCAACCGGGTCTCCGTGGCGGCGGGTACTGGTATCAAGGCGGCGTACACCTACGACGCAGGTCCGAACGCTGTCATCTACGCACCGGAGAAGAACATGCGGGAGATCATTGAGCACGTTGTGGCGTACTTCCCGCAGGCGGAGGCGTTCAAGGATCCCTTCGGAATCTTTGGCGCATCGGGCGTTGGGGAGGGCAAGCTCGCTGAGGGGTTCAACCCGAATGTGGCGAAGAAATTCGCGGCTGGAGCGGTCAAAGGTCTCATCCATACGCGCGTTGGGGACGGACCGAGGAAGCTCGGAGATGAGGAGGCGTTACTGGCTGCTAATGGTCTGCCGAAGACATTAGTCTAGGTCCATGCAATCATGCGATGAACAGAGTGCTTGATCTGCTATACAAAGAATACCATGGATTCACTATAATGGCACTATAATAGGCATTGATGAATTGTCCATTGTTTGGCAAGTGCGATCCGTGTAGATCTGTCGGGTTCGAGTGAAGATGCCGCGTAGTGCCCGTCAGCGCCCGGCGGGCCCATATCAGAGCTCAGCGCTCAGCGCTCAACGCGTAGCGCTTAACCCTAAACAGCCCTTGACGAAGACACGCCCGCAATATCATGTGATCGTGTACGCATCAAACTCCGGAAGAAAACGGAAAACCAAGCATCTGCGGCGTACCACCACTAGCCCTTCTGAGCAGGTATCACAGCTAGAACGCCGACCATTGTCATGGTCAGGCACACATTTCCCATGAGAGCTGAGCCTCACCCGGTGCCACTGCACCTGTCTGTCCTGCTCGCGTAGAATGGAGTGGCCGTTGCTCAAGCGTTTGAGCCGACGCAACCTGTCTGCCTCGACCTCACCATGCTCGGCTAGGCTGGTGGTAACTGTCCGTCGACTCAACTCCCAGGAGGTCGGATCTCTATTCCGTGCTGATCGGTTTTGGTTCCCTCTTGGTTCTCTTTCTCGCGGAGGCGTCCCCAGCGCTCGTTTGAGATGTCTATCATTCACAGCATACTTACCGACGGCTGTCTAGCCAGATCACCGAAGGTTGCCTCACAATATATGAAGATGACTGATGCTGTTCTCCCCCTTGCTCCCTCCCTTTCCTCATCTCGCACTCGCCCATGCTCAAGCGACTCAGGAAGCTCTCCAGCCGGCGCAATTTACGCACAGCGCCATTCGACTCTGCCAAAGGATCACCTCCGGCCGTGCCAAGTACTCCGGCAATAGAAGTTTCAAGAAGCGTGACGCCAGTCGATGCTTCCTCGGGCAAATGCGCAGTTCCCGAGGCGAGTGTCAGCTCCCTCGCGACAACAGTGCCCGCGACTTCCGGCTCACATACGGCCGCTCCTGCCATCGAAACGACTGCCCCGTCTGAAGACAATCCAAGCAAAGATGCGCAACAAGACGATCGCTTCGCGGATACCTGGCAGCAAGTGAATAAGCCGCCTGCCGTGAAAACTGGGATCACCAGAGCACTTGACGACCTGGGTTCGTGCATGTACTTTGCATCGCATACCAAGTCTGACTCCCCTCCAGAAGACAGACTGTCGCCTCTGGCTGCCCAAGGGCGGACTATCGCCGACGATCAGCAAAAGCATCATGTCAAGCGCCGGCCAGATCGCCACGGATTTCGGCCTGAAAGACAAGATTGGTAGCTTCATGAAAGGCATGCCGATCTTCATGGACGCCCTGGACGAGGTTGGGAAGATTCATCCTATCGTGCAAGGTACAATTACTCTTGGCTGATTACCGTCCATCAGCTGATGTATATGTTGAAGGTGTCGTCATCGTCTTCAAGGCGGCGTATACGCTGGAGGTCAAACGACGTGACAACGACAAGAAGATCACGGCCCTGTTTTCGGAGATGAAGGACGTTATGGCGGTTCTGCTCCGGTGAGACGCCCTCAGTGGATTCCATTGGCCTGTGACTATACTGAAACATCACAGTCTGAAAGATATGCGAGACGATGGCATGCGCATCACGCGGCCGGACGGAACTGTTCTCAAGGACCAGCTGCGAGAATGTCTAGATTCTATCGAGGCGAGTGTCAAGGAATGCTCCAATATGTGCGACACGTACTCCAAGAAGAGCCTCTTATCCAAAGTCGTACACGGACCGATCTGGAATACAAGACTTGCGGGCTACGTAGCAACGTTTCGGGACCACCGGGGTAAACTGGAGTTTACACTCGTCGCGCGTACTGGACTCGGTGTTGATGAAGCGAACATCAAGTGAGTGTGACTCCGCGCCTTTAATGTGCCACAGTTCTCATTGTTTGACTCAGGTTGGATATCTTGATCAACTTCTTTGCCAACTCTCTCTCTAGCCCCGAGGTTCGTAGGCTTTCCAAACAGTACGGAGAATTACAGGCGCCCGCACGTGGTCATGGTGGCCCGCATCGTGCAGACGCAAAGGACCCTCGGGTCGTTAATCTTGTCGAACAAGCTCGCAGGCTCGAGGGCGCGCGGGCGCCAGTACCGGGAGGCAAGAGCGGTGAGAAGGAGAAGGATAAGAGCGAGGCTCGTCACCTCGAGTATGAGAGGGTCCTTGAGGAGAAACCGGACGAATCGGTGGAGAACAACAGGGAGTTGTTCGATAGGAATCTAGAGTTACAGATGGATATACTGCGAGATGTCGTTCACGAGGAAGGAAAGTGGATCGTCGCCGCTGTCGGTGAACAAGTCGGAAGAGGCGCTCATGATCGACTCGCGAATGAGGTGCGTCACTACGGGGTTACGGCTGAATACTCTCTGATGGTGTTCCTTCAGGACATTCGTCAGCTATGGAAGGATATGGTGAGCACCGGGCTCTCTTCAGGCGGGGTCACCAGTGCTCATCTGTGTGCTAACGTATTCTAAAGGGCTGGCGTGGCACTGTCGATACTCGACTACTTGTCGTCACGTTGAGGGATCGGTATACCGAAAAGTCAATCCTACACCAGCTCGACACCGACGACGAATGGGCACTCGGATGTATCGACATGAAGAATGTTCAGCCCATCGTCGAAGCGATTGACGAGGACGCCTCTGGGTTCTTAACGATCGGGGAACTGAACGCCTTCACGGAGTCGCCGGGAAAACCGAAAGATTGGACGTGAGTCTCTGTTATCACCAGGTTCTTGATTCCTCGTTCTGATTAGATTTGTGTAGTTTATTGACATGGATCGCTTATTGGGCAGTGGGTGAGTGTAGACGGGGTGAGTATGAGCGGCAATCTTCTCAACCTGGCGTCTAGGTTGGAAGGCTGTGCAGATCGGCTATGCCCAAAAGATCCAGCAGATCGCCACTCAGCTAATCAGTCTTTCCTCGCACGTTCTCCCCATCAATCGTTCTGCTGCTTGGAACTACATGTCACGCACCTCGTTGGCAACTTATGCCTTTGCCGGCCCATTCTGGAGAATGAACCAGGGCTTTGAAGATGTCCCGGAGCGTTTTGGGCAGTATACGCTCTCGCAAGAAGCCCGGCTTCGAGAGAACCTGGAGAGGATCCATTTCATCGTGGACGGGCGCAGCGCTCTAGATCTCGTGCTGGGAAGTGGACGCACAGAGAAGGCGCGCTCTTATTCAACTTTCACCAGCTTCATCTACACTCACCTCATTGTTTTCTTCAGAACGCACTGGCTCTATTGTATATCCTTCTAGAGAGACATTTCAATATACTCAAAACGGCTTGCCGCTATGCAATCGCGAACGACGAACTCTCAGAAGCAGCGACAGCCATCGAAACTTTGCAAGACGCAATCGCTCTGCGGATGCAAGACCTTGCGAGTGCGTCTCTTTCCCCCTGATGTCAGTACTCAAGCCTGAGCACGATCCCCAGATAGCTTCCAGCAGCAGCGTTTCAATCTCTTGAACGAGTTTGATGTCTATATATGCGGCATGGTAAGTGGCGTACGACGACATTGCATAGATTGGATCTAATACTCTGATCAGTTCCGTTACTTCTATACGCCGTCCCTTTTTGCCGAAGAAGACACTTGGGAGTCGATCGAGGTTCATGAGGGCGACGCAGACGATGAAGTCAAGAACATCCTGAATCATCCCTATTCTGAACATAGATCTCTGCCCATTCTCGATGATTGGGTTTACGACGGTTCCCTCTCGGACGATCTCTTGCCCGTCGACGAAGAAGATCTGGTTCGATTTCCTTTGTACGTATCTTCTCCACGTTGCTCTCGGAACGGGACTGACCGCAGTGGGACAGCCTCGGCAGTTGGACGGGTAAGGAAGGGCATGGTTCAGATTCAACCGCATCCCTGCAAAGCATCCGCCTCTGGCTTACGGATGATAAAGCCATCATAGGTCGGCACTGGAGTAGCCGGGGGTATGCATCAATCAAAGGGTCGGTGGAGACGGTGGACGGAGTTACGAAGGTGGAACTCCGCTTCGACTTCTCTATGTGGTCGCCTTCTTCCCTGCAACAAGGACCTCAATCGGTACCGGATGCGGACGACTCTCTCATCAAGTTCGTTGCTTCTGACGCGCCGTATACTACCATGGTCTTCAATGGCGTTTACTCGTCTGGTCCTCGACCTGAACTACGGGGCGATCTCGGCTGGGAAGGTCAACCGATAGCAGATCTTCCCGTTAGCATACTATATCGGCGCATGGATCCGGAGGCCTTTGCATTCTACCACCCTGATGCTATACAGCTATATAGCAATGCGAGGCTGCGCTGGGATTTTGCCATCAAGGCTGTAATCCAATCTGTGCGACGGCGCTTCTGGACCTGGACTTTCTTCAAGAATCGACGGGATCAGAGAAAGACGTTCCTCGAGTACGAGGTCGTCCGCCTTTTTGGAACACCTGGGGAGCAGCGATCGAAAGACGAAGGCTGGGCAGTACACCTCCGGGAGTGCTTGCGGACAGTTTTGCCCGATGACGGGTGCTTTTACTTCTCGAGAATGATGTGGAGATGGGCTCATGTGGCCGCATATGGTACCAGTCGGTATGTACTCGCCCTAATTTTTTGGCTGTGGTCCTTTGTCAATAAAATGCCAAATGCCTAGATTCTTCTGCAACGCATGCAGTGGCGACCTTGTGGGCAGCAGACTCTGGTGCATAGACTGTTGGTACTCCGCGTCAACGGCAGGTGTACCATTCGATCCGTCCGATTCCTACGATGTCTGCAATCAGACGACGTGCATTAACACGAAATCGGGAATGGAAGCGGTGAGGAGCAGTCAACCACCTCACGCCCTGTCACATCGCCTTGTCCTCATTCGGACGCATCTACCCTGGCCGCTGTACCCTTCTATCGTCAAGAAAGCCAACGACTTCGGGCAAATAGTAGAGGCCATAACGGACTCTATCACCTCTGCCGCGACTTCTAATTCTCGTGACGGTACGACTGACGTCTGGTATTGCTCGGTGTGCTGTTCACCGCTCGGATTCCCCTTCTGGTTCTGCCTGCAGCCATGGTCAGACTGCTGGGGTGAGTCTCTGCGCCTTAAGTATGAATATGGCGCTGGCTAACTATATTATGTGCGCCAGACCATCCTGTCTGCGACAAGTGTATTCGCACACCGACCGAATTCGAGTTTCCTGTCGGACGACAGAGGCTCAATGAACCTAAGTCTTCAGCTTCAGAGCATTCAGGACCCGACAGCTCGAAGTCAGACTCCGAGGCGAAGTCACGACCAAACCTCGCGGATGTTCACGGTGATCATCACATATTTCTGAGATGTCCTGAACCGCTTGAAAGAGACGATGAAACCAAAACCCCCAGTCAGCTGGCTATGGAGAAACACATATCCTCCATGCAACAAAGCCTGTCTGAAGCGATTGATCGACTAGGAGCGTTGGAACGGACAGTGGAGAAGTTCATTGGTGTTATCCCCAAAACGTTAGACTGACCTAGTACTGCACACCCCTAACAATGTGTTGATGTTGGCTTTTCGTACACGATGATGCAGTAGTAGCATCACTATGTCGGCTCGTCAGACGAGGATGTCACGAGTCTCTGTATCAATGCCCCTTGCGCCTCCGTCGTAGAGAGGAGTTTTAAGTGATTATAACCTCTGCTAAGAAAGCTGACTTCTGTGTGTGTGTAGTGTTGCCCAGATTGACGACGCAGTTAGCGTTATGGGTTCAAGGCGTCCGGAGTTTGCCGCGGCGGCCCGACGGGCGCGTTCGCATGCAACCGCCGGGGCGAACCTTGGCACTGACCTTCATCATCGTGAACTGTGCATTGCGTCTCTAACTACCTCGCGACATACTTGAACTGAGCATTCAAAACTTCGATTCTCTGCGCCGACTATCCATTCCCACCCTCTCCGACTCCTGGCATGAGCGTCGCTCCAGCTTCTGCAGAGCCTTCTGTGGACAGCTTAATATATACCATAGCGGGATGCTCTGAACATAGCAGTCGATATGTTGCAGATAACATACTCGTAGATAACCCTAAGGATCAGTCCAGCCGGTGGAGCGGCCTCCACGAAGATCCTCACGTCAAACAGTGGCTCCTTCTACGGTTAGAGAACCCTGGAATTATTTGTACGTAGAGAACTGTGCGACCTTCTGCAGTAGCTAAGGATCACTATCGTCAGACAATATCACCTTCGGAAAGGTGATAAACCTACTACATAACACTCTCATGCGCCGCTGAATGTACTTTCTTCGTTTCTCGACACACAGTACTACAAGTGTATGCCCAATCTACCAGAGGACCGCAGAGTTTGCTCTGACCTATATCGTCCCAGCGCATCCATGCAATATGAAGGAATTTAAGGTACTGATCGGGATGGAAGAAAGTGACATGACCGAAGTCCTACACGCTTCTCTGAAGGACGACAATGTACCCGAGACCTTTCCTCTCAGGCATACCAAGGCAACTGGCGTATTTACGCCTAGCCGTTTCCTTAAGATTGTGCCTCTAACGTAAGCTCAGAGGCCTTGGACATGCATGCTTCCCTTGCTGAATCTCCCTTTGGCAGTGCACATAGCAGTAGCTATCATATCTCGATCTGGCACGTCGCCTTGAGTGGTATAATGGATCCTGCGTTCATGAAAGATGCCACGGCACGGTACGAGCAGGTAATCGCACCATGCGCTCGCTTCTTTGACGCCTCAGAGATCTCACAAGACGATAGCATCGTGAAGCTGCTGCTCTCCGTCACATCCTGAAGCATCTTCGCACTCGTGGCTTACTAGCCCCATACAAAGCCTTGCTCACTGCGTCCGACGTCCAACTAGAACACCCTCTCGTGACGCGGCTTTACGAGAGCATCGTATCTGATGCTGATTGGAGCGAGGCTGAGACTGTCATCCAATCATCTGGAGACGCAGGCTTATTCGACGCATACCTGCAGAACTCGCAACCACGCGCGCTATGGAAGCGCCTGCGCGGTCCTGATTTCGACAGTCCGCAGCCATCCCGTCGTGGCGGACATGCTATGTGTATCGATGAGGATGCCGGTCTTCTCTATCTCTTCGGCGGCTTCGATGGTCACAAAAGTCTGGACGACTTCTGGTCCTATTCCATCGCCACCGACACTTGGACGTTGATAGCAGAGCACGCGAGCTCAGGTCCAGGTCCGAGCGCGCGCTCTTGCCACAGAATGGTCTTCGACTCGAGGAGAGGATGTATCTATGTGCTGGGAAAGCTGACTGATGGCGATGGCGACGCGGACGACGTGATGGGAGGAGCTCATACGAGAGAGAGCTCGGCAGATTCCACCTCGTTTCAAGACAGTCCCGGCGACTTCTGGTGTTATCATACGCAGGGTCCTATAGCGGGCTCCTGGGAGCTATTATCAGACGACACTAGCGTAAGTCTGGCGATGCTCTTGATATCGATCACGAGCACTGACAGACGTATCAGGATGCAGGTGGACCACTCTTACTGTTCGATCACCAGATGGTCATGGACTCCGCGGCGCAGATACTCTACGTGTGCGGTGGGCGAGTTCATGAGGGTCACTCGAGCACCGCAAAGTATTCCGGGCTGTATTGCTACGAAGTTGCGTCGGAGAAGTGGACACTCCTTCAGTACGTCTCACTAAAGTACAGCAGGGTCGCGCACTAAACCACGAATCACAGACCACGAGCGCCTTCGGGCGTACTCCACTCTGCGATGTGGAAGAGATATGGTAAGCTCATCGATTTGTCAACTTCCACGTCGCTGATAGGCCCGTGAAGGACACTGCATGGTCTTCGACCCAAGCTCTCGTTGCCTGATCATCTTCTCGGGCATGGGTGACGATGACCACTACTTGTCGGACATGTACTCCTACGACATCGATACCAACACCGCGACGCAGCTTTACGTCAACTTCGCATCCTCTGGTGGGCCCGACAAGAACTCGACCCAGCGTGCGGTGATAGACTCTTCGTTGCAAGAGATCTACGTGTACGTGTTGATATAAGTAGCGCGCAACGTGTTGCTGATAACCATTAGCCTCTGCGGTCTCACACGCAATCGCGCACAGCCTACCCGAACGGAGAGCACCACATGGCTATACAAGTACGACGAACAGCCAGGAAAATGGGCACACATCCTCGTTGAGGCCGGTAGTGGTAGCGAGCGTTCGCCGCAACCCCGTACGCGCTACGGTCATCAAATCGTATACGATTCGCGTACGAAGACAGTGTATCTCCACGGCGGTAACGCAGGCCCGGTTGAAGACGAAGGCAACGAAGAGGTTGAGACAGTAGCGGAGCGTCGCTTGGATGATCTGTGGTGCATGATGCTGAAGAGGTCCGCCTTCCGTCCCTCGTGGTATTCAAATCCTGACTTCTCGCCAGACCCGAACCACAGGAGGCAATACGTAGAGCGAAGTTCGAGCTGAGGTGCCAGCAGTGAGTCTCTTTGCGACTCTATCCGCCACAACCACCCTGACATCCTGCCAGATTTCGCGAGATGTGCGATGCGGCACCACCTGTAGAAGCTCTGAAGTTCTTGCAGTCGCAAGTTGCGGAGGTTGTCGATCACAATACACCGGAGACGGACACCTTCAGTAACTTGCTATCTTTGCTCTTGACGCGCCAACAGCAGTCGTCGACGCCTTCTGCGGATATGTCGTCCATGTCACAGACGCGCAGCGATCTTACGGACGTCATCTCTCAGGACAGGCGCCTAGCGCGTGTCAAGGTGTTCGAGGGCCTTCTCGAATTATACCCCGCGGACGCGAAGCAACCATCCCCAAACTTGGTGGATATGGTCGACTGGTACGAGCAGAGTGCGCACGGGTGATAGGGAGGCATAGATGGCATTCAGGAGTGGATAGAGGGTACATAGGCATTGTAGGATAGCACAACTTCGCGCCGTATAGAACCTGAGGAGTATGATCAGCATGACTGAAGGGTACAGGATTTGTAAGGGGTGGGATGGTGTGCATCAGTAAGAACGCAGCTTTATCCTCCATAGTTGGATCGTCGGACATATGCTTGTATCGATGAAGAGAATGGTATACATCAAGCGCGGGAAAGGGGACGATATGCGTTCGAGAGCAGGATATCTCACCTTACAAGTAACCAGATGGTGCCGATAAATGTTTCAATGTGAGACCTGGGGGGTTTATCGTCAGCTCAATCAAAAGAGAGGTTCGTGGATAGGCGGAGCTTCAGCGGGTGGTGGGTGTCAGAAATAACGATCATCCGGTTCACACTGACATAGTTCGTCTCGAGCGAGAGTCTCCTAGCGCTATCACCGAGCTACTCACCGTGCAGGCTCGTTCATGAGGAGTGCTGCATGCGTAGATGAGGGTCACCGTCGAGCGTGTTAGCACCGCAGTAGGCTCAAATTGGTTCGGCGAATGCCGCAACACGCTCACGTGTGTTTGCAGCAGCGATGAGCGCTGAGCGAGAATTCTCCAGCTTGCAGCTAACGCCAACCAGTTGGTCGTGGCGCCGCGGACTCAAGGCAGCACAGGCAAAAGCACTTGATTGTAATCTACATGCGTACAGAAGAAATTGATGGGGAAGGAAAGAAAATCCGGGAGAGATATGATACATGAATATGACAATTGGCATTGCCAACATACAGAAATGTAGACGTATTGACGGAAACATGATGCGCCAGAATATTGGAACAAGGAATAGTGGACTCTTAGGCCTGTTCGGAAACCGCTTGATTGGTCGATCGGCGGTGTATCGGCCGTGTGAACGATGTGAATGCTCTATCGTACGGCGAATATGCGGCGTACAGACGCGATCGCACGGGCGATAAACGGTCAACCAAACATCCAAACGGTTGCCGAACGGGCCCTAAGTTATAGAGAAGTTAAATGAAAGGGTCGGCCTAGCGCTAGACCGTGTTGGTTCGGGGCGTTAGTTACGCGTCGAGCAGATTCGTGATTACACCAAGACCCTGCGCCATATTAGGATCTACGTGTTGGATAACTGATGAGAAGTGTACCTTGGTCTTTCCCTCGCGGAATAAGAGCTTCATCCCCTTCTTCACAAACTCAGGGTGAGAGATGAACTCGAATATGACAGTCGCGCGATCTCCTGTCCGCAAGAGACCCTGTGGATGATCAATGGACACTATGCGTACAGTCTGGCGTACAGCCTGACCGGATATGTCAGTAGGAACGCATTGCGCTTGTGGTAGAATATAGCGTACTCCGGAGTGCAGCATAGCCTGGTAGTTGACTTGCATAGTTGTATTGTGGTACAGGATGAGTACCTGCCCCTCAAAACGCTTGACAGCGCGTGGAGGTGCATCGATCTTGTGTACGATGACCATTCCCTTGCGTACTGCCGCTCGACGAACGCGCTTCAGAGCAAGAGCAACGGTCTGACCGGCTTCGGCGTGCGTCACATCGGCGCTGTTCGTGCATGAGTTTTCGTGCTAGGCGTGAAGAGGGAGGAAAGTAGCCACCGTTTCCGCTGCATGCTCTTGACAACGGTGGAGATGTACTCTCCGTTGCCATCCGGACCGAGCAGGACTGGATCTCCCGCCTTGATCTGCCCGCTATTCAGGATACCGTTGACCACGGTACCCACGTAGGGAACAGACCAGACTTCAGTGACGGAGAACTGAATACGCGTCAGTAGGTGGTCGATTCATGGATGAAGTGTTACGGCAGACCTCGAGCGGCAATGTTGAATCGAACTTCTCCGAGTCATCTTCGCTCGAAGGGAGGAGATTGAGGAAAGTCCGCATCTGTGGCTGGTCAGCGACAACCAACACAGCAGTATGCGATCATACGTAGTCGAGCCCAGATCCAGTTACGTTCGAAATTTGGAATATGGGAGCTATTCTAGGGGGTGATAAGCGACGGCATACATTGACGATCTGCGCACGAACCGCTCTTTCGTCACCACCTGCGCCGCTTTGATGGCGACTTCATGCGATGTTATTCGTACTGGTGTCTTACTATGTGGCGATATGAGCGCGCTGTACACATATATGCCTCAGAACGATGGCTGACCGGCATCCCCTGCTCATCAGGATCTTGTCGACTTGCTCAACGGTCTCCTGCAACTTCTGTGGCGGAGTCATGTCGATCTGTAGGGGTGTAAATGCTACAGCGACGGAGGAAGCGCCATGCTGCTAACCTTCGTTATGCATACAGCGACCGGAACGTTCAAAGCAAGTGATATTGCCAGATGCTCCTTAGACATGCCGATGATACCAGCATTTGCGCCAACCATGAGTATCACGCATGATGGTGCACCGGAGGTCAGACCGTACAGGGTAGTCTTCAGATATCGCTCGTGTCCGGCGAGGTCTGTACGGCGTTAAGAGCCGTCGCGCCATAGCCGTACGAAAACTGACCGATGAAGGTGATGATCTTGGCCGATCTAGCAGAGATCTCTTCCCAGCCGAGCTTCTCGCGGCGAAGTACGTCTGGGTCTTTCGATCCGCTCTGTACTGGTAGCACGGGTTTGCTTTCCGTGTCGAAGCCAAGGATCTGTATAAGCACAATCAGCAGGTGGTGACCAGACAAATGAGTTCGCCGCACGAACCTCCATTCCGACGCTGGACGTGCGACCGGTCTCAATCTCGTGTTTGTGGCGGAACAGGACTACACGCGCAAGCCCACGGCCGTCATCGAGCCCACCTAAGGAGGTAATCAGGGCATTGCAGATTGGAACAAGATGGTACGTACCACGAGTAAGGACACCCAATGTTGTTGACTTGCCGGAGTCAACATTTCCTACGATGGCGCATCGAACCTCAGCAGTGGACGAAACGTCTGCAGGTGGTAGTCGACACAGTATACATGCGCGCGGCTGCTCTCCTCCGGTTTCGAAAAGTACAGAGACCTATGGGAGCGATGAGTACATCGCATGCGTGAGTACCATAAAGGCATACCTTCCCACCAATCTCTTCCACTGCGCGTCGTAATGACTCTTTCAGAGTCGCAAGCTCCGCCTCAGTCCGTTGAATACCATTCCACCCCTCCTCCCCAGTAAGCTCGGAGTTGGTAAAGAGCTTGTCTGCGGATGGATGAGCACCTATTCGTATCAAGAACTCCCCGCGTCGCCGTGTCAGGAGTATAGTTAGAAGATCTTTCGCTTTGGCAAAGCCTTCATCGGTGCCCGCCAGTAGTTGGATCTGCACAGGGAAGTATAAGGCGCCTTGCAACTCGATCAATACCTAGATGACGTACTTGTATCTCAAACTCAATGTCCAATCCGGCATCAGGGTCTCCTGTGAGCTCAGTTGGGGCTGCTGGTTCGGTAGCTGCATCATTGTCCTCGGCGTCCTTCACCGAGCCGGGTGCCACATGAGACGCATCCGCCCTCTTGTGCTTAATGGGAGAGCCAGATTTGGCGTCGCCCGATTTCTCTCTGGTATGACCCTTGCCATTGGCGGCAGTGTCAGCCTTCTTCGCCTTTAAGGGCAAACTCTTGGTGTCGGGCCTCTTCTCAGAGAGACCGCCGGCGCGCTGTAATGTATCCTTGACAGCGTCGGCTCGTAATCGACCTATCTCCTCCTGGAACTTCTCAAGCGCTGACATTACTTCGAAGAGAGATGCGCGTCAGGCAGTTGATGGGGTGGCACGCGAAAGTTCCGCAGAAGCAGGGAAGCGCGCGCTTGGTAAAGGAGATCGAGACGGCGTGGCCCGCGGAGTACTAGTCCAATCAAGTCGAGGGCGCGAGTGTCGCGGCTAGTAGCACTTCAAGTTATAGCGCCGAGTAAGGGTAGCGCAAGGCTACATATAAAGGCGGCGTGAGGGTACGAGTCAAGGTCTGTCAATGTTACAGAAGCTATACAGCTGTTGAAATGACTTCATCAATCGCGCCCACGTGGACGCGCGATCCCCGACCACAAAGCACGTCGCGCGCCACGCTCGACCATCATGGCAATTTGAACCGCCTTTGCTCTCGAACCATCACCACCTCGCTCTCGCGCCGATCATGAACGGCAACTTCAACACAGAAATGCGCCGGATATCTGGCTGTCGCCCTGGCCAGCTCGACAGTACCCAGCCACAGCGCGTCCTGCGCCACCCTCTGTCCGTGCTGTCTTTCGGCTCGTTCGACCCGCATACCGCTGCGCCACAAACCGACCCTGCGCCAGCAAATGCGGCGGAGAGACTGAAACAGAGCGGCGCTCGACGCGTCGTACTCGAAACCTTTCCTGACGGGAGCTCATCGTGGCGCTTTGTTCCCAATCCGCACTTTCAAGGAGTTCATGAAGAGGGGACCCATTGGCCGCGCGTGGTTGACCTATGCGGGTAAGTCTCACTTTATTACTATGTGTACACTTCTGACTTGAACGTGCGCAGCGAATTTGTTCTCACATCATTGGAACAGTGGGACATCTATAAACTAGATCCTGCATACAGATGCACGTTATACCCTGCATACCCCAAGATCATACGAGAGGAACCGCCTCCCGCTCACCCTGCCACGGCCTCTGCCTCATCACAAGAATCCATCGCCAACGCGTCGAAGCGCCCACGCCACTCTTCACCGGCGGAACAAGGACCTACGCCGAAGCGCTCACGTCGGACACCCGAAGTTATCCAGCTACTGAGCGACTCGGAAGGAGACGAGTCTGAGTCTGAGGTCACGGAGATGATCATCGACTCAAGCTCCCCGGGAAGGAGACTAGTACCTAAAGCGAAGGCGTCCAAAATCCCGTCACGGCGTACCAATCGCGACCACCCACGCAAAGCCGAATTCAAGACGCAACCACAGCCTGCCGCAGCGCCGTTCTCGCGCACATCCTCCATGTCTCAATCTGTACCATCTACGCCTAGCATGAGCTCACAAACACTACCTACATTCGGCAGTCCAAATAAACGCAAAGGTATAGTCCTCGTTTTTTGTGCATACTGCATAGTGGCTCATTGTGTGCAGGTACCTCGCCAACACAGGACTCGTCGCAAGACTCTTATAAACCTGCGAAACGTGCTCGTACGCGTTCTCCGGGAGCTGAGCGCGCCGAAAAGACCGCGCAGCATCAGGAGCGCATGAAGGCTCGCGAGCGGGAAGAGAAACGTGCACGGCGCTTACGAGCGGAAAAAAGCGAACGAGCTTGGATGGAAAGCATCCACGAAGACGCCCACGAGCACTTTGCCGCCCGCGCAAGTTCTGCTGTACCTGGTAAGTCAGATCCCTTAGATACCTGTGCATTAGCGCTGAACCATACTAGCTACGGAGGATGACGATGTACGAAGTCAGGCGACCGAAGAAGACACGGAGACCACAGCAAATGCGGGTGCATCTACGGCGAGCGCAGAGGACAAGCCTACTGATCCCGAAGAAGCCGCGCGGCTTGAAGCGCTCAGGGCGTCGCGTCGCAAGCTCGAAGAACTCGAGCGTGATCGCCCGCTATGGGAAGCAGCGGCTCGCGAGCGTAAGCGCCGTGAAGAAGAAGAGGAGACATCTCTACGCGCCAAAGCCGAGCAGCGCAAACGCGAAGCCGAAGAAGCCGAGCGTGCACGCGCGCAACAGGCTACACGAGAGCGTCTGGCGAGGGAACACGCCCAGAGGGCGGAGCGCGAGGCAAAGGAGGCGGCGCGGCGGGACCAGGAGTGGCGTTCGCGTATGCAGCGCGAGCGATGGGCACGGGGACCTTGGACCGCCGAACGCGCCCTTGAGCGCTACAGGCAGCTCGCGGACGCGTTTGATGCACGCAAGTTTGGTGCCGGGCAGGAGTTCTCGTTCGAAGATGTCCCTTGGCCGACCCTGCGCCAACCTCTGTCTTTCGGCCCAGAAGACATCGACTGGAGCGAGGTTGAGACGTTCTTCGGTGCCGCTCGTTCACGCATGCGGTGGGCAGACTACGCTTCGTTTGTCGAGAAGAGTCACAGGCGGTTCCACCCTGACCGTTGGCGCTCGCGCGGCGTGTTGACGTCGGTCGTGGACGAAACGGCGCGCAATGCCATGGAGGTCGCCGCGAATACTGTTGCGCAGGCGTTGACGCCGCTGTGGCGTGAGGCGAAGGGCCGTTGAAGCGTGTTCTTGGCTATGATGATGACTTTACGATACAATGGCTCCAGAATTTTGCATACGAGTCCGTTACACGCGCATCACACATTGTTAGGGATTGGAAATGCATTCTAATGTATACGAGTGTTCAAAGCAGTACGAGGCCGTAGCCGACACGAGTCCTATTCTAGTTGTCCGAGTCCAACGAAGTCAGTGTGAAGGGGGTATATTTTATGCGCTTTCTCCTTCCTTCTTTCCCTCCTCCTGGGCACCTCCCTCCATAGCCTTCTTCCCTGCTTCTACGCCTTTTGGTGCATCATCGGCGCTGGGAACCTAAACGGAGCGCGGCGACGTCAGGTTATGGCTCGGATATAGTAAGTAGTGGGACATCGAACTCACGTTGACAACAATCTGGGGTTGGCCGCCGCCACCGCTTGTCGGTGACTGGTTCTGCGCCTCGGCGTCGCCGCCGCCCTCCTTGGCAGCTTTCTCCTTCTCTTTCGTTTCATGCTCCTTCTGCTTGGTCTCATGCTTCTTCTGCTTCGACTCGTGCCTCATTCTATGTTCAGACGTAAGTATGCAGGGCTGAAGAACGTGGGGAGGGTGCGCACTTGAAGCAGTCCGCGAAGTGCGAGAAGAGGGTGATGATAGGGCCGGTGACGGCGGTGAAGGCCGCTACAATAGATGCAGTGATACTACGGGTGCGCTTAGCCACGCTCAGACGAGGGAAAGAGAGCGGGACGCACCCCATTGTCTGTGACGGCTAAGTCGGGGAGGGTGCGGGGAAGGCGTGTAGTTCGTGAGGGCGACGTGAAAGGGTCGGGAGAAACGGTGATTAACGGCGTGCCGAGGTTTATATACTTGATACGCGGTAGCCTCTCCACGGGTACGTGTTTTATCTCAAATCTGGAGCCTAGTGGCCCACGAGGCGAGGAGGCCGAGAGCCAAGGAAGCGAGAGAAGTTGATGGCGGCGGCGACGCATTGAGTGACGTCAAAAACAAACGAGACGAGGGCTGGAAAACTATAGATGCTCCATGTTCAAGATCATGATGCTTAGTTGTGTATCTCCGTTTGGCGCGAAGTGCGTCAACGATGAGCTGGAGGGTGGTTCTCGCGAGGATGCGGTCGCTGCTTCACGGAAAGCTAAACCGACAGGTCGCGTTGTCGCTCTAACCGAACGCGTAATACACGTGACCGTGTATCCGTTGTTCTCATCGTTAACGGGCTTGTCGGCCGGACAACAGCCACAGCCCGTACTGTCGGGGACTCTGCCGGGATTGGGCTAAATCCGCGACCTCTATTTTAGAGTACTAGTCGCCAGCGCGTAATTATACCAAGCGAGAGTTCGGTAGTGGCGGCAGGGTCACGAAGTCATCGGGTGGATAATAGGAGATATATATAGTCCGTGTGGGATTAAGACCCAATGCGAGGTATCCAAGGCAGCGTCTCTACAGCGAACAGGAAATATACAAAGCAAAGCGACAGAGAAGAATGAGAGTGAAGGTCCTGTACTTGGGTCAGAGATACATACATCGTGATGCAGCATGCAACATACCGTGATTGATGGTTTCGCTAGAACCCGCGGGATCCTGGCTTAGCAATGTGCATAGTCGGTGCCTCCTTGTGGGCGTCCGGCACTGGATGCGGGGGTGCGATGTACTTGTCGTACCTGCACTCATCTCGTAAGTCGAGGCACGTTGAATGCAATAGTATGCGACGTACAGCTCCTCGTACGCTACATCAGGCTTATGCACGTGCTTTGGCGGGGCAGGACGCAGCCAGTACGTGAGGAAGAACAGGAAGATGACGAAGAGTACCAGGGCAACACGCTTCCATGTCGCTGGTACTGGTGGGTTGAAGCGGGGATCGCGCGCAAGCTGGCGGTGCAAGCTGGCTACATCATCGGCCTCTTCGAGCTCCTCGAGCTCAAGCAAGTCCTCCGTCGAGTTCGCTGATGTGGGGAGAGGCTCGTAGTTACGCGGCATGGTGATGGGTAAAGTCAAGCTGACCTGTAAGCTTCGCGCGGTCGCGAACGCCGCCCGGTCCGCTGCTTTCCGTGGGATATATATCTGGTCAAAGCACTCACGGCTTTCGAGCCCCGCGACGGATGTCTCTGACCATCGAATACTTCCGATTGACGTACGAATCGCCCGCTATCACAATGATATCAACACGGATATATTGTATTGTCTGCGAGTTGTGCAGGGAAGAAGCCAAGCCACTGTACCGGAGCCGCGTCTCGTGTGCGAACAACGTGCTCGCAGAAGGCACCGAGCTGAGCGTGGAATGCGGCGCAGGGTGTGAGCGCTGAAGTCGACTGTTTGGTTCTCGACCACCATCTCCTGCCATCCTGCGTCTGTAGAGCTGATCTACAGGCTACACACTGTGGTCTCTGCTGAGTCACTACCCGTCCCGGCCCAAGGACGCTCGTGGTCGCCTGCGGGCGCAACTCATAGGCTTCATAGGCGCCACTACACCGCCTTGACCTACCTTGTCTCTTACCTGCATGTCCTCAGATACTGGGCGATCTACTGAAAGTCAACATGCTCCGTCTTCATTTCCGGCTGCTCTCGTAGAGAAGCATGAAGCTGGTACTGCCTCTGCCGCCATCGCGTCTACGACGACCGTGAACACCTTTCACTCGGCTCGAGAGACAATACCCGATGCGCCACCGTCCGAAGCGCCCGCCAACCATTCCTCCCCACCCCAAACTCCTGCATCTGGCGCATTACAGCATCCTGTGGGCAATAACTCCGTTCCCGCACTTCTACCTCCCGAGCCAGCTAGGCCTGCGAATCCTCAGAATGCTGGGGCGGATGCAGCCGCGGCAAATGCGGATAACGCGCCAACCCGCCCCTTATTTCCCCAGCAATCTTGGATTGGACGAGTGCTTCTGTTCTTTGGCTATAATGATCGAGCACGCAAACAGTTGATCGCGCTCATATGGACTACATTCATCGACATTGGAGAGGTATGCCGATCTACTCCCTCATACCATGACTTTGCGCTCATAAATGTTTGAAGCTCATCGCGATCCTCGTCTTGCTACCGCTCTCTGCGCATCTTATCAGCCCAACCGATGCGCCACGCAATGAGTGGGATGCTTGTTCGAAGCCCCTTGGCGCGTGGAACGCCATATGGACCGTACGAGCCACGGTCGATCTTGTTCTCGCCTACACAGCCTGGACGACGCAACGCAGGAAACGCATGAACCCTACTAGGTGCGTCATGTTGACGTTTGCCGAATGCGGATCCAACACTGATTCCCGTTATAGTGAGGAAGCTCCGGCAGTCAATGATAACCCCAATGCAGGTACAGACGCTGAGAACGCGGGTCCTGCGCCCGCTGGGGAAGGCAACCCTACCCAAGACGAACAGCCTGCGCAGAACGGCAACACAGGAGCGCGAAGAAGGGCGTACCCGGCATGGCAGGCGAGGTATGTAGTTGTGGCGCATAATGACCGCGCATCCACTGATGGTCTGCTAGGCTGTCCGCGCTTTCCACGATATTCACATTCGCTTGGTTCATACTTGCGCACATATTCGTCTACACGTCTGTGGACTCGTGCCGGCTATCCTCGCCACATATTTGGTGGCTGTCATTCGCTCTGCTATGCGTCATGTACATATCGGTGGTGGAGGTTCTACTGATCGCCCTGATTGTCTTCGTGGTCGGGCCGCTTATAGCGGTAAGTCACTCCCTTATTTTACGTGCGAACAGATTTAACGGTTCATACAGTTGGGTATCACGATCATCTTGATTCTCATGGGTCGTCATCCTCTACAGACCGCGCATCAAATCCGACCAGATATCAACAAGCTGCCGAAGGAGCTTGTAGATCTCATCCCCCTTGTCGTATTCATCCCTCCGCCTCCTGATGAGCCAGTCGCAAGTCCTATCACTATCCCTTCAGCTGCACTTTCGTACCCTCCAGCTCCCAAACCTCCACAGCCCAAGAAGAAGCCGCGCTTCCGTTTCTTGCATCGCAAGCCGAAGAAGACGTCTACGACGGAGAATGATGGAGATGCAAAGCATGTTGACGACTCCGACGATTCAAAGCCACGCGTTTGGGAGGATCGCTGGGAAAAGAGCGATTATCCCTTTGTTCGACTAGAGGAGAACCGTGCGACCTGCGCAGTGTGTATGGAAGACTTTGTGGAACCTCTGCGCAAAGGTGGTGCAACCAGTCCTGCGGTGGCATCTGGGCCTCCCAGTTCGCCTGTTGTCGAAGACCCAGCTACCATCCGTCTAGAAGATGCAGGCGAGGGCGCTCAGCCACTTCGACTCCTCGCGTGCGGGCATGTCTTCCATGTATGTGTCACGTACTCCCCAGCATTCGTTGACTGACCCTCGTAACAGCAATCATGCCTGGACCCGTGGCTCACTGGCGTATCTGGACGTTGCCCGACTTGTCAGCGGCCCGTTGAGTTCACACCCGAACAACTCGAGCACGTCAATAAAGGGAGTGGTCGACGACGACGACGCCGCGAGACCCTACCACCATAGATTGTCTCCTTGTGAGCCGACTGCATACCATTGCCTTCCGCATCTCTCTTCTCTCGACCTCGCTTCTCAGGATTCCCGACTCATCTGTATCATCCCAACTCTCCTTCCCGCCTTTGTCAAATCTGCGCCGCAAGTGTATATCACCCCGCAATTCAACTGCTGTCTGTCCATGCTGTCCTCGTACCGTAGTTCCAATATATTGAATGCTGATATCTTCTCGTGGGAACATGTCGGCGCCGAGCGATGACGAGGCCTTTCAAGTTTTAGTCCCTTCCATTCTCTGAAGCGTGGTTGTTTGCGTCGTGTCCGCACCGCCTCGCGCGATCTGGACAAACATGCCAATCGATGTGGAATAGCTCATGTCACGCTTCTAGCGATGAGAGAGAGGTGCGTATCAGATTGGCAAACACGAGGCTACAGGCAGGCAAGGCAAAACCACCCTCGTGTGTGCGAGGCGGTATAAGTACACTGATACTCAGGCACAGACAGGAACGAGATCTCCAGCTAACATCAACAGCAGGTCCAAGCGGTATGTATGTACGAAGGCAGATGTCCGATACGAAACACGAGAAGCCGAGAATTCGAGGCGCGAAGACAGCAGTCACAATGGGGTGCCCTCCGCCGCTGCGAGTCGAGTCGCGAAAATCGACGCCGGATCGATGCGCCCGTGAGCGTCTGATCTGTGGTTCCGAGCGACGTGGCAGCGATGGTGGGCGGTTATAAGGTTTTCATGTCGAGAACTTGGAGGCAATGTCGCCCCCCGCAAGCAGGAGGCAGACACGAGGTAAGTCGTAGATGTCCGATAACGAGTTGCCGGTCGACGGTGTACGCGCCCGTCTCAATCGTCCCCTGTTTGGAAAACGACCGGACGGTGAGGTGGAGGGGAACCCATCCCCCCAACTCCCTCTGCGCGATTTCAAATAGATGGGAAGGTTGAGCCCTGCGTGGGCCCAACCGACCGCGAGGACTCGAGTTCCCCGATGTTGTTGAGCGACCGCGTCGCCCCGAGACGTCGGGGGCGCGGCGCTAGGCGTGGTGGTGACGGTGGTGCCGAGCACGACCTCTTCGGCGAGGGTGCATCCACTTCCTCGAAGGTGTCCCGCTGGCGCTTGGCCAGAACGGGCTTCGGCTCATCGGGCACGATGATCGCGATCTTGGGCGCGAGCTTCGGTGATGATGGCGGAGTTGCAATGCTCGACTCGTCGCTGGAGGAGGAGCCGTCGTCGAACTCGTCGAAGCTGAGTGAGAGAGTGACGGGGGAAAGCGGTGGCGTGGGAGGGACGACGACAACGGGCTGTGTGTGAACGTGAACGGTGGGAGCCGTGTGGTTCGCGTAGTTGGCCGGATTTGCACTGAACAGGACGGATTCGCCGGTGATCACCTCGTCCCAAACCTGCAGCATATGGCCGGCTTGCTCCACGTCGCGCACGAGGGTAGCCGGGGACGGAGGCGGAGTGAAAACCGAAGGGTAGAACTGGTAGTCGCCCGTGACGACGAGCGGGATCGCATCGAGATAGACGGGCGCTGAAGGACAGGATATAAGTGAGTTCGGGTCATGCAAAGCGAATGTGCGCCACTTACCATCGTCTTCGAAGGTTTCAAACGGAAGGAAACCCATACGCGGCGCTCCCGGCATGTCAAACAAGGGTGAGAGGAGCTGTGGCGAGCCAGAGCGCGACATTGTAGAGCGGCAGTGGATGGGATGTGCAAAGATGGAAGGGCACAGGTCGTATATGGATGGGATGCGATGCTTAGGACTACCCAATCCATGCACTGTTTTATAAGGCGCCTGAGCCACGTTGCATAGGCCCGGTATAGGCAATGACCTCGCCTCGTGGCTACTGGCCCGAGCATCCTCTTCCTTTCTTTCATCAGCTTCTTCCCGGCTTCGGCCGGTTGCAACAGAATGGAAGGCCGTGTATGGGAACTTTGAATCCCGAAGTTGGGCTCGGGCAGGTCGGTGCGCCCGATGGGCCGGGCCACCTTGTGCCTGTCCCCTTTGTCCAGACACGCGCTGAACGCGTTCAAGGTCATGCTACGGCTTGATACGAGGGCCGGTCGAGGTAGCCTACGAGGTTTCGCTTGGTGGACCTCCAAGAGTCCAAGTTCACCGCGACGGGCGCCCCACGACCCTCAAGTACTCGTGAAGTACCGATATAGAACTCACGTGATCGTGAACTGGTGAAGATACGCATGTTCGAGAAAGTGCCAAAAGACGCTTGGGGTGGCTGTTGAGGCGTATCGAAGGCTGTGCATACGTATCGTAGAACGACGCGCCAGCTCTCGGCACACCGGGGGACGACGCTGTCGGAACAGCAGGAGGAAGGTCAATGCACAAGCCGTCAACGCGCGTCGGGCGTTTAGATCGCAACGTGTTCAAGAAGCACTCAGAGCCTTAGCGCCCGGACCCGCCACTTGCTTGCTTGAAAGTCCGATAGCAAGTGATGATCTGGTGGCACGAGGAAAGTATTCACGGTTCGGCAGGGTACCAAGGCACTGCTTGATCGACAGAAGGCAGGCGTGCAGGTTGACAATGCTGGCCACTTGGTAAAGATCTCCTTGTTCACTTCGCGCCACTACTATACAGACTTCATGTCGCAGTCAACTGCGTTGCACATAGCTCACGCCTTCAAACCAGCTGCAGGGACGCCGTCCTTCACCTCTTGCCATGCCGGCCGCGAGGTGATGTCCTTCCACCAGCGAGCGACGTTCGGCTTGCCGTTGGCGCCGGTCTCGAGAGTCGTAAAGCCAAGCTTCGGAAGTAACGACCCGTAAGACAGATGGTAGAGGTCAGCGAGAGTGATCTCCTGTACTGACATCAGCTAAGCTATAGACGCGATGGATGGTCAACCACGTACATCGCCAGCCAGATACTTTTGCTTGCTCAGGAGCTTCTCGTAGCCCTCGAGCTTGGCCTCGAGAGTCGCGAGCAGGGCATCGGCAAGTTCCGGGCTGCCGCCCTGGCCCTTCATCCTATGAACGCGGGGTCAGTCAAATTCCGAGCGCGCGCCTATAATGCCAGATAGACGCACGGCTTGAAGATCTTCTCCGCAGCGGCGCCAGAAGCGTAGACATCGAAGTTGGACTGCTCAATGCTGGAAGCCTGCTCGTAGAGAGCGTATTTGGCGAGATCGGACGTAGTCGGCGCGAGCTTGGGGCCCTTGTCGGGGAACTTGGCCTCGATGTAGCGGGCGATCGCGCGCGATTCGAACACAACGAGTCCGTCGTCGTCCTATCAAGGGAAGACATTGTGAGATATTAGTTCAGTATGAAGCCGCTGCATGCTCACGATGTAGGGTACTTGGCCAAAAGGCTGCTTCTCGAGGTACGAGCTTGCCTTGTGCTCACCCTTGGAGAAGTCGATGGGGAAGAAGTCGTACGGGATCTTCTTCTCGTGCAGCACAACCTACAGCGCGTGAGCCAAGAGCAGATAACCGTTTGCGATATGGAAGACGTACTGCGACGCGACGCGTGCACGTAGAGTGCGGGTTGCCGTAGAGCTTGAGGACCATGATGGGCGGGCGATGGAGGGGAAAGTCGAGCGGGGCGGACTGGAGAAGAAGGCTACGACGGTGCCCTAAATAGTTGGCCCGGTGATCCCTTTATCTAGCATCTTCCAGCGGTTGCCGCATGGCCTGCCGTTGTCGCCGTTACCGTGGTAGAGATCCGCCACGCTGGGAGAAGACAAGTCAGCGCGGACGTCGCATCGTGAAGACTGTGACACATTTGGTAAGCACGCGCTCAGCAAGGTTTACGAGAACAGCGTTATGTATGACGTCCTACTACGACTATTGGATTCGGCTTTCGCCTGACAGGCTCTATATACTTATACTACTACCTTATCATAAGCAAGATTAGCGAGAAGTGCGTATCATTATAGGGTGGCTAAGCGATAGATTCACTGGACCGGAGGCCGACGAATACCACACATTTGAAGGCCGTCCCACGCTGAAATCCAAACGTCTCAAGCGCTCAAGGTGCAGGTGGGCGATATGATTAGGCGGGCGTTTGCTCTGGGATGGTGACGATGCAATCGGGGAAGTTCCGACGGGGATAGCGGGAATTATAGAAAGTGTCGGTGTGCGTCCTGGGACTGGTGATACCGTGCCTACACGGAATTCAGACAGAGACACGTGTCATGAGAAAGGGTAGACGCACGCAGTGGAGAGGTGCTCGCAGATCTCACTCCATGTAGGCCATCCGGTCTCCAATGACCGAGCTTTCTCAAGATGCCATGGGCAGTGAATGCACCCCCACGCAGGATCTTCATGGTCTGCGCCATCGCTTGAGTGAAATTGTTGGCTCAATTCATCGGTCAGGAGTTGGACAGTCGGCAGGGTGCTGTAGCGAGTGAAACAGTGATCGTTGACGCAATGTTGAACCTAGAAGGAAACGTGAGCTTCGGGAGTTGTAGTCGTGTCCAGTGAGATTACCAGTGCGCGCCAGGTATAGGTCCAATGGCCAGGAAGATCATTGGGATCATCTGTAGAGACAGTACAAGAACTGCAGAGAAAAAGGAGATCTTGCGCGTCCAGATCCTTCGCGGTCACAACGGATGGTCCATTCGATCCAAAGAACTGGTAGAGTAGCTTTTCGACAACTCCAGATCCAACATCCGAAAAGGCAATAGATGCAGAACTCGACGCGCAGGCAGCACCGACCGCCTCCCAGCCACAGTGAATCACCTCCTTCGATATGTAGTTCTCGTCGTCATCGAAAGAAAACTCCGTGAAGGAGAAGGCCGACGTGGCTAGCCGTAGGTCGTCCAAAACAGCATGAGTGCGCTCCGTATAGCAACTTCGTGTCATGATGTGAAAGAGCTCTTCTTTAGTCTGGACCACCGTCGCCTGAATAGAAGGGATAAGTTCAGGAAAGACGTCGGCGAGCTCTCGCGCAAGCGCATCTGATATCGGTCGGTCCTCGAGGATGATGGCGTGAATCAGCGGATGTTGAATAAGCAAATGAAGACTGGGCAGGAGTGGAACGGTGTCGTGGCGCTGAGGGAGTGATTTGGCATATTCGAGGTATGCAGGGAGGAGTAGCGAGCCGCGCTTTTCCATGCGAGCGGTAGCTTCAGCCTCAAGTCGATCAATTCTGGCTTCCTGGAGAAGAGGGAGGAGTATTGGTCCGAGCCGCTTCCAAACTGAATGTTCACGCGTCGGTCGTCAATGGTCATGATCACACTGTATGTCATGATGCAAGGTGGAACTGTACCTTGGTCACTGACACGACGTTCGGCTTGAAATTCAGGGTGGTGATTGATGGACTCGACATCAGCAGCAGTAAACCCAAGAGATATCACTCTCGCTATGATGCTATGAAGGCACTGTCAGTAACAATCCCCCCGGCGGATCATAAGAACTCAGCGTACTCTTCCTGACGTTGAGCGCGAAGCGATGCTACGGTTGCAGATCTAGCAGCCGCACAGTCATCGTACCACGCCTTGTAAGTCGGCAACATCTGCAGTTCCGGGTCAGTGAGAGACTTATTTAGACGATGTAGTACGCACAAGCATCCTCTGCTGTATGTTGGCACGTAACGGCTCCATGAATGCGATGACCGTGCGATCCACGTCCTCTTGCGAGAGATGATGAGGGATATTGAGCTTCAGCAAAGCGTCATGAATGTCATCGCAGTCGGCAGCCCACCACCAGACCTCGTCTTCGTGAAACTTGTTGGCTTTAGGATGCCCTGTCCGATAATTTAGAAAAAGGTCCAGATCGACACCAATAGCGATCACCGTTGGTCCACGGTATGCAGTCCAATAAGCCAAGCGGATAATCCGGCACCGTCTCCAGGATAGTATACTCGGACACGAGCCTGGTGCAAACTTTGTCAACGGAAGAGTTGCTCGTCTAATGCACTTGGTGTACTGACGACTCTTCGAGGCATTTGTTACAGACTCTACGCATCAGCGCAAAGTCTATTCTCCGCACATTCTTCGTGAGACAACTCTGTCAACGATGCAATTAGATCACAATAGGAAGCAACACAGAGAGCGCTCACATGGCAATACGCGCCACCGAAGAGCAGGTTGGCCCAGACGGGCTCTGAGATATCGTCGGGACATGCAGGAGCATCCGGCACGAAGTCAAACGATCCTCGCCAGAGGCAACGGGCTTGTCGGGTAAGGAGCACATGGCGAAACCCTTTTGCGACACGAGTGAGGGAGACGAGATCCGCGGGCGGTAGATGGCCAAATATCTGTTCAACATCAGCAAAGCCCCTGATACATTGTTATAAGCGCTGCGAACCTCATGTAATACGTCTAAGGGCATCGTCGGAAGCGCGTCCAGACGCTGCTTTCTTCTACGCTTTCGACGGGCAGGAAGTCCGTCATCGTTCGAGTACCGAGCGCGCTTTCCCATACTAAATTGAGACTCTATGGCAGCGATTAGCGTAGCCATATATATCCGAGTCTTGGCCGATGGGGATCATCCGGGTCACTATACCGCCCGCCAGCAGGCCGAACCACTGGGCCACTGGAGGAGTAGAAGGAGCGCTGAGAACACTCACCAACCGGATCGGATATGTAACATACGACTATGTGGAGTTCTTGAGTGGAGAAAGTTGGAAGGACCGATCGAAGGGAGACGCGGGATGCGAGGAGGATTGGGCGCCGCCGCGACGGGACGTCGCGAGAGCGCGTTCCGCAAAACCAGCATAGCGAAACACGATCACCTGATAGTTCTCACGACCACCGGTTCCGGACCGAGGGGTTACTATGAAGTTCACCTTCTTGATTTCTACCACATTGACCAACCTACGAGGCACCCAGCTAGCGTACGCGTCGGACCTCAAATGCAAGCAAGCCGGCGACTGAGTCAACGGTCGCGCATGGCGGTCATCTGGCCCACACCAGTGCTGCCCAGCTCCGTTCTTTGTCCGGCTATGTCAGCGCGCTTACCCGCCCGATGTTGGCCCGATGCGACAAGATTCAGAACGGACTACGAATCCCTCAGGCGCACGCTCGTCCTTCGGCTCATAGGTCACTATAGCGCATCCGAGTCTTTGCGGGCTGAGTGCATGCTGCGTACGGACTGTATGCCGAACTGGCCATTCGTATGTCGGAGTAGGAATTCGACTTCGCCGATCTCGTCGATGTTCAGCGTGGCATGACGTCGTGCAGCCGTCTTACCGCGCGAGGTGCGGCCTTCTACGAGAGCCCGCGGCAGTGGCGGACGCGTCAGCAATACGCTACTACATGATTCCATCTATGCAACTATGCGTGGGCGGCAACCGCAAATCGGGCTGATCCCGACTTGCCCGACGGTCCCACTTGACGGCTACATAATCGATTTGACTTACTCGGAGTACGTGCGGACGGCAAGTTTAATGGAGCGGCCAGTGCTGATGGAGCCCCTTACAGGTCGGATGGCGCACTAGCGGCTACATGACATATATAAAGGCGATCTTGGCTGCGTCTAGAGGCTCGTTACTGCCTACCCCACTGACCTGGTCTCCCTGCGGTTGTCTCACGTCGCTCGGTCATCTGTCTTGGACCGCTCATATCTCTGGTCTTGGACCGGCTGCCACTTCTGGAATACTCGACGCGATATAAGGATCTATTCCCAGTTGCGCTACATTCCGACCCGCTCGACATGGCCCACACGCAACAGCCTGACGAATCTCTTCAAACTCTGCCGCCTCGTCAACAACCCGATCCTGTGCAGGATGCCCAGAGCCAAGCGCCATGGTTTTCTGAAAACTACTTCACGACGCGCCATCCCGCAACACGCGCACTGCGTACGGCCTATATCAAGATCATCGGCATCATGAGTGCATTCGTGATCGTGTTCATGATGGGAGCCTTGTCAATTTACTGGGGCGCGCTGTATGTGACGCCGCAGCAGGCTCATAATCTGGCCGTTTGGATAGTCGTAGGTGCTCGCTACCACATTGCACGCTTCACTCTAACATGGTCTATAGGATAGCGATGGCGGAACCATTGGGCAGACCGTCACGCAGGCCTACCTGAACGCCACCGGCCCCAAGACCGTTCTGCACTACGAGGTCGCCCAGCCGCCTTTCACCGACGCTGCGTCACTGGAGGGCTATCTGGTGGACGAGAGGGCTTGGTTGATTATACACAGTGCGTGTGCGCTTTCGCAAATGGAAGCCGGTTTCTAATCTATACTAGTCAACGAAGGCGCGTCCGCAAACCTGTCCGCGGCGGCTCAAGCCGCCGATGGGTCCTACAATGGCACTAGAGCGGTCACTATGTACGGCAATGAGGCGCGGCAAGAGAACGCTTACCGTTCGACTGTTAAGCCACAAGCTCAGCAGGTCTTCCAGAAAGCTGCTGCGATGTTCGTCTCGAGATACGCCTCGCAGTTAGCGGATCAGGGCGTAAATGTCACGGCGCTTGCAGAGAACGCCCCCTCGGTGCTCACCCTCCCGCTATCGTTCGTCGAGGCCAACGTACGCCCGTTCGATGTACCAGTCGCAACCGCGGTGGACTTCGTCGGGCTGATCTATCTCCTCGTTCTGAGTTTCGTTATCTCAGTGCGTATGCGACCTGAGAACTCGAGGCCATGTACTGACGCTCCCACTTCAGATGATCCACTGGGGAGCACGCGTCGATGCCACCCATCTTGAGGACCACCTCTCATTCGGTTCCCTCGTCGCTGCCCGCATCGTCAATCCCGTCATCATCTACTTCTTCCTCTCGGTCTTCTACGCGCTCATCTCGTACGCATTCCAAACTCCTTTCGGCCGCTTCTACGGGAACTCCGGGTTCGTGATCTACTGGATGATGTGTTGGATGGGCATGTCGGCGTTGGGGCTTGCCACGGAGTCCATCATCACGATCCTCACACCTCGCTTCATTTCCTTTTTCCTCCTCTTGTGGATCATCGCCAACGTATCTGTGGCGTTCTTCCCCATTGAGCTACTTCCCGGCTTCTATCGCTACGGATACGCCATGCCGTTTTACAACGTCTCGCGCACCGTTCGGACCATCATCTTCAACACGCGAAACCAAAGTGAGCCTTCGCGCCTACCAAAGCTGAGACTCGCACTAACTTTAGCCTTCAGTCGGATTGAACTTCGGCGTCCAATTCGCATGGATCGCTGTATCAATTGTTGGCATTGTTTCGTTCCAGTGGATCCGTTATCGCGGCGCTAGGAAGGCATGGCGTGACTCTCAATCCCGCGAGAAGGATGCGGTCTAAGATCTAAGGCCTCAGGACCAGCTCCCTTCCGTTTGTCTTTTACCTTGCGTCGCGCCGCTTCCCGCAATAGCTTATCTGTCCGGCAAGGCCTTATAATGTGATACCCCCTTGTACAATACAGCAAGTCGGGATGTTGTACTTATACTATGCCAATTAGAGCTCTTAGTATTCGACTCGACTCAGCCCTCCACCGGATCTTCATCTCGGTGCGGAGACTGCATAGACTGGATGCGGCTTATGCGACCCCCCGCGAAATGAAATTCGCTCACGACGCCAGTCCCGAGATGCGCGGACTCGGAGCGGGAAATGGTTCGCGTCTAAGTACAAGTAAGCGCTCTAAACTCTTATTGAATGTCACGATCAGATGCCTTACGACCCGCCCGTGCTCTGCAACGGCGTCCGTCAGCATTTGTACAGGCTGAAAAGGATTCGTATGCTATATTTCGTGCTCGTGGTGATGAACGCGCACAAAGCCTTGAAGTTGAAGTGAACAGCGGCCGTGGGCGGCAAATCGGCACCTGCCGTTGATGCCAGCAGAAAGCAGCTTGATGCGCTGTTCCCGGACCCAAACGTCGATGTCCGGCTGTCAGACTTGGCGGAGACTCTTGATCATATGGCACACATACAATCCTTTTCTTGCCCCGAATACTATGCTCGCAGTCGCTACTGAAACATCTGGGGCTGATCCAATGACTGCGTCTCCTTGACCTGCTCGGAGCCTCGGAGGCATCGGCTGACACAGCTGTACCCGTTGTTACTGATGTCCGAGTGATGTATTGTGTGTGGGAGTGCATGTTTGCACTGGTTGGTGTCAGAATAGCCTTATAGACCAGCTTGTAGGCTTCATTCGGACCTCTTCATTCTCCGAGCTTGATAACGACCTCACGACCCCTTACGAATCCCCAACTCTCATTTACGCTCCCGCGCCCTCATATATACGCGTCTGCCGGACAGAACTACATCTGGTACTACCCAACCCAACATGGAGACCAACAGGCCGACCGCCCCCTCACTGCCCATGCTTAGCATGTCGAATCTCCACTCCCCGGATGAGCCGCCACCCTTCACCGCTGCTCAAACGAACGAATCGACGACCGCGATCATGCCCGCGCCTCGCCCTCACTCCATGGCAATTTCATCGCATACGCTCATACCCGAAGATATGAACTCGATGAGCATGGATATGCCGACGAATGGGATGGAGGATGCGCCGTTCTTCTCGGAGAACTACTTCACGACGCAGAACCCCGCTACACGCGGACTACGAATGACGTACATCAAAATACTGGGTATCCTGAGCGCGGTCCTACTCGTATACATGATGGGTGTTCTGTCGATCTACTGGGGTGCTCTCTATTCGTCGCCTCAACAGGCGCACAAGCTCGACGCGTGGATCATCGTGTGTGCTATTCCCTTCTCCCCCAGAGTTGCCGCTAACTCTTGCGATAGGATAGTGACGGCGGCATAGTGGGCCAAGCTATCACACAGGCGTTCTTGAACTTCACTGGCCCAAGTACATCCTTGAACTATGTGGTCGCGCAACCGGCTCGCACGGACCCGGCCGCTCTGGAGGACTACCTAGTGAACCAAGAACGAGCATGGCTGATCATCCAGAGTACGCCACCATACGTATTCTCCACCAATCAATACTGATCCCTATTCAGTCAACGCCGGCGCATCAGCAAATCTGACCGCTGCCGCCCAATCAGCCGATGCTACATACAACGGGTCACTCGCAGTCACACTGTATGGAGATGAAGCCCGAAACGAGGATGCATACGATACGGTGATCCTCCCGCAGGCGCAAGGAATCTTACAACAGACCGTCGAGCAGTTCGCAGCACAATACGTCGCTCAGCTGCCCGGGCAGGGCGTCAATGTAACGGCGCTAGCTGCACAGGCGCCGTCAATACTCACACTGCCCATCGGTTTCACCGAGCGTAATCTACGCCCATTCGATGTTCCCGTCGCTACCGCCGTGGAGTTCGTCGGATTGATCTACTTGTTGGTCATCAGCTTCATTCTCTCGGTACGCATGACACTACTCCTGTCCTGGAAGCGCTGCTGACATCTAGGTTTGCATCTAGTTGATCCACTGGGGAGCGCGTGTTGAGGCTACGCACCTCGAGGACCACCTCTCGTTCACGTCGCTCATCGCGGCGCGCATCGTCAACCCCTTTATCATCTACTTCTTCATGACGCTCTTCTACGCCCTCATCTCTCGCGGATTCCAGGCGCCCTTCAGCCGCTTCTACGGTCCTGCTGGTTTCCTCATCTACTGGATGATGTGCTGGATGGGCATGTCCGCGCTTGGGTTCGCGACGGAGTCCGTCATCACGCTCACCACGCCGCGACTCATCCCCTTCTTCTTGTTGATCTGGATTATCAGCAACGTATCCACCGCGCTATTGCCCATCGATCTCCTGCCGGGCTTCTATCGGTATGGCTACGCCATGCCATTCTACAACGTCTCGCGCACAGTCCGCGCTCTTATCTTTGGCACTCGCAACCAAAGTACGTTTTTCTGCGCGTCTACTGCCGGAAGAAGTGTCTGACATTGAGTTACAGTTGGCTTGAACTTCGGTGTACAGTTTGCTTGGATCGGTGTTTCTATCATTGGCATCGTGATCTTCCAGTGGAGACGCTTCACTGCCGCCAAGGCGGCAAGAGATAAGATGCTTGCTATGGGAAAGGTCGTATAACTATAGTGTGGATCTCTTTTTCGCCTTCGTAGCACCCCACCCGGAAACCGATAACCCATTGCCTCATACACACACCATCCCTCGCATTATCCATAGACGTCATGGATTGATACTGTACTTATTTCATATACTTATTTGGTTTCCGGTGCACCATGCATATTTCATTTGATTTTATTGCTTTTTGGCCGCAGGACCACGCCGGCACATCGTCCTGGCGTACCCTCCCGAGGGCGAATGAGTTGGAAAGAGTGATGTATGGCGGTCCCAGTGATAAGGAGCGCAATAGACGCGAATATGTATAAGATATGTCAACCCTATTCGGACCAGACAGTTGGAAACCTTTACTGCCCGCCCCGCGCAAACCACGCCTTCTGTTTCTCACACGTCGCGTTTTCGCACCCGGGACACCGCAAGCCCAGCTGTATACTCGTAGGTCCGATCTTGCCTGAACCATAGTCACGCAAGTGCGCTGCGGCGAGATCCGCAAGTGCACGAATGAATACGGGCGACCCGTTGAGCGACTCCGCTCGCTCGACTTTCAGCCCAAGCTATCACGGGTTTAGAGTTGTCAGGGCGGGAACGATAGGGGGAGAATGTGAGAACGAACCTCACGCCCCTCCCGCACGTATTCGTGGTCAAGCTCGAACAGCGTCTCAATGTGATCACTCGTGAAAGCGATGGGCACAATCACCACCTGCTTCTTGCCCAACCTAGCGAGGCCCTTGATAGCGTCGTTCGTCTGCGGTCCCATCCACGCACGCGGGCCAACTTGACTTTGCCACACGAGCCGGTAGGGATTTGACTGACCCAGGCGATCCATCACCGCGCTCACGGTGGCCGCGACTTCCGACGTGTACGGGTCCCCACGGTTGACGGTGGTCATGGGTAGGCTGTGTGCGGAGAATAATAGGACCGTGTCACGACGGTCCTCCTCTGGGAACTTCTGTAGTGCGCGCTCGATGTTCTGCGCAACAGCCTCCACGAAACCCGGATGTGTCCCCCAGCGGTCGATAACGCTCCATTCGATGCCGCCCAGTGGTCCACCGTTCACGCCCTTGCGGTATATCTCGTTCAGACTGCTGCCAGTAGTCGAGCAGCTGTACTGCGGATACTGCGTGAACGCCACAGCCCGCTTGACGCCGTCAGCACGCATGCGGGCGGCTGTCTCGTCCGTTAGGGGGCGGGCATAGCGGAAGGCGACATAGGGTTTGTGCGGTGCTGTTTCGGGATGTAGTTCATCGAGCAGTTTGGCCATTTCAGCGCCTTGTAGCTCCGTCCATTTCAGTATGGGGCTACCGCCGCCTATGGCTGCATATTGCTCCTCGATTTGTGGCGAACGGCGCTTGGCGATGATAGGCGCCGACCAGCGTTGCAACGGCAGGGGGATCAGGTCGCCGTCGAGGAAGAGGTTCGTCAAAAAGTCCTTGGTTTCTGCAACCTGGCGTAGGTTAGATTAGACATGCTAAGGGTATCATACCAAGAGACGTACTGTTGACGGTCCACCCATGTTGAGCATGACGATGGCTACGTGTACGCGTGAGCTGGCTTCATAGCAAGGCACAACGGTTCATTACCTGTAGGGCTAGCAAGTGAATCTTAGATGCATGTTTCGCATAACATATAGCCGAAACCCGAGACCGACCTTTTGCTGCTGCTAGGCGTATTGTGCAGCGAAGCGTACGAACGCGCCAGCGCACGCGCAGCCGGGTTCGCTTTCCTCAACAGCGACGACGACATGTATGGCCCGTGGTGGTAAAGGGAAGACTTTGTCTGTGAACGCAGCGCACACGCTCGAGCTCGGCTCGGCACACGCTCTCGAGGTCCGGTCCAGTGAGACTTCGCCGTTCGGTCATGACGTCTGACAACTTGACGCGTCGGATCGACGCGCTCTTTTCCAAACGCGGTCACGTTCCTCGCGTGGTATCTTAGGGCGGCCTCATGCTTGCGGCTCGAGAATAGTATAACCTGAAGATGAAATTAAGGTATAGGATACAAATAGCGCCCCTCGTGCACGTCTAGAACAAGCTATCTAGCGTGAAGACCGCATAACTCGTGGCAAACTCCGTTCAACGAGGCCCACCTCCTAATCCGCTCCACTGTACGGAAGTCTAGAACAACGATCATTCTCTTACAGCAGCTGCGCAGGTAGGTAAAGATACAGGAGCCTATAGGAGTCGCGAACGCGGCGACGGGGAGACATGGGAAGGCAGCGGCCGTGGCCGATACAGGGAGTTCCACTTCGCCCCACACCCTGAGTCGGAAGCGTTGAAACGGGTCATCCTTCATAAATCCTCGTCTGCCTCCGACTACCACCACCACACCTCCCCGTTATCGCCGTCGTACACCATGCCGTCCATGTTAGCTCTACAGCCTCAGGTCAACCGCCGAAGGACCATCTCGCATGAGCATAGTTCTGCGGGCCGGCCGGCTCAACAGCAGCAAAAATCACCGGTGCGTGTCATAGTTGTGGCGCTTTGAGTGCGAAGGACTGACGCGATCTAGTCCTCCTGGGCAAAAGTAGTCCCTCAGGCTCGCAAGTTATCCCTCCGCTTAGTATGTCTTCTTCTCTGCCGTCGATCCTACCGCCGTCCTTATACTCGACTAGCGTCGGCATCGCCCATCAACCGCGGGATCATCGTCGCAACGCGCAGGCATGGAGCAACCGAACTCCATGGCCACTGCTGACGAGATTATCAACATTCTATACCATCCCCCTGCTGCGAATAGCGCAAGCGCCGACCTGCGTCATCGCGGAGAACTCTCGCGTCCGCCACCTCCGACAGATCAAGAACAGTCGCAACGTTCCCGCGCACGTCCCTCCGCCATGGACCCAGCCTCGCGACGACTCGGTGATTGGGACGAGTTGCTGCGAATTGCCCAAGAGCGCACGCCGAATGCACCGCCCCAGCGCGAGTCTGCACATCGCGCTCAGGCGAATGTAGTGGTTCCGTCGAACGTCGTGTTGGCGGATGTACCAGGGACCGCTACCACTCAACCGCGCCGTCGTCGGCACAGGCATCGTGGCGTCAACCGTGACCCGCGTGCAAGTGCTGGTGTTGACGCTCCTCCAGCGTACGCCTTGATGGATAAGCCGCCGTCGTATCGGCACACTGCGGAGGAGGTCGTCCCATGGATGCAGCGTGGTGAAAGCTTGACCGGTGCGCTTGCGCTAGAGGGTCAGCGTAACGCCCGCACGACGTGAACGGGGAGGTCAGTGCTGATATAGTTGGACTGATATCATTGGACTAGGATTGGGACTGGATACCATGTAATTCTCACGGTTATTCATAGACACTGATGAGCACCGGACATTGGCTCTTGTATCATACCTTCGCCACTATCATAGACCTTCTGCTTCTGTTGCACTCATTCGTGACAATCTAATAGACTTTCCGCTTGTTACTTGAGAGGTTTGGTGGAGACCAGAAGGATTATTCACGCGTTCACGCTCGGTTGAAGTGAAAGTGAAAGATGAATATGAAGTCAATGTCTGCGTGGTAATCATGAGTTCTTATCGGTTGTGAGCGAGCTGTAAAGCTCACCTCTACTACTGTGTATCTTCAGTGGTGCCCGTCACCGTGGTGCTCATCGTGGCCATGGTCGTGGAAGCCGTGCTCGCCCTGTAGATTATTGAGCTCGAAGTAGAGTTAAACCTCATGAAATTGGGCATACGAGAAGCTTGGGATAGTCTTGCCTGAAATGATAATTTCACGTTGAGTATGCGATACAACATGAACTCATATACGAACGCACCTGGCGCGGTAGAATATCCAGAACCACATGGTTGCGCCGAGGGCCTTACCCAAGAACTTGTGCTTGAAGCCGGGAAGATGCGGGTGGAAGCCGTAGCCTACACTCATCATTTAGCATATTCCAGATTGAAGGTCCACAATGAGGTAGAAAGACGCACCAGCGGAGTGTCCGTGCCCGGCCATGATGAGCGTTGAGTTGAAGCGGCAGTGGCTTGAACGCGGCGGCGACATCCGGCACGCGGGGACTCGGAACTACGGGCCGAACTATCCAAAATCTTGACCGCGTTCTCGCTTGCTCTGCTTCCGCCACTCAACTCGAACGCGTCCAGCGCGGCGTGTGTGCGATGGACGAGCTACCAGAAATCATATACGAGGCTGGCGAGTTCTCCTTCGTCCACCTATTCAAGGGTATGTTTGCGTTCCTTGCACCATGGTCGCATGCCAGACGAGCTGAACGCGTCTTGCAGAGAAATCCTTCCAGGAGACTGTGACGGTTGTGCGCAAGAAATTAGGACTTGCGCCCAGCGCACCACTACGGCTTGCGCAAGTCCGTGGCGAGAACCGATACCCGCTCGCAGATGGTACGCGTGATTATGCCAACCTATGTCCCAAACCCGCTCAAGCTCTGTGCAGCCGATGACTGGGCAGCATTTAGCACATACGTCCGTAGGCGCAATAAAGGCACTATTGATGTCACGGTGCGGAACCGCGACGTGACGGCTTCATGGACAGATGGTTTTCCTAACGAGAAGGTACCTGACCTAGTCCGAAATCTGGTTCGTGATGTGAAGACTGAAGGTGCCACAACAGGGCTCAAAGGAGAGCAAGAGGAGTAAGCGTCAACGGGAGGAGGATGACGAAGCTCCAGCTGAGCCTGTATGTTTCTCATTTCCTGAAGGCATGCTATCTCGCTGATGCATGCACCAGCCCGTGACCAGAAAGCAGAAGAAGGAGAAGAAGATGCTGAAGGCAAAGGAGGATGCGGAACGGGAGGATCAGACCAAAGGGCAATCGACAAAACGCGCTCGGTCGCCTAGCCCTCCGCCTGCTACTGCTACACAGAAGTCGGGATCGTCGAAACCGCCGAAGATCAAACCTGTGCCAGATACTACCTTCTCTGATGCCATCGAACGCGCGCAGAAGAAGCGCAAGGTTGCGTTCGAGGATCCTGCGCCTGCTCCAGTGGCTGCATCCGGCGCATCTGAGAGCGACTCGAATTCAGATTCAGATTCGGATGAAGTGGTTGTTGAGCCAGTGGCCTCCACGTCGCGTACTGTGGCTACCGTCAAACCGTCGCAAGCAAGTCGTAAAGGCGAACTCTCGACGTCCGCACCTATATCATTGCAACTCCCCGTTACGCCTAAGAACCCAAAGCAAGCGAAGGGCAAAGGCAAGGCCCCGGCCACACCTGCTTCTCCTAAGGCTGCATCGTCTGATGAGGGTTCCGACTCCGACAAGCCTGCGCCTCGGGCTTCATCTTCATCTGCCACTCAAAGTGCCATAGCAAAGGCATCCACGGCATCGAAGAAGAGCGCGAAGGCTCCCTCAAAGCCCGCTGCGCCACAAACCTCTGCTACTGCTGGATCTTCATCCGAGGAAGAGAGCTCATCTGAGGATGAGACGGCAAGGCCTACTCCTGTCGCCAAATCGGATGTCAGCGCTGGGAAGACAGTCGCTAAACCTACTGTTGCCACTTCATCTAAAGCAACAAACGCCAACTCCGCTGCCCCAGCCGAGACAAATGACAAGCGCAAGGCTACTGCGCCAGCGAAGACATCAACCGTGGCTCCCAGATCGTCCATTAGCAACGGGCTTCAACACTTCATCGATAACTTCACCCCTCCTGCAGAAGGTTCCGTCCCGCCCAAATCCTCAGCCAAGGGCCGTCGGGCGTCGTTGCCTGCTCCTACACCCGCCGCCTCGGCGTCGCCTGCGCCGACTGTGGAGACCAATGAAACAAAGAAGAAGCGGAAGCGCGCCACGGACGGCGCTGCGATGCTTGCTCAGACACCGCCCGCCGAAAGCGGTGAGCCTTCGGGCACAGCACCAGTACCAAACAAGAAACGCAAGGTGGCGGCGGACGGTGCGCCTCAACCTCCTTCGCAACCCGCGCAGGAACCGAGTACGCCCGCGAAGGGGAAACGTAAGCTCAAGGACAAGTCTGCCCCTCCCGTTCCCGCAACTACCCTCCCCAAGTCTGCCGATACCGAGTCAGGTCTGTAAATACAATCCTGCCGTTCTGCTAGTAATGGACATTGATACATTCTTGGTTCTCAGTCGTTTCCGCGGATGATATCCCTAGCAGTGCCACGCGCAGAAGCCGGAAAAGTAAGCTGGTCATTGAGCAGATAGGTCTTGTGTGTTGACATGCGTTGATAGAGAAGAGACGGGCTTTGAAAACGGCATTAAGAGACTCCACAGTCCCTGAATCTTCGCCCGTTCCACCCAGCCCCCATCCCGCTCGTGGCCCTTCAACTGCTTCGACGACGCGCGCTTCAGTCGTCAAGCCCTCCGGGCCGCCCGTTGCGCCCGTACGGAAGGCTTCATCTCCTACCGGTTCTGACTCGGGAGACGACTCGCCAGTCCCTACAACTGCTACTACGGCAGCTACCACGAAACATGCCGCGCCTGCATCAGTGCTGGCCAAGACGTCCACAAAACCCGCTGCTGCCGACCAGTCCTCTAGCTCGCCGGAGCCCGCGCCCGCGCCTGTACAAAAAGGTACCGCTGCTGCGACGCGCCCTACAACCTCGACGCCCGCAAGACCAGCCAAAGCTCCCGTCGCCCCCGCGCCTGCGCCGAAGGTCGCGCCCACTACTACCGAGTCAGACGACGAGAGCGATGAGCCCACGGCCACGGCCAAGCAAGCGTCAGCTGCAAAGGACGCGACTCCGGCGCTTGTGAAGACCGCTCCCGCTCCTGCATCGGCTTCGGGCACGGATACCGACGATGAAGCAGAGCCTGAGGCGAAGAAGGTTTTGGCGCCCACAACACCTGCTCCTCTACAACCACCGGATGTTAGTTCGTCTACATCACCCTCTGACTCGGAGGACGCGCCTCCGCCAGCGAAGAGCGTAACGGCAAAGGCAGCTCCGGTCGCCGTTTCACCTTCGCCTTCCTCTGGCTCCAGTTCGGATTCAGACGGCGACGCTACGGGAACCGTTAGCACAGCCATCCCCACGACGACCATTCGTATGGCGCCATCTGGCGCGTCTTCGAGCTCGAAGGTCGCGTCAAAGTCGACCGATGGCAATGGACCTGCGTCAACTCTTGCATCTGCATCTGTAGCATCTCGGGCTAAACAGGGGAAGCCGACGCCGCTCTCGAATGATACGGAGAAAAGCCTCGTGGAGGACCTTAACAATGCCTTACGGCATAACGCTCGTGAAGACACTGGTGATGAGGACAGCACAGGTACTCATCGAGAGAAGGCGAGACCAATCCCGAAGGAGGGAAAGGATGTGCCCGCTGTAGACTCTGGATCTGACACGGAGGAAGAGGAGGAGGAAGCGATGCCCAAGGAGAAGGGAAGGCCAACCACGGCCGACGACGCATCCAACGGGGAGCTCATGGCTACGAAATCCACCATCACACTCAACGTCGATCCCAATCTAGAGTCTGCAGACGCCAGCCACTTGGACTCTGGAGACATTGCCGACGGTGAGGACGAGGCGATCTGCGCCGCTTGTCAGGAACCCGCCGAGCATTTGCTCGAAGCCTGCCCAGTCGTTCGTGCTGGAGTCGGGTCGATCCAGGAGACCCTCGATGCCCTGGAGGACGATCCTGAGCTGGCGAGTCCAGAGGACACGGCGAAGCTGCGAGAGCTACTTGCCAAAGCGCGTGCCAAGGCATCCGCATCGAAGCCAACGAATCTCGCCGCCGCCATCGCATCTTCATCGCCTGTCCATTTGTCCAGTCAGCTCTCTACGCCCATTTCGTCGGCACGCCCCTTAATCCCTTCCAACCTGCGTATTCAGGAAGTCAGCGTCGAGACTCAGGACGAAGGCAGTAGTGCGGAAAGTGACGAGGATAGCGACAGCGAGTCTCTCCAAGGGCCGTTGACGCAGCGACCGCCGCCACCGTCCCAAATCGAGCCGGAAGATGAAGCGCTCGCTCTTCTTTATGGTACCCAGAAGAGCGCAGCCGACGCTATACCATCAAGTTCAGAGGATGAAGGTGATGATGATGACGAGGACGAAGATGCGGGGAAGCTTGAGCTCGATGACGAGGAGGATCTTACGAAGGATATCAAGAGACGTCGGTCTAATGCACGTGGACGGGAGAAATCATCATCTGAAGAACGTGCTATACAGCGGGAAGACGAAGAGGATGATGAAGGTGGTAACTCGCGCCAACTCTCAGAGGCAGCACCAGTTGTGATGGACGCGGATGTCGAGATAGAGGTCCCCCCGCAGGTTAGTCACACTCGTAGCTCTGTACGATTATCATACTCATATGGACTACAGGTCGTCGATCATGATCAGGCTACCGCCGCCCCTGCCACGTCCTCTGCGATACCACTCGTCCCCGCTCTTGTAGAAGAAGGCTCTGCTCTCCAGTCTCCTTCAGATGACACCGCAGTTGAGCGGTCCGACATTGGTCGTGATGCAGAGAAGCGACATACCGTCGGCCCCAAGTCTGCGGAACTCAGCCCGGCGACGCCTGAGCTCGTCGAGGGAGAGTTTGCAGGACAACCGCCCGTTCCTGTTCCCTCTGTCGCGCAGGACGTCCGACCGGTATCTTCATGGCCACCACCTCGACTTTCTGGCACCCCTGTCGAGGATGTCGAGGACGCACCTGCTCGTTCGCCCCCTGCAGTTACTGCCGACAAGGACGACATTGAGTCTGACGCTTCACGACCACCAACCCCGCCGGCGCGAGTCGATGGCGATCCTATCGAGCCGGCTACACAGCCGCCACACCCTGCCGCACAACCAACCCCACCTGTGGATGATACTGAGGACCCTGCACCCACGCAGGCTACGGAGGATGCCCAATCTTCAGACGACGAAGAGCCGCAGCAGCCCGTCACTCGGCAGACAAGACGGACAACTCGTTCTCAGACTGTCGATTCCACTGGACCGGGATCGTCGCAGCCCGCGCCAGCCGGGCGCAGGGGCAGAACCAAGTTGACGGAGGAGGAGAAGGCTCGACGGGAGCAAGAGAAGCTGGAAAGGCAAGCTGCGAAGAAGGAAGAAGCTGCTGCAAAGAAAGCCGCCAAGGAGGCTGAGAAAGAGGAGAAGGCTCGCATCAAAGCGGAGAAGGCGCAGGCGGCAAAGGAAGCTAAGGCTGCGACAGCAGCTGCAAAGAAGAAAGGTCCGGCATCCAAGGCCGCCCCAGCGCCTAAAGCATCATCTTCCCGCGGCGCTCGAGCAACCTCATCACAGGTCTCAGAAGTTGACAAGGAACATGAAACGCAATGGACGGCGCTTGTAGATAAACCGTTCTCCCAAGAGCACGAGCGCGACCCAGAACACTATGCATCCTCCGCCGTCGACGAGCTGCAATCCAGTCCGAAGGATCCGGCGAGTGAAGCCAACGCACCTCGTACACTGGTGTCACCCCCAGCTTCGCAATACCCTCCGCTGACTCCGATGCCCTTCGGTCCTAGACGCGAGCCTCTCTTCATTCCTGATAGCCAAGTTCCTGCTACCCAGACGACGGCACACCCAGATTCCTCGGACGATGAACGCCCCGTACGACCCATGCGTCTAACGCGTCTCAAGTCTGTCGGCACTCCGTCCAGATCGCTGAGTCAACTTGAAGCGCAAGGCCGCGGTGTATTCTCTCAACCATCCACGCCATATGTTGAGCTACCCCCGCCTACCCGTGGCAAGCGTCGGCCCACACAGCTCAGGAAGGCGGTTAGCTCGAGCTCGAGCTCCGACGACTCGGATGACGATGCGCCGAAGAAGTCACACATCCCCAAAGGCAGACGTGCCGGCTCAAACTTGACACGCAAACCATCGAACGGAGCGCGTCGTTGAGTCTCAACAGCATTGGATCTTAAGATCTCATTCATCACCTCTTGATTTCACAACATTAGTATCAATTGCAAGTTTTCATCTAGTAGCGTAATTCACATGATCACAATAATCTTGCATTATGTCGTGGCATCGCGATAGCTCAGATTCTGAAGACATACACGGCTAGCGCAAAACAAGACTGAAGCTCCTCGTGCGTACACGACAATCACGATCGACGCCTCCAAGAAGGAACCCTACGGGTTAGGCCTCACTGGTCGCGGAGTCCTCGTCAAAGGGGACCTTGTATCCCGAACCATACCCCTTCAGTAGCCCTACACGGCAGAATGACGGGTGCCAGTAATAGTCGAGGTCCTCCTGCGGGCTTGTAATTTGGTGGCTATGTGAGATACGTTAGATCACACACTACAAACGAATGGGATATCTCCTACCTTGTTCGAAGATGTTCGTCCAGTGCTGCACGGCGCATCAGGTGATTGATCGTGCTACTCCGAGGGTTGCGAGCTTTCATGCTTTCTGTGCAATGACAGCAACCCCAACATATCCCGTTACCCCCGTAAACATACGATGGCGGCTGGAACTTTTCGCCCGTAGGCAGGATGACGGCAGCCATTTCGGCCATTTCTGCGACGGTAAGTAGCCGCATACGAACGTCAGGCACCCCCTTCTCATGCCCATTACACAGATGCCGGACCTGAGGGCGGTATCAGCGCCAGTGACAACTGATGAACATGCGCAGACACGTACCATATCACGCCAGCCGAGAGCTGCACGCCCAAGGAAGTCGTCTATGAGCCACTTGCGCTTCTGAGCGGGACATGACAAGCAGATGAAGATAGGTTCAAGGCGGTCCAGTTCGCGAATGGTTGTTTCGAGGCCAAGTCCCAGATGCTTTAATACAGCTCCGACGGCTCCTCTGCCATGTTCCAGGACTTTGATACGATCACGGTCCCATATGCGCTCGTTGTCGTAGTTGTCGGTCAAGTCGGTATGCTGGATGTGCTCTCGCGCATGGCTCAAAGCTTCGAATCCGAAACGATCACGGTTGTCGCCGCCACAGACCCGGAATACAGACGTCGCACGAGATAAAATATGAGTCAAGTCCAGCTCTCCGGATTCCAGGGCATCTTTAAAGGCGGTATCCTGCTTTACGATCATCGTGGCAGCGGTTAGCCGTCGTTCGGCCCAGATATTGCGAGCAACGTCGAGTGCCTCGGGACACGCTGCACGTAGACGTTCAAGCCACTCCTCAGACACTTCCACGTCTTCATCAACCAATCGCGATATCGGTTCCAAGCTCACGCATTGGTCTGGAATCGGCAGATAGGGAAGGTCTCTGGGATGTATTGAAAGTGACTGCATGAGAGCAAACCAAGCTTCACGCGCCGCGTCTGCGCGAGAGTCGTGACGAGCGTCGTGCTCTCTCTTGAGGCGAGTCGAGCGTCCATCGTCCAGTGTTGGCTGCAATGTGAGGAAGAGGCTATTCCATGCTGTACCAACGGGTCAGCAGTGGATCATACATTTGGAAACAGATGCTTCACGTACCTCGCTCGGTCAATGGCTTCGCTACGTTGACATCCTTTAGTTTCCAAACGGGAGCAATGTCGTCGTCGGTGTAGTCGAGTTGTTTCAGTCTTTTGGATATCCTATGAAGGGTTAAGTAGACAGTCAGATCGCGAGCTTGAGCACGCACTCTGCGCGACGCTTGCTACGGCGCTCCTCGACGTTGTCTGCGCGCTGCTCTAGCCTATCCCCTTGCCATTGCTCGCATTCTTGCGCGTACTTACCGATTGTATAAGAGAGGAGTAACAGCAGATGCAATATTTTACACGGACCTGAAAGCGAGGGAGATACTCGCTGTAACGAGCGCGAATGTATTCGCTCTTCTGTATTTGACCTTCGTTGTAGTTCTGGAACTTGAACCTCTCATCAATTTCCTCGATCTTCTTCTTGAGAGTCGTATAGTCGGCGGGGAAGACATAACGATGATCCGCCCGCCCTAACACTAGGTAAGCCGGAGGCTTGATGGTAGAAGCGGACACCGTACTTGCCTCTATTCGGAGGGAGAGTAACAGCAGGTATAAGCTCGCAAACGCGGCGCTCCGTAGAGCCACCACTGCCGCTGACATAGATGCGGAGGTACTCGCTCCCGTGTGGCAACATGCTGAGTTGAGAGCAAAGATATTCAGCTCATCATAACATCAGAATAGAAGGACGGGTCTCACTTTGCCTTGACACAGCTCACGCAGACACGCGCTTGGATCGAGAAATAAATGCGGTGCACGGATGAAGCCGAACACGTCTGAAGAGGTCGGTTAGTAAACGCAAGAAATGACGTCTATCACTATTCAAACAACTTGCATGGCAATAAGAGCCACCAAAGAGCAGATGAAGCCATTTGTAGAGCTGCACATCTTCGGGACACGCAGGATAGCCTTCCACACGCAACCACGCCTGCGCCCACAGTGGTCTAAACTGCGCATCCTTCAGCAAGAGAGAACGGAAAGCCTTCGTCGTCCGTGATATAGAGAAAAGATCTGTCCAGTTCAAAAGAGAGAAGATCTGATCCTGAGATGAGAAGAGATACCAGGGGTGTGTCGAGAGAACGCACCTCCTCAAGGATGTCTAGAGGCATGACCGGCAGTGCTCCCAGTTTACCGCAACGTTTCTTCCCCCCCTTAGTAGACTTCGTGGTCTTTGCACGCTTAGCTGGAGGTTTGCGTGCAGCTAGAATCCAGTGTTAGACAAAAGAATACGAACGTGTAGGTAGATTGACCTACCTCCCTTCTTCTTCGCGCCCTCCTCATCGCTCGAATCATATTCGAAGTCGCCAGTGTCGCTGTCCTCTGCCGATCGCTTCTTAGTCTGTTTAGCAACAGCTTTGCCACTCGAGCGAGTGGAAGGTGCCATGATAGGTGGGTGTGGGGTATTGAGACGGTGGTGGTATGAGGAAGAAAAGCGACGGCGCGACGCGACGCGCCACAGGTCCATCATTGGCATCAACCATGGACAGACCGTGTGAACGTGGTTGTACTCGGCGGCTCTGCATTCCTCCGAGTGACTCGGCTGTGAACGCTACCCGGGTCATCACAAGTGTCGCGTACGTTCCCATCCGTGCTTGATGCGATTTCGACCAGTGGGTTCCACAAGCCAAACGTCGATGGCCCAGTGTACAGCGTACGCGCCGACGCTGCCCAAGATGTCATGTGAGCGCGTTCGCGTTCGTCGCGTCGTGTGGCGACGAGCGGCCCGCGTCCGTTTCTGAGTCCTCACTTGGCTTCTCTCTCACCACCACCATGCGCCATTGTCAAGCTTGCGGGAAGAGCGAGGAGGACGTGACTGCTGGTATGCAGGCGTGCTCTCGCTGTCATGTAGCGTCGTACTGTGGTGAGCGTATACTTCAACAAGTGATTGTAGCAAGGCGTTGGTGTTCTTACTATGCTTTCCAGATGCGGCTTGCCAACAACGGCACTGGAAGAGGCACAAGCAGGTTTGCAGGGAGTTGACTGACAACCCGCCGCCGTGGTACTATGTGCATAGCTGGAACATGGATCGAAGTCATCATGAAGGCCACGTATGTTCATACAACCCTCTTAGACTCACTGGTGGGATACTCACGCTGGACCAGCTCGAGCTCATCACCTGGGACTGCCCCAAGGAAGGAACGGGGTGGGGTCACTGCTTCAAAGAGGTGAGAACGGTTGTCGTGCTCTTGGGGTCGTCTGATCAGACGTAACTCTCTCTAGGAGTCCAATGATCTTAGGCGGAAGTTCGAGACCGAATTCAATGGTAACGAAGAGAAGTTCTATGAATACTGGCCTCAAGGCTTTCGCTGGACATGCTGCGGCACTGAGGGAGACATGAACTATGGCTGCGATCATCACGGTATGCCACACTACGACCATTCACTCAGATATTGCTTGTATACTCAGGACGTGCTTCCATAGGAACTGGTCTCTATGCATGCACGTGCGATTACTGCAGGTTCGTATTGTCCTGGAACTCCGTTGCTTAACCATTGATCTTATCTTATAGAGGTGGAAAATCCCTTCCCGACCGGATCTACAACAAACAGAGCGCTGCTAGGATGGGTTTATCCCTTCCCCGTGGGCCCGATCCACGCTCTCGCTTGAGCATGGGACCACCGCCTCTGTAGTCGGCGCTAAGAGTAGTGAAGATGTAACGGCTCCAATCTGTACCAACTTGCTTGAATGTATACCGAATATATGTTTGCCTCGTCGCGATGCGCATGTAAGTGTGAATCGAACCGGTGCCTTTCGTAGTACACACGGACCCATGTGGACCTCCGATCGCGAAACGTGGGACGCGCGCGCGACGCGTCGAGCGAAATCCTGCGCGCCGGCAACTTTACACGCGCTAGATCTCGTCTCTACCGCTCACCACTTGACCTCCATCATGTCAAGTATCGAACTCATAAACCCAAAGGCGGAGAGTGTGCGCCGTGCCGCCGCACTTCAGGTATGTTCTTCGATATTATTTCACACGAAAGATGGTAGATCTGTCTGCTTGTAGGTCAACACGACCGGTGCCATGGGCCTCGCGAACGTCGTCCGTGGTAACCTTGGTGCGTTCTGGCTTGCGTATTCTCTCTATGCAAACATTTATATGTCTATAGGGCCTCGTGGAACGCTGAAGATGCTCGTCGACGGCGCGGGCCAGATCAAAATGACCAAGGACGGAAAGGTCCTATTATCGGAGATGCAGATCCAGAACCCTACGGCTGCCATGATCGCACGCACTGCTGTTGCGCAGGATGACCAGGTCGGAGACGGAACAACCTCGGTTGTATTGCTGGTCGGAGAGTTGTTGAAGCAGGCGGATCGTTACATCTCTGAAGGTGTACACCCATCCATCATTGGCGAGGGCTTTGACTTTGCGAAAAAGGCTGCGCTCGAGGTGTGTCATCTTCATATGACGTGTGCGAACAGTGTGCTTAGCCACCCTATAGTTCCTCGATACGTTCAAAAAGCCCATCAATGTCGATCGCGCCACGCTTGTAAACGTCGCACATACATCATTAGCAACGAAGCTCAACTCTGCGCTGGCGAAGCAACTGTCAGAGAATGTCGTCGACGCTGTTCTTACCATCCGACCCCCCGCACCTGACGCAGGTAGGATTATTTTGTCGCTCTGACTTGGCTCTTACTTACATCTCCACATAGACGCTAAGGATCAGTACCGCGAGCCGATCGACTTGCACATGGTTGAGATTATGAAGATGCAGCACCGGACAGCAAACGAGACCCAGCTTGTGCGCGGTCTCGTGCTTGACCACGGCGCAAGGCATCCGGACATGCCGAAGCGAGTTGAGAATGCCTTCATCTTGACCTTGAACGTCAGTTTGGAGTACGAGAAGACGTACGTCCCGAACAAGCCGTTCATTGAGTGCATATTGAATGGAGTCGCAGTGAGGTCAACTCTGGCTTCTTCTACTCTTCGGCCGAGCAGCGTGAGAAGCTCGTCGAGGCCGAGCGCCGCTTCACCGATGAGAAGGTCAAGAAGATCGTCGAGCTCAAGCGTCTCGTCTGTGATCAGGCTGTCGATGCAAAGGAGAAGGCAAAGGGTTTCGTCGTGATTAACCAGAAGGGTATCGATCCGCTCTCCCTCGACATCCTCGCAAAGGCGGGGATCTTCGCGCTCCGCCGCGCCAAGAGGCGAAACATGGAGCGGTACGTTTGGGGTTCAATAGCACGTACTCCTTTAGGATATACTGACACGCATCCAGTCTGCAACTCATCTGCGGTGGGATCGCACAGAACTCAGTGGACGAGTTGACCCCGGATGTACTTGGCTACGCTGGTCTTGTGTACGAGCAGACATTGGGCGAAGAGAAGTTTACGTTCGTCGATGAGGTCAAGAACCCTCGCAGCGCCACACTTCTTATCAAGGGCCCGAACCCGCACACGACGCAACAGGTACAGGACGCTCTTCGCGACGGCCTCCGCGCGGTAAAGAACGCGATCGAGGACTCTGCGCTGGTACCGGGCGCTGGCGCGTTTGAGGTCGCCGCCGCGCACCATCTCTCGACTACATCAAAGAAGGCCGCAAAGGGCCGTGCGAAGATGGGTGTTCAGGCATACGCCGACGCGCTGCTCGTCATTCCGAAAACACTTGCGGCGAACGGTGGCTTTGATGTCCAGGACACGATCGTCGCACTACAAGACGAGGCTGCGGAGGGCAACGTTGTCGGTCTCGATCTTCAATCCGGAGAGCCTTTCGACCCGACTGTTGAAGGCATCTGGGACAACTACCGCGTCAAGCGACAGATGCTGCACTCTTGGTGAGTCGCCTTAGCTTCCTCGCGATCCCCTAAATCCCATGCTATCTCTTGCTCAACCAATTGCTGACCATCTTGCCCGACAGCTCTGTCATCGCGGTCAACCTGCTACAGACTGACGAGATCCTTCGGGCTGGGAGGAGCTCGCTGAAAGAGGGCCCTCAGCAGTAAGCAGGGGATCTGATTTGGTCAGCCTGCGGCGGCCGCGGGCTCTCGGACTCGCACTGGAGAGCGGATATGGTAGAAGATGTGTACGCGATGAAGATGCTTTTGGTGCTTGCTGAGTACTATCGATCGGGGTGGGCAGAGGGTGGACACTTGTACAGGTAACGAAACCTCACGATGAGCCAATAGAAGCAATGAAGAGAGTACCCTGCCCTTCGCATTTACAACGGAGTAAACAGAGAACCAGTGACATCGTTGTTCGTTCGGCGTATACCGCAGTGAGAGATCGACTGCATGGAGTATCGTGTATGTCGTACGAGCAAAGAGAAGGGTGGCTTCTATTGCGCGCCTGACGCAAGCGGGGTAACCCACACTTTCCCTTTATGCTCGATCGTCCTCGAAAGCTCGAAATCACGATCACTGGTGTAGATCAGCCCGACAGCGCGATGGTCGGGGGACGCTTAACGCGGTCACGTGCCGGAAACCCCGCGATTTCCTTATCACGCATTGCGAAACCTGGCGGCCTTGCTAGGCGTAATAAGGTGGCCTGCGTGGCGTGGTAAGGTGTGATAAG